CTCTGGTCTCTCGGTCTCCGCTCTTGGTCTCTCGGTCTCCCGCTCTCTGGTCTCTCGGTCTCCCCTCTTGGTCTCTCGGTCTCCCGCTCTCTGGTCTCTCGGTCTCCCGCTCTCTGGTCTCTCGGTCTCCGCTCTCTGGTCTCCGCTCTCTGGTCTCCCTCTCTCGGTCTCTCCTCCCGCTCTCTGGTCTCCGCTCTCTGGTCTCCCGCTCTGTCTCGGTCTCCCGCTCTCTGGTCTCCCTCTCTGGTCTCTCGGTCTCCCGCTCTCTGGTCTCCCGCTCTCTGGTCTCCGTCTCCGCTCTCTGGTCTCCCGCTCTCTGGTCTCCCGCTCTCTGGTCTCCCGGTCTCTCGTCTCTGGTCTCTCTCTCTGGTCTCTCGGTCTCCCGCTCGGTCTCTCGGTCTCCGTCTCTGGTCTCTCGGTCTCCGTCTCTGGTCTCCCGCTCTCTGGTCTCTCGGTCTCCGGTCTCTCGGTCTCCGCTTCTGGTCTCTCGGTCTCTCTCTGGTCTCTCGGTCTCCCGTCTCTGGTCTCTCGGTCTCCTGGTCTCTCGGTCTCCGCTCTCTGTCCGGTCTCTCGGTCTCCGTCTCTGGTCTCTCGGTCTCCGCTCTCTGGTCTCCCGCTCTCTGGTCTCTCTCGGTCTCCGCTCTCTGGTCTCTCGGTCTCCCGCTCTCTGGTCTCCTCGTCTCTGGTCTCCGCTCTCTGGTCTCTCTGGTCTCCCGCTCTCTGGTCTCGGTCTCGCTCTCTGGTCTCCCGCTCTCTGGTCTCCCGCTCTCTGGTCTCCCGCTCTCTGGTCTCCGCTCTTTCTGGTCTCCTCCGCTCTCTGGTCTCCCGCTCTCTGGTCTCGTCTCTCTGGTCTCCCGCTCTCTGGTCTCCGTCTCCGCTCTCGGTCTCCGCTCTCTCCGGTCTCCGCTCTCTGGTCTCCGCTCTCTGGTCTCCCGCTCTCTGGTCTCCCGCTCTCCTCCTCTGGTCTCCTCCCGCTCTCTGGTCTCCCGCTCTCTGGTCTCCCGCTCTCTGGTCTCCCGCTCTCTGGTCTCCCGCTCTCTGGTCTCCGCTCTCTGGTCTCCCGCTCTCTGGTCTCTCGGTCTCCCTCTCGTCTCCCGCTCTCTGGTCTCCCGCTCTTGGTCTCCGCTCTCTGGTCTCCGCTCTCTGGTTCTCTCGGTCTCCCGCTCTCTGGTCTCCCGCTCTCTGGTCTCCCGCTCTCTGGTCTCTCGGTCTCCGTCTCTGCTCTCGGTCTCCCGCTCTCTGGTCTCCCGCTCTCTGGTCTCCCGCTCTCTGGTCTCCCGCTCTCTGGTCTCCCGCTCTCTGGTCTCCCGCTCTCTGGTCTCCCGCTCTCTGGTCTCCCGCTCTCTGGTCTCCCGCTCTCTGCCCGCTCTCTGGTCCTCCTCCGCTCTCTGGTCTCCCGCTCTCTGGTCTCCGGTCTCCCGCTCTCTGGTCTCCCGCTCTCTGGTCTCCCGCTCTCTGGTCTCCGCTCTCTGGTCTCCGCTCTCTGGTCTCCCGCTCTTGGTCTCTCTGGTCTCCCGCTTTGGTCTCCCGCTCTCTGGTCTCCCGCTCTCTGGTCTCTCGGTCTCCCGCTCTCTGGTCTCCGCTCTCTGGTCTCCCGCTCTCTGGTCTCCCGCTCTCTGGTCTCCCGCTCTCTGGTCTCCCGCTCTCTGGTCTCCCGCTCTCTGGTCTCCCGCTCTCTGGTCTCCCGCTCTCTGGTCTCCCGCTCTCTGGTCTCCCGCTCTCTGGTCTCCCGCTCTCTGGTCTCCCGCTCTCTGGTCTCCCGCTCTCTGGTCTCCCGCTCTCTGGTCTCCCGCTCTCTGGTCTCCCGCTCTCTGGTCTCCCGCTCTCTGGTCTCCCGCTCTCTGGTCTCCCGCTCTCTGGTCTCCCGCTCTCTGGTCTCCCGCTCTCTGGTCTCCCGCTCTCTGGTCTCCGCTCTCTGGTCTCCCGCTCTCTGGTCTCCCGCTCTCTGGTCTCCCGCTCTCTGGTCTCCCGCTCTCTGGTCTCCCGCTCTCTGGTCTCCCGCTCTCTGGTCTCCCGCTCTCTGGTCTCCCGCTCTCTGGTCTCCCGCTCTCTGGTCTCCCGCTCTCTGGTCTCCCGCTCGCTCTCTGGTCTCCCGCTCTCTGGTCTCCCGCTCTCTGGTCTCCCGCTCTCTGGTCTCCCGCTCTCTGGTCTCCCGCTCTCTGGTCTCCCGCTCTCTGGTCTCCCGCTCTCTGGTCTCCCGCTCTCTGGTCTCCCGCTCTCTGGTCTCCCGCTCTCTGGTCTCCCGCTCTCTGGTCTCCCGCTCTCTGGTCTCCCGCTCTCTGGTCTCCCGCTCTCTGGTCTCCCGCTCTCTGGTCTCCCGCTCTCTGGTCTCCCGCTCTCTGGTCTCCCGCTCTCTGGTCTCCCGCTCTCTGGTCTCCCGCTCTCTGGTCTCCCGCTCTCTGGTCTCCCGCTCTCTGGTCTCCCGCTCTCTGGTCTCCCGCTCTCTGGTCTCCCGCTCTCCGCTCTCCCGCTCTCTGGTCTCCCGCTCTCTGGTCTCCCGCTCTCTGGTCTCCCGCTCTCTGGTCTCCCGCTCTCTGGTCTCCCGCTCTCTGGTCTCCCGCTCTCTGGTCTCCCGCTCTCTGGTCTCCCGCTCTCTGGTCTCCCGCTCTCTGGTCTCCCGCTCTCTGGTCTCCCGCTCTCTGGTCTCCTCGCTCTCTGGTCTCCCGCTCTCTGGTCTCCCGCTCTCTGGTCTCCCGCTCTCTGGTCTCCCGCTCTCTGGTCTCCCTCTCTGGTCCCTGGTCTCCCGCTCTCTGGTCTCCCGCTCTCTGGTCTCCCGCTCTCTGGTCTCCCGCTCTCTGGTCTCCCGCTCTCTGGTCTCCCGCTCTCTGGTCTCCCGCTCTCTGGTCTCCCGCTCTCTGGTCTCCCGCTCTCTGGTCTCCCGCTCTCTGGTCTCCCGCTCTCTGGTCTCCCGCTCTCTGGTCTCCCGCTCTCTGGTCTCCCGCTCTCTGGTCTCCCGCTCTCTGGTCTCCCGCTCTCTGGTCTCCCGCTCTCTGGTCTCCCGCTCTCTGGTCTCCCGCTCTCTGGTCTCCCGCTCTCTGGTCTCCCGCTCTCTGGTCTCCCGCTCTCTGGTCTCCCGCTCTCTGGTCTCCCGCTCTCTGGTCTCCCGCTCTCTGGTCTCCCGCTCTCTGGTCTCCCGCTCTCTGGTCTCCCGCTCTCTGGTCTCCCGCTCTCTGGTCTCCCGCTCTCTGGTCTCCCGCTCTCTGGTCTCCCGCTCTCTGGTCTCCCGCTCTCTGGTCTCCCGCTCTCTGGTCTCCCGCTCTCTGGTCTCCCGCTCTCTGGTCTCCCGCTCTCTGGTCTCCCGCTCTCTGGTCTCCCGCTCTCTGGTCTCCCGCTCTCTGGTCTCCCGCTCTCTGGTCTCCCGCTCTCTGGTCTCCCGCTCTCTGGTCTCCCGCTCTCTGGTCTCCCGCTCTCTGGTCTCCCGCTCTCTGGTCTCCCGCTCTCTGGTCTCCCGCTCTCTGGTCTCCCGCTCTCTGGTCTCCCGCTCTCTGGTCTCCCGCTCTCTGGTCTCCCGCTCTCTGGTCTCCCGCTCTCTGGTCTCCCGCTCTCTGGTCTCCCGCTCTCTGGTCTCCCGCTCTCTGGTCTCCCGCTCTCTGGTCTCCCGCTCTCTGGTCTCCCGCTCTCTGGTCTCCCGCTCTCTGGTCTCCCGCTCTCTGGTCTCCCGCTCTCTGGTCTCCCGCTCTCTGGTCTCCCGCTCTCTGGTCTCCCGCTCTCTGGTCTCCCGCTCTCTGGTCTCCCGCTCTCTGGTCTCCCGCTCTCTGGTCTCCCGCTCTCTGGTCTCCCGCTCTCTGGTCTCCCGCTCTCTGGTCTCCCGCTCTCTGGTCTCCCGCTCTCTGGTCTCCCGCTCTCTGGTCTCCCGCTCTCTGGTCTCCCGCTCTCTGGTCTCCCGCTCTCTGGTCTCCCGCTCTCTGGTCTCCCGCTCTCTGGTCTCCCGCTCTCTGGTCTCCCGCTCTCTGGTCTCCCGCTCTCTGGTCTCCCGCTCTCTGGTCTCCCGCTCTCTGGTCTCCCGCTCTCTGGTCTCCCGCTCTCTCTGTCTCCCGCTCTCTGGTCTCCCTCTCTCACGCTCTCCCTCTCTCACGCTCTCTGGTCTCCCTCTCTCACGCTCTCTGGTCTCCCTCTCTCACGCTCTCTGGTCTCCCTCTCTCACGCTCTCAGGTCTCCCTCTCTCACGCTCTCTGGTCTCCCTCTCTCACGCTCTCTGGTCTCCCTCTCTCACGCTCTCTGGTCTCCCTCTCTCACGCTCTCTGGTCTCCCTCTCTCACGCTCTCCCGCTCTCTGGTCTCCCGCTCTCTGGTCTCCCGCTCTCCGGTCTCACGCTCTCCGGTCTCCCGCTCTCCGGTCTCCCGCTCTCCGGTCTCCCCCTCTCCCGCTCTCCCGCTCTCCGGTCTCCCTCTCTCCCTCTCTCCCGCTCTCCGGTCTCCCTCTCTCCCGCTCTCCGGTCTCCCTCTCTCCCGCTCTCCGGTCTCCCTCTCTCCCGCTCTCCCTCTCTCCCGCTCTCCGGTCTCCCTCTCTCCCGCTCTCCGGTCTCCCTCTCTCCCGCTCTCCGGTCTCCCTCTCTCCCGCTCTCCGGTCTCCCTCTCTCCCGCTCTCCGGTCTCCCTCTCTCCCGCTCTCCGGTCTCCCTCTCTCCCGCTCTCCGGTCTCCCTCTCTCCCGCTCTCCGGTCTCCCTCTCTCCCGCTCTCCGGTCTCCCCTCTCTCCGGTCTCCCTCTCTCCCGCTCTCCGGTCTCCCTCTCTCCCGCTCTCCGGTCTCCCTCTCTCCCGCTCTCCGGTCTCCCTCTCTCCCGCTCTCTGGTCTCCCTCTCTCTCCTGCTCTCTGGTCTCTCTCTCTCTCTCTCCTGCTCTCTGGTCTCCCTCTCTCACGCTCTCTGGTCTCCCTCTCTCTCCTGCTCTCTGGTCTCTCTCTCTCTCCTGCTCTCTGGTCTCCCTCTCTCACGCTCTCTGGTCTCTCTCTCTCTCCTGCTCTCTGGTCTCTCTCCTGCTCTCTGGTCTAAAGGGGACTTACTTTTGTGGGAGCGGATCATTCGGTCGGATTTGGCAGAAGCATCCTTCACTCTGGTGTGATATTCCAGGAGGAACGTCTTCTCGTGTTCGAAGAAGTCGTCCACGTCCTGAGAACAAAACCACGATTCAACTTCACAAATATTTACTCCACATTTAGTAAGTAGTTTATCTATATAATGCGTATTTACAGACCAAGGTCACCCAAAGCGCTTTACAGTGTTCAGATATTGTTGCACTCTCTCCACTCACTGCTGAAGCAAGACGCCGAACACACTGGTGCACCAAAACCCCCAACCAATGCCATCTATCCATACCTATTGTGCCTCTTATTAGTGGTAGGGGAAACCGGCACACCCAGAGGAAACCTACGCAGACACGAGGACATGCAAACTCCACCCCGAAAGGACCTGTTCCGACCAGGATTCGAACCTAGAACCTTCTTGCTGAGAAGGGAGAGTGAGTGCTATCCACTCACAAGGCAGATTTCTAAGTCTAATTACATTTTTGTAAGGATCGTCCAGATTAGTTTATATAAGAAACTGTATAGATAGAAAAATAAAATTAAGACTGTATGATGCGTTGTGGGGACTTTCAATGCAAAGTCAATGGTGACGTCCGTTCGAGCATGGAACTGCATGTACGTTGCAGCACGCACGCACGGACTGTGTGGCAGAGGCACCTCTACACAGGCAGGAGATGGACATTGCTGAACTTTTCCCACGCATGTGCAGCAACCTATCAGAGTGCCACAAAGTGGTCATGGGGACACTGGCTTTCTGAGCGAGAAGACTGAAGATGCTCGTAAACACCCAAAACAGGAGCTAAACCTGGACTAAACCTGGACTGACAACTGAACATATGCTTCCAGCCTGAGTTCTCATTCTTCTGTGAGTGTAAACAAGTGCTACTAACGTGTTCGCCAATGCATAAGTACTGTTAGAAAAAAAACGTATGGAGCACCTCCGTGAACACATACTGCTGTTATATAAAGTCTCTGGAAGGTCTCTGGACACAGAGACGCTGCAGAGCTGCATTCTTGGAAAATAACTTTACACAAAAAGCCGCTAGCTTTACTCCGTCAGCATCAAAGCACTTCCGCCCTGCCTTTTTTCCCACCCCAGGCCAGGACTTCAGGTTTTCTAAACTCAAGGGTCTGAGATTTGGAGAATGTGTGTCCAGTGTGCGTGGAAGCTGCATTCAAGCGTTGGTGGTCTGAACGCCCTATAAGTTTAGAGCTAATTTCTCTAATTCCTTGAACAATCCACATGTTAGCACATAATAAGTATGGTCTCATTATTTTCTCTCCTTCCCGCTCTCTGGCCTTCTCTGGCGCAACATGAATGTAACCCATTAAAATGTCTTCCCAAAACTTTAAAACAACTCAGATAAATCCTAAATCTCATGTTCGTACCTTGACTCCTGCAACCAGGACTCCGTCCGCAGACTTCACCACGTTCTTGAAGAAATCCTCCAGTCGCTCCTTTTTGTTTTTCCCCCGGACGCTGAGCTGCAGATGGGAACATTAGATTACTCCATTAATGAAGAATCAGATCAGCTCGATTATAGACTACAGGCGAGCTCACCAGAAAGGAGCCTCACATTTACATGGTGAGGTTTGGCTGTCCATAAATAAACATACATACATACACACACATATCTTCATCTTATTAGAAACATGCATCTTACGTATTAAAAAAAGAGCCCCATGAGTCATTATTTTACTCTTTGGGCTGAGAGCTGATTGTCTGAGTGAGGGTGGTCTCTCTCACTTTATCGTCTGAAAAAGTGGATCTAAAGTTGTGACAGGAGGTTATGTGACAGAAGGTCATGTGACAGAAGGTCATGTGACAGAAGGTCATGTGACAGAAGGTCATGTGACAGAAGGTCATGTGACAGAAGGTCATGTGACAGAAGGTCATGTGACAGAAGGTCATGTGACAGAAGGTCATGTGACTCACGTCTTGTCCGTACTCCAGGAACACGTGAAAGTTGAGGTCTTTGCGCAGGACGGGGTGAGCCGCCACTCGGCACAGAAACACCTCGTGCATCGCAACAGTCTTCTTGAAGATCGCCAAGTACTCGCTGCGGAGAGACGGAAATACATGGCTGGGCAAATTCATTTATATAGCACAAATATACTCAAGTGCTTAAAGCCACCCTGTGTAATTTTTACAGCTGCTCCATATGAAAAAAACATTTTAACTAATAACAAATGTGACCTTTAAGAATATTTACCTCCACCATGTTTTTTTTTAAATTGTATTCATAGGCATAGAATTTAACTTATAAGTGTCCATGAGAGAGGAGTGCTCTGTGTAAATGCGCCATCTTGAAAAACAGTGGTGACAAAAAGGATGACAAAAGTGACAAAAAGGATGCGAGAATTGCATTTTTGTTTCACATGAGCTACTGATGTTGTTGCATTCACCGTGCCTTCAAGTTGTAAGAAGGAACCATGGAGGACCACAGTTATATAAAAAGAACAATTCAAACAACAATCTTTTAGAAAAAAAATTATGCAAAAGTCCAGCGTTATTGCAGAAAAGTGTCAACATCACAAACCACACGCACCAAAAAGGCAAAGTTAACACAACAGGAGGCACATCGTGTAGTTTGTAGACAACAGACTCACATGAACAATACGCACATTTTTTCACACTGACAATGCGAAGGAGGCAGAATCTGCAACAGTCTCAGGATGTTCTGACTCGATTCGAGCGCAGTCCAACTACTATGTCATAAGTTTCAACTAAACTTATTCATGGAAAAAGCCTCAAATAAAAAAAAAAAAAACACAGAATCCCCACAAAACAATCGCCAGAATACTTTTTCAGCAGCGCGAGTGAATGTTCTGTTTCTTACTGTGATGCAGATGTAGCGCTGTGGCTAACGCTAAAATGAGCTTTTAGCCATGTCCTGCCGCGGCTGTGTATATCTCCTGCTTCTTTGATCATTGTAGTTCTATTTCATCCCTCCTGACCGCCAGAGGACGGTGCATAGCACTGAATCCAGGATTCATAGAACCATGCATACGTAACCTTCGTTTTAAGCTCCCACAAACGTTATTCCTCCATGCGTATCTTCTCTTCACACCGCTTTTTTAAAACTATATATTATATTAGATCCATGGTAAAACTCAGAGCCTCTGTGCAGGGCGCCGCGTCTGAACGCGGTCTTGTTCACATGTCAGCACCACGCAACACAAGCGCCGGAGAGATCCGGTAATTTATCAAACTAAAGTATTCTGAGAGTTGAGGAGCACTGTTAAAGACAGTGCTCCTCAACTCAAAGGCTTCCATACTATATTGAACTGCAACATTAGATCTCAACGCTAGATGGCACTAAAAATTACACAGTGTACCTTTAATAAAACAAGGCAAGGCAAGGCATAAAATGTAAAGAATGCATAGAATTTGAACCAGGGCAGGGTTTCAAACTAATCCTGCAGGTTTTTACTCCAATCAAGCAGAGAACACAAGACTCATGAAAAGGGGGAGACTGATGTGCTGTGATTGGAATGAAAACCTGCAGCCACACAGCTCTTTCTGGAAACACTCTTGTAAAAGTAAAATGTTGTGAACAAATTCAGGCCATGACATAGAGTCTTCATCTTATGCAAAACATAAACTTGATTACTAGTACTAATTTGAGTACTTGCCGATACCGAATACCAAATACCGATACGAGAAATGTAACTTGAAAATGTTTTCTTCCTCATTTCTACAATAAGAAAATGCTTTAACAAATAAGCATTTTCTAAACATTTTAGTAGTTGTTTTAACAGTTAACAGTCCCGGGTCCTGGTCCAGATCCTGGTCCAGTACAAGTCTGTGGCACTCACGCTTCCAGCTCCTGCTTCATCCTGGTGAACTCCTCTTTGGTCATAGAGCCTTCTCCTTCTCCGAGCTTCTGCAGCTTCTCTCTGGAGGCGTCAAAGTCCGGCCTCGGAGGAGCAGGAGGAATCTGAGACAGAGACCGAGTCAGGACTAATCCAGGTCTAAAGCAGGTCTAAAGCAGGACTAAAGCGGGACAAAAGCAGGGTTAAACCAAGACTAAACCAGAGTCGAAACCAGAGTCGAGACCATAGTCGAAACCAGAGTCGAAACAAGTTCTAAAGCAGGTGCAAGCCAGGTCTAAACCAGGACTAAACCAGGACTAAACCAGGACTAAACCAGGACTAAACCAGGACTAAACCAGGGCTAACCCAGAACAGTTCTAAAGCAGTGCTAAACCAGAATTAAACCAGGTCTAAAGCAGGTCTAAAGTAGAGACCAAACAAAAACTAAAGTCTCAAACATGGTCCAAACATGATCCAAACATGGTCCAAACATGGTCCAAACATGGTCCAAACATGGTCCAAACATGGTCCAAACATGGTCTTACAATGTATCCTGCGTACTCTTCGTTCTCCACAAACGAGTCGTGGAGCCAGATGAACTCCTCATGCTGTCGAACCACGGAAAACTCATTCTGCTTAAAGTTCGGCAACGTGCTCTGTGACCGTCAGAGGAATAATATCAGATACATTTACCTCATATAGAAACAGAGCAGGGATTACAATCGCTGTAAGATCTAAGTAAACTTACCTTTGTGTGGACCGTGAACTTAACCTTGTCCCTCTCACTCAGAGCGTCGGAAATGTCGACCTGCAGTGTGGCATCAGTCTGGAGGTCCACGTTCACCGCCCGAGGCTACGAGAGGGAGGGGAAGGGGTAAGTGAAGGTACAGACAAGGGTAGACTGACAAAGACCATAGACTGTACAGATGTACGATGCTAACACGCTAGCACAATGAAGCCCTATAGGCTCTGGCTCCTATTGACTAATATTGAAAAGTAAACTACTCCAGCTCAGTAATGTTTGTATCACTTTGGGCATAAAATACAGGGCTAAAGCAGGACTAAACCGAGGCTTAACAAGGATTAAACCAGGACTACATCAACAAATCTATCTCATCTTCGGCTTCTTTCGCATTAAGGCTAACACTATGATGATGTCACACTCAGCTACTCCTAATACACGATCTATGACATTGAGACCATGGTTGGAGTCAAAGTGAGAATGTGGGGTATCAGCTCCTCGCATGAAGAGACCTGATTAAATTACAGTAGGTTCTGTACATCACACAACATTGTTCTAGTCTACAAAGTAATCTGTGAGCAACTTTACTTCAGGAAACTTATATGTTACATATAAATTACAGTGTTTTGGTAAAAGCTTAACGCGATCATCACAGATTAAAGTAGTGGTAACTTTTGTCTCGTTTTGACTATTTCCAACAGAAATAAATCAGGCCACAACACACAGTCTTCATCTTCACACACCTTCTCTGTCCCATACTTGTGAGAACAAGCCCAGTTACTATTTAACTCTAAAAGACGGACATCTATTCCCACTTATGGACATTGTCATCTGCCCCTCATGGACCAATGGCTCAATGTGTTTGTTACCATAGCATTGCCTTTGTTTGAACTGTTTGACTCTCTGATCTGTATTGGCGAATCAAAAACTTTGTAAAGTCATCACAGATACTTATGTGATTAAGGACTGTATACAAATACATTGAATTAAGGCCAAATATACAAGCGTGTGTGGAAGCCGGTGATAAAACCAAACTGTTTTAAGCGCAAGGGAGTAGTTACATGGGTATTTTAATGGTTTGGAAATTAGCTATCACAGCTTGTATGACGTAAAGTGACTGAGAATGATGTGGACAGCTCCAGACAGGGATCAGAGCAGCAGTGATTACACAGGACTCGGCTTGACCACAGTCATGTGACAGTCCCTCACAGATGGACCGGGTCACAACAGTTGATTTCACACCAGATTTCAGATGAATAAAAGTTACAACACAAGTTGCTGAAAGTGTCATTGTCTCCGTGTCCATTAGACCTGCAGCAGCTAATGAACTAATGGACAAAAGCTGCCTTTAGCTGTGAGCAGAGACTGTATTATAAAAGGTCTGTGCACTGTCTGACAGAGTTAGCTGCTATTGCTAATGCTAATGCTAACAGGGCTAGAGCTGCTCCGACCGGGGACACATGAGGAGAGACGCGAGTGTGCAGGGATAGGGGACAACGTGTGAGGACTGTGTGTGCCGGAGCTCGCTCAGCGGGGCTCAGAACACCCTCAGCCGGCTGGAAGACACTCACCCCTCGATCCTCTTCGCTGAGGAAGTCCGGTCCGTCGTCCAGCCCCTCCTGCTGCGGACACAATCCGGGAGAGAGGGCGTTATTGTGGGCTTTAGCGGAAGGACACCGGGACAGAGCCGGGCCCCGGGGCACAGGACAAACACACACAAAAAGATACGTAAATATGAGAAAAACAGAAAGAGAAAAACTGCACTCACCATCATGGCCGCCAGCGAGCAGAGCGGAAGCACCGCGGCGTCATCAGGAACACAACCCAACACAACACGCACGAGCGACGAATATTTTAATTATCAATTTTCGTTTGCTTCAAATGTCTTTACAGTAAATAACGTTTGTAAACACCTTGAATATGTGTTGTAACAGAAAGCACATGTCCCTATTTAAGGTCTCTGCACTGGCTCAAGTGGCTCCAACAAGGACTGGCCTCCTACTGGTGCTGAGAGGCAGGACTAAACATGGAAAATGTGTGACAGGTTTCTCCTCTGACAATGTACAAATCTATGATACAAGATACTATTCTGTTTAGGACTTTTGAGTTACTTTTTATGTATGAACTGTCCATCGCTATACGATAAACAGGTGGAAACGACGCTTTAGGCCCCTATGTGGCACCGGAAGTTCCCAAAGGTCTCTCATCACAGCACTAACCAGGCCCTGCCCTGCTTAGCTACTGATCTGACATAAGGCTTTCAGGTGCAAGTGGCGCCTTAGAAGCAGTCAACACGACAGTAGTAATAGTATTTGTAGTAGTAATACTAACAGTGACCGCAACAACAGTGATGTAGGGGTATTAGTAACAGTATTCATCAATTCATTCCCAAACCCTTTATTAATCCATTTCTGGGCAAATGCTCCTAGGCAGGTGGTGAGTCCACAGGAAGATGGCTTCTGTCAGCAGTGAGACAATCTTGGTGTTTCAGCAGGGTTCTTCAGACGGCGGTGTCATGCCCACGGACACGACAGCAGACATTAGAGGGAGCAGGACTCATGGGGGGGATCAAACACACAACCTTCAGGCCATATAATGCTCAATGAGCTACCAATTGAGCCACTGTCACCCCTATAAGTAACATTAGTCAATTAAAATGCAATAATAAAGACAGGAGGCAGCGCTGGTGCCACTTGGTTTATTGTGGCTCTTCACTTTAAGGCTCTGCTCTGACCAAGCTGTGGTTAGACTTTCACCAAGATCTAAAAGGACATTCAACCATGAGACCAGGACCAGACCAGGTCCCGACCGGGTCTACATGAGGACTAAACCCGGTCCAGAGGTGGTCCATGTCCAAAACACAGTCAAACCCAACAAATGTGGCGTAGGAATCCGAAGCCTCCCATCACAGAAACTTGTAAAACAAACTTATAACAAAAGCAGCTTTTCTTTGAATTCAATCTTTTATTAAAAATACTGAACTGAATATTCTCCAGGAGACGAATCTGTGAGGGGAGTCTCGGATTCCAATGAGTAATAATGACAGAAGAAGAAGACTCCAACAGAGAAATAAGTACAAAATCAGGATTCACAACAGTTTATGCTCAAAATATCAGATCCATAAAAATGTGGAATAAGCAGCAGTGGGCTGAGGAGTGACTTAAAAAAAACACCCAGATTTATTTCTGTTTTACTTCAAATTGGTTCTGGATTTGGAACTAGAGAGTTGTGTGTCCACTCATGTGTGTTCTCATTTACGTTTAGTGTTTAGTCTGCAGCAGTGTGTGTACTTCAAGGAGTAGTGTGAGAAGCCATGCGACGCACAATAAATAAACTTCACTTTTCGAGACGCTTTTGGCAAAAAAACAAAAACAATCAGACTGTTTCTGGGAGGGTTTGAGTTCTTCATTTCAGGTTTGTTTTTTCAGTCGTGTGTTGTCCTTCATTTCAACAAAAACAAGACTCTTCCACTGAACACCACTGAGCTATTACATCAAGATTTCTAAAAGTGATAGAGCTTCAAACAACAGCTTTGAATCCAGCTTAAGTTTGGACCAGAGGATTCTTAGGAGCTGGTTCCAAAAGGATGAAGAGAGAGGTCAGAAGTGTTCAGTGGAAAAGCCAGGAGAGTTTTTGTAAACATGCTTAAACCGATCCTTCATTTTGGACAAAAGAGCCTAAAGGTTTTCCTTCAGACGGCGGCTGCGGCGGGTGGGGTGTGGGGGCAGGATGGCACGTGATTGGCTGCAGCAGGCGCCCGTCACAGAGGCTTTCCTTCCAGAGACACGACCACAGGCCCCCCCAGCTTCTCCGCCAGAGTGGAGCGGTCCTGGATGTCGTCAAGACCGTTCACCTGCCACTCGTGTTTGATACCTGAGGGTTAAAGATGGTTAGAGTCTGGTCTCTCCCCTCTCTGATCTCTCCCCCTCCCGCATACATGAGTGCAAAGGCACTAGAACAAAATTTACCTGTAAACTTCTTTTTGATGGCGTCTTTGGAGCTGGCGTAGATCATTTTACTCTTAAGAGGAGCGCCTTCTGGAGCCCTGGAGCAGAACACAACAAAGTGGTTTGTAAAAAACCATGTGTTGAGAAATAAACTTTTATAAGAAAATCCTAAACCTTGTATGTACATGTCCTAGGGTCTAGGAAACGTGGATCATTCAGTTTAGTGGTGTGTGAAAAACAGCAGCTGAAGCATCACACTGAGACTTTCAGATCACTTTGAGTCTCCGCAGGTTTCAGCATTTATGGAGAAGTTTTTTCCAACTCCTATTTTACAACACTTTCATCTTTTGCCGACAGCATGTATGAAGGAGCACTGTGGTAATTTGTCTTTAGTTTGTCCTTCTCTTTTCCCAAAAGCCAATGCTGCAGAGCGACCTCCTGAGGACCCCGCCACTGCTGCTATCGGTAAACTCACTGTCAATCATTGTGCTCAGCTCAAGTTCAGGGAACCAAGATGGGGCCCCAATCAAATCTATTGCCGCTTTTCAACAGTATCAGTACGGTACAGTACAGTACGCTTCAGCACGGTTATTTTGCGTTTCCACTAGTGGATGGTATGGGAGATTTGAGTACTTTTCTGTACTGCCTCAGCCGTGGTTCCATCCCCATGACGTCACGTCGGCCCACTGCCTTACACTGATTGGTCAACGAGTGTCGTCACTGTAAGCGACATCTGACCCTTTGGGAAAAACAACTCAAACGCCATCTTTAAAACCGGCTGCTCTGCTCGACTCTGTTTCGGCTACATTACGTCCTCCTCACTCCAGAGAAATGGAATTGCACAGAAAGCCCCAAAAGTCCTGGTCCTGGTAGGTGGAAGAGGTCCACACGTTCCTCTCTTCAGGCCAAAAGAAAGAATTCAAAGGCAGCTCGAGGCTCAACACAGTTTTCAGGGAGATCACCCAGCTCTGGATTTGTGACTAGTCTGTGGTAATCCTGGAAATAACTGGTTAGGTACGAATCCCGTTGGCCCAAAGCTCTCACTGAAATGTATTTTCTGTGTAAATGTTCGATTGTCTATTGTACACAGTGAGCTAGCTACAATTAGCTTCATTTAGCTATCGATAGCAGCTAAGCTAACGTCCTCCCTGTGCTACTGTGCTTTATCTCTTATTATCTGCAGTATTCATGTGTTGTCATTCTGTTTTGTGCTTGTATTTAAGTTGTCGTCTGTATATTTGTATGATAATCCCTTTCCATAAGTGTGGAGATTACCAACGAGTAATGAGTGACCGGAGTATTCTCATCTGGACCTGGTCTGGACCTGGTCTCAGACATACGTACTTTTGACTTTGTAAACTGTTGGTTTTGCACTTTACTTTTGTTTTCAATAAATCTGTGATTGTATCCCAAGACTGTGTTTCATTCATTTATGTAGTTGAGGTTTGGGTATCGATTGTTTGTCTGGTCTCGGAGTCTGCTGTAGTCCAGACCCGAGTCTGGACTAGCCTAGCCTAGCCGCTAACTGGCTACCCCTATGGCTGCCGCTGTCTCTCCCTCGGTCCTTTACTGCTTGAGTTGCCATATGACGAGTTTAAACCCTGGATCCTCTTCTGAGGGTAGTGATAGATGTGTTAAGTGTAGTACAGTAGTAGCTTTGGAATCCAGGGTTAGTGAGTGAGCAGAGTCTCGAGCTAGCGCTAGCATTAGCTATAGCCTAGCAGTATCCTCGGACATGCAGCCCTCCTCCTCTGCTGCACAGGCTGCTGTTGCTACAGGTATGTCCCATTCAGTTTGTACAGAGCAGTCAGCACCATTGACTTCACAGTGTCTGAGTCATTCTTTTAAGACATAAGCATTTTCAAAAACTACTCGTGCTGTGCTGAATTTTCTATTAAACACTTGCTCTGGTTTTATAATAAATCCATGCATGTACTAGTTACGCGTCACACGTAAATGACGTGGTCTGACAACGCTGAGGACATACTGGGGGTACTATTTTTGATGGAAAAGCACGCGAACTGGGCCATGGCGCGCCGTGTAGAGTCAAAACGTACCGTACTAGGACTGGAAAAACGGCATAAGGTTTATGGTCAGTAGCGCATGGGACTGAAAGATTAATGGAACTAGTCCTCCTGGTTCTGAGGAGTGGACAAGCTCCCATGATGCTTTGTGGCAAATACAAATGTGTAGCTCCCATGCACAGAAGGGCTGATCAGAGCTGAGCTAGAGCGGGAGGAAAACAAGCAGAGTTTGTTGCACTAAAGTGTGGCTATATAGAAAACAAATAATTAAGAAGAAAAAAGTTCAGGGCGACAAGGGACACTAGAATACCCAGAGAATCCTCAATGAAAGCTGTAGGTTTTGTGAGCCAAGGTCCAGCTTTTCTAGTTTACATGTAAGTAGGGATGTAAATCGGATCGGGTTAGAACTACATTGGAGCATACATATACACACGCATACCGGTCTGTCGCGCTCCTCTGTGTCACGCATCCCAAAGGATCCTCGAAAATACGTGGCTCCAGTCAAACCACATGGAAACATGTTTGTGCTGATAGTCCTTGGCATTAGATCAGCCCCACACAAATCATTTGTATTTAAGCTTTAGAGGAGACCTGCGGTTTGTCAATCGCTGCTCTTACCATGTGGACGAGCAGTCGTATGCTGCTAAAAAGCTTTAACCCGTACATACATATATATATATATAAAGCTGCACTTATGAAAAGTGCGTGGCTCGAAATGGCTGTTATTTCAAAGAACATGGAATGTTTTAAACTACGCGGTTAACCGGTTTCAATCGGTTAATGAAACGGTCGTGAAAATTCATAGTTTTTTTACATCCCTAGTTCTGAGGGATTTTTTTTCTGGATAGACCACGTGAATTTGGTCTTATTTATTCTGCAGTAGGGCTGGGCGATATGGCAAAAAAGAAAAATCTTGATTTTATTTCCTGCTTTGGACGATTTCGATTTTAAATTTCAAGTTTCAAAACTATATATAATTTGTTTCCACTAATACGTATTATAAAAGTCTTGTACAGATTGTGCTGATATTGCAAGTATAATTCATGTGCTGCTGGAACTCTCACAACATCCTTCATTCAATTTCACAATTCACATTTTTCACAAATTTGATTTTTTCAAAAGCCGATTAATTGCCTAAATTTGATTTATTGCCCAGCCCTAGTCTGCAGTGCAGCAGGTGTGCACCCCAAGCCCATGGGTGGGACAGCTCTAAGCTAGTAATACTGTATCCAGATATTATTATAGATCAACAGCTCAGCAGCCATGTCAGACTGCACCAGAATCTGTTTATGTATCTGCTAAGTTACATAGCCTCTAACATTATGCAGCATCTAACGCTGGTTATTTGTGATTTCAGCAAAAAAGAGCAGAGCAAACACTGAAAAGAAACTAGAGTGTTTCTGTGTAAAACACCTGGGCGGCACGGTGGCTGAGTGGATAGCACTCTCGCCTCTCAGCAAGAAGGTCCTGGGTTCGAATCCCGGTCGGACCAGGGCCTTTCTGAGTGGAGTTTGCATGTTCTCCCCGTGTCTGCGTAGGTTTCCTCCGGGTACTCCGGTTTCCCCTACCACTAAAAATATGTCCAATAGTTCTAGCATGCGCCTCCTGTGATGGCGACCGCGCTCCCATCTCTGTGTGGAGTGAGAGACAAATGCCCAAAAATTAACAATTGTAAACCGCTTTGAGACTCAGATCTGCAGTGAAAAGGCGGTATATAAATAAATACTTTACTTACTACTTACTTACTACCTGTAAGTTGTGGTTTGTGATTTGTTGAAGTAGCAATCTGTGCGTCTCAGACTAGCTCTAGACATTCCACCGTCTGCTCCCACCTCTGAACTCCGACCTCCAGCTCAGAGACTGGAAACTGTTAAGTCTACACACTGTCAATAGACTTCAGGTCTATTACTGTTATTACATTTCCCATCGGGCAAGTGCCATTTATATTTTACTTACCCAATGTCAAACGGTACTTGCCCAAATATTTCTCAATACCATGAGTAAGCGCCAACAGTTGCTCAGCCTTTGAGCCTACTTCACGACCCCCACTGATGTCTGCTGTCGTTGTGTCCTTGGGCATGACACTGGAGGATCAGTGAGGGGCAGGTGCAGCTCTGACTGCCGCCCAACACTGTATTATACCTTATACATTTATTGAATATAAAGGCGGCACGGTGGCTGAGTGGATAGCACTCTCGCCTCTCAGCAAGAAGGTCCTGGGTTCGAATCCCAGCCGGACCAGGGCCTTTCTGAGTGGAGTTTGCATGTTCTCCCCGTGTCTGCGTAGGTTTCCTCCGGGTACTCCGGTTTCCCCTACCACTAAAAACATGCACAATAGATCTGGCATGCGCCTCCTGTACTGGCGACCCCGCTCCCATCTCTGTGTGGAGTGAGTGGACCAATGCCCAAAAATAATAACAATTGTAAACCGCTTTGTGACTCTGGTCTGTGAAAGGCGGTATATAAATAAAGATTACTTACTTACTTACTTATAAATGTACTTATATTAACTGTGTTTGAATAAAAAAACAACAAAACAAAACACGCTGCATGAAAATGTAAATAAATAATAGTACCGTAGCTTTAACTGGATTTCAGATATGTATTTGGCGACGGCATGTACCTGGGTTCCAAATGGTCTATGGGGCTGCGAGCCAAACTGATGAACTCCAACATTTTCGGGTTGTTGCTGAAAAGCTTTTTGTGACGCTGCGTCAGTGTCATCTGTGTCTCGTTGTTTTCATGTAATCTCCTTTCGATGCAAAAACTCCCCATGCTGTTTCTCGTGGTGCTTAGTCGTGTTGTATTTCGCTAGTTTACCGCCGCGTGAACAACGCTGATTCTTTCCTGCGCTCCATGCTGTGTTGTTGTAGAGCGCCACGAGGAAGTGACGTGTACGTCAGATCTGATAAATTAATTTAAATTAATTCATTTTATACGTATATGTACATTATGCACAATGTATTTTAAGACATTGTGCGGTACCTGGTATGTATTAAAATATATATATATATAATAAAAAAGAAAAAAAAAGAAAATGGATCGGCAGCATGGCGCCTCTCTCTACGCAGATATCCGATCCAGTATTTTTTCTGGTATCGGCGCCGATATCGATACCAGTATCGGATCGGTGCATCCCTATTTGAGGCCAATACAACAATAAATTGAATTGAAGTAAACATAAAATATATAAATTCTATGTCTTTTTCAAGCTGAACACACAATGCAAATAACAAATCATTTCTGTCACTAAAGCAGACATTGAAACTACAAACTTTATATAGCTGCACTTATGAAAAGTGCGTGGCTCGAAATGGCTGTTATTTCAAAGAATAGTATTTACCGGTTGAAACCGGTTAACATGGTTAACCGGTTTCAACCAGTTAATGAGGCTCGATGGTCGGTCATGAAAATTCTGTTTTATTTCACATCCCTACTACAGACCTACAACTACATGGAGCGTAATGGGAGAAAGCTGCTTCTCAAACTTTAATTTTTATAAGAGGAACAGAGAGAGGGTCGATGTCCGAGGATCTGAGACAGTAGCAGCAGTAGTACTTTTAGAAGTAGCAGTAGTATTATTAGCAGTAGTAGTGGTGGTTGTATCAGCACTAGTACCATCAGCAGCAGCAGTCCCACTCACCAGAAGACAAAGACGAGGTCCTCCTTCTTGCTCTCACGCGTCTCGTACGTGGCGTCATAGAGACAGTAGCGACAGTCTTTGGGGGGCAGCATTTTGACGAAGCAAGCGTAGGGGTCGTCCACTGTCTCCCCGATGTCCCCCACCAGGATCTGTTTGCCTTCCTCCACGATGATCTTACGCCTGTCATCCGAGAGGCAGAACAGCACGGCCTTCTTACGCTTCTTCACGTCCTCTGGAGCAGACGACTTGCGCACCTTCATTTCGTTGAACACTTTGATGACCTCATCGTTCACGGTCACGCCTGAAGCCTGGAGCACAGGGACAGGTCAGAGGTCAGATGTACAGTTCTTTGAACCCTCAGAGCTAATTTCTTACTAACAAAATATTCTGCACCAGTTACAGATCAATACACAGATGTATACATATTACAGGCTAAAAAATATGACATTTCTTTGTTTTAAAGTATAGAGTAGGGCTGGGCAATAAAACGATAAAGATATATTGTATATCACGATAGACACATGTTCGATATCAATAGAAAATTGGGTCGATAGAATATTTGATAGTTTAAAACAGGAAAGAAAACACAGGAAGTAAAACCGAATCAGAAGCACGCAGCATTCTTGGGGACGTAGGCAGAGGCTTCTTGATCCATCACGGCCGAAAATGAACCGCAAAACATTCTGGGATAGCCATCACGGGGACACAAGACACTGGACAACAGCCAAAACAGGAGCTAAACCAGGACTTAACCATGACTTAACCAGGACCAAACCAGGACTGACAATGGGGGACACTTTGCTTGTGAACATATGCCTCGAGCCTGAGTCCTCAATCCCCCCTAACTTTTTAACAAGTGCTGCTAATGTGTTAGACAAATGTATTTATTTAGATTTAAAAAAAGATTATAATTACAAAATCAATAATTATTGATATCTTCCGATATGATCACTTATATTGTGATATAGTTTTCAGCCATATCACCCAGCCCTAGTATAGAGTTGTGCTATACTTATATATTCATCTTGTGCTGTGTGCTCTTCATTCTACTAGTCTGTAACTGGTGATGCAACACTGACATTTCCCCACTGAGACAAATAAAGGCTCTCTGAATCTTACAGTTTAAGGATGGAGGGGGCCTTTTCAAACAAAATCAGAATCTGCTCTGGAGTCTGGACCAAAGTCAGTTTCAAGTTTCCACAGCAGCCGCTCCCTCCAGAAGCCTGATGGTGGAGGAGATACTGAAAGTCAAAAGTCCATCCAGTCCTGGTCCTGTGAAAAACTTGTCTGTGATTGGCTGCCCCATGTACACACTGCTCTGGCTGGCTGCTGTCATGAGTAAGCAGGTTTTTTATAGAGAGTGACTCTGCTCATCTTTAATCTGAAGAATTCAATATAAAAAAGGTATGAGAAGACAAACACCCTGGGGCAGACAGAGGTGGGCACCTGCTTAATCCTAGTGCATTGAACTGTTTAGTGTTTGGAGCCGTGTGTCAATGCTGAGAGGTGGTTGCCATGGTTTCACTGTAATTACCTTTAATCATCAATGTTTAGATCCTAAAATTAAAGCTCCAGTGTTTCCCTGAGATTAAAATATTTTGTAAATACATTTCAAATTGGCAGTCATTCTAGAATGATCTGAGTCATAAACCTCAGCGTCTGTGGAAGATTCAGAACGCAATTAGTTGTGATTGATCTATTTTCTTGACAAAGCTCTGTGTCACTCACTGGAGAAGCTCCGCCTCCTGCTTCTTTCTTATTCCTGAATATAAAACGACTATAAATACGAAGCAGTCAATACCTGAGCGTCAAAAGTCTGATCTCAGAAGCTAAGCAGAGTGGTTCCAGGTAGTACTGTGATGGGAGATCATTTGTCAGTTGACAGGTCCTATCTCCATTTTCCCAAACGCTAAAAACATGTACAGCTCTCTGGAGCCAAGACTCTGCTGAAGAAAAGAATGACTTTTATTTCCGAGTAAAATAAAAGGTAAAAGAAGATGCAAGTACATTCCCTACAGGAACATCAAAACTCCAGACCAAAGTGTTACTTATTCTAACACCTTTAACTAAACAATATTTAAACTATTTTCTGAAGGCTGTTTCCTTTTCACGTTTTCTAATAATTACAGTCTCTGGTGACATCACTCCAGGCACTGGTCTTCACTTTCATTTGACCTGTGGCCTCGCCATAAACCAAAGTTTTCAATCCAATAGTCATCACAACCTTAAAGCCACCCATTCGAGAAAAAAAACATCACAAACACCAGGCTCACATGGTAAGTGATAAAGCTGCCTCCCTGAGCTCTCTGAAAAAATGTTTAACACAGGGGAAAGGCCGGTTCTTTCCCAAACCTTCACGCCGACCAAACCTGAAACATGAATACTACAACAGGAAGCCAATCAGAGGCTTCCTGCAGCCCTATCCTATGAACACTATTGAGTCATGGGTCAGTCTTCTGATTTCAGTCAGTCACATGTGTTTGACTCTAAACCGTGTGAACAAGCCCCCAAAAGGGTTTAGAAACAGTTTCAAAGTGTGTAAGTTGTTCAGAATGAGAACTCACTCACATTACTGTCCAATAAAACACACAAGACTGGTCAAAGTGCACTCACTGATAGAGCCACAAAATATGGGCCAATCAGGGCTTTCTACAGTGACTCGGGGAATAACTGCAGGTACAAATATAAAGCCCTGAACAGATGTCAATTAAACAACTCCTCACACAGCAGAGAAAAAGTTCCATCTTAAGATAAAAAGTTTTCACTGTGAGCAGACACAGCAGATTGCAGGATCCCGGTCCTTTCCACAGACACACTTGAGTTAGGGTTAGACACACAGGTTCAGGTGAAACTGTATTGGAGCCGGTGGTTCAGGGACTTTCCTGTGGGGCCCCATCTGCTGCGGCCCATCAGTGCCTGTCGGCCCTTGGTCTGAATGGACTGCACTCAGAATAAACAGGACGTCACAGTTCTGATTGTAAATCTGGTCCTGTTTGTTTTACGTGATTGTTATCAGAGCTTTGCCGCATCTGGCCTTCTCTACAAAGGCTGTCAGCCCGATCTCTGTATCCGGGAGGGCCAGCCCTCTCCCTGCCAAGAGCTGCTCCAGTACGGCCTCTGGACCTCCAGCTCCCCCGCAAGATGGCCGCCGGGCCCAGGCCTCGGGCAGTCCGGTCCAGAGGAACACTGAGGCCCGGAGATAGTCCAGGGGAAGATGGAATCCACTTTAAGATCAGTTTAGGGACTCTGTGGTTTGTTTAAAGTCTCAAAAAGAAAAGATAAAACACAGAAGTTTGGTGAACGAGCAGAGCGTGCGCGAGCGTGGTGCTAATCAGCTACAGGCTAACGGTCCGTGTGGACACTGCAGACACTTAAATACACGATTAAACATACTCCCAGTCGGTTAACTCGCTTGTTTGACATTTATACCGAACATTTAACACTGTACCGGTGGAGCGAGGGACAGCTAAATGTTTGGGTAAATGAAGCGAAATCACACCGCTCCGCATGTTTCAACTACGGCCACATCATCGAAATCGCCAAAAAACCACCACAATTCACATGTTTAAGGCCACCGGCCGAATGACACTGAGCCCCCCGCCATGAGAGTGCGTTTATGCGGTGGAACGGGAGGTTCAGAACCCGGAGAGAGCGCATAGCAGTAGGTCGCTGAGATTAGCCGTTAGCTCGGTCTGTTCAAATAACGGTCCGCAGCAGTGAGGGTTGAAGGCAACTAAAGCGGGTTCAGGGGCACTCTAGCCGGCGTGAGAGCGTTCAAAATCCGCTACACTGAAGCAGGGACCGGGGGAACACTCACCATGTTTCCCTGGGTTCTTGGCCGTCGATCGGGGCTGGTTCTCGGTGAAAGAGAGCAGTGAGTAACTGGGGAGTGACTGAGGCCGACACGGGAGACAGAGGCGGGACCAGAGAGGCAAGAGGAGGGCGGAGAGGAAGGAGAGGCCGGGGTGACAGCTGAGAAGGGGACCCCTGTCTGGTTGAACCTAGGAAACTGTTACAGAAACACGACTAAAACTATTCATAGGATGCTTTTTCATTAATCACTATAGAAAATGTTCTTTGGTCGTTCTGAAATCCATGGAAGGAGTACTCTGACCATATAAACTAACTCTGGAACTGCAAAAGTCCAGAAATTAAAAAAGTAAAAGTGAGTTGATGGAAAATTTTACTAAGAGCTATGACTGATGACTATATCTTGGAATACAGAAAAAAGCTTTTTTGAAAGCCTACCAAATGCTAACTGTTTGCAATTAAACTAATGACTGCTGTTCACAAGCCATTTACACTTTGAAAACAAAAAGCCTTGGAGTTCTAGTGTGAAAGCCCAACTTTTTGTTATATTCTTGCCTGTTTGATCTAAAAGTTCATGTCTAATTACTTATATTTGCCCTGTGAGTCACTATGTTTTTGGGATGAAAGAAGGTGAGTGAGGTCAGTTTTTTGTCTCAAAAAATCTGATCAAGATGAGACAGAGGCCAAAAGCAGGACAGCCCAGGCATTTCTTTATAAAACATCCTTTATTTTTTACAAATGAATCATTTATTAAACCAGTGGGAGAACAGAGAAAACCAAGATTTCTTCAATAAATACAACAGAAATAAACTAAAGCAGTAGTTTGACACAAAAACTACAACAAAAACTAAACCTCCCTCCGATATGGAGCAGCTTCTAAACAAGCGGAGGTCACAGCAAAACAGTCGGAATAATGGATTTTTAAGAACACATCTCTGTCTATACATATACGTAAATACCATTGACTAAGTTCCACAGTAGTAGGTGTAACAGGTGAAAGGAGCAGATAAGATTGGACTTGGCTCAGTGTTGGAAATGCACTTTTTGTAATAAGTCTCACTTATTTAATTTGATCACAGAAATATGTCACTATTTTACCTAAAGTTTTTCTCAGTGATTTGTCTCTTATTTACATTGCAATTACAGATAAAGCAGTTTATTGACGGATGAAATGTGAGAAGATTCAAGTCTGAGTGTCTTAGTAGTACAAAACAATCCTAACTTCATAACTTTTTTTTTTTTCTTCAATGTTGATCCAAAATGGCGTCTTTCACAAAAAAACAAAACTTACAAGTATGGGCGCACACAACAGAATGTATCTGAATTATTCTTAGACATTAAGAAAATTTCCCTGAGATTAAAAAAAAAAATGATAATTAGGAATGTAAACACACCTCACACTTAAAATAAACAAATGTAGCTCTATATGAAGAAGAGTTTTGGTGAGAAGAGTTTGAACCTGTATAATGCCCAGAAACACCTAAGATGCTTTTTAAACCAATTTAATAATAATTTTAATAATACAAAAACATTTTAACAAATGATTTTAGGTTTGAACCAACTCAGCTATCATTTAAATTTGTAAAGTAGAATTATGAATGGTTTTTGCTCTCCAACCTACTACATATGTAAATGTTCCCACTGCTAATATGAAATCCCCTGAAGGCCATTTTTATAGTGAGGGTGTGACTAAACTGGGGGGATACTGGACTAGTTCCTGGTACTGGTTACCCACAGATATCTGGTTTGTTCGGGTTAGCATTTCATAAAAAGCCTGTTCCCAATTGTCCTAAAGTATGATAACACATTTTGATTCAGTTGTAGGTGCCTATATTCTCAAAGAAACTGAACATGTGCAGCAAATGCACTAGCTCTAGTTTATCCAAAGTGACCAAACGTACTCTAGGCTCAGAAAGATGTGAATAGTGCTAATGGACTAAATAGGATGAGAGCAATAGGCAACAATCCAGGGTAGCTCCAGATTTGGTACAAGACTATTTTAAGATTTTCCTGCAATAGAACATGTTTATATGAAGATACTATGAGGTCTAGTATCAGGTCCAGAACCAGATATGATACTAGGCTCCATGTTTCCAGGACTTGGGGCCTTTCCTGTGTGTTCAAATGGAAATAATTATTTACATACATTTGTGTCTCGACGGTTCCTGGTGTGTGCAGAGAGAGGAGTGGCATCTGTGAGTAGGTTTATATAGCAGAAGAATACTAAAACTAATAAACTACAGAAAACTGACTTTTCTGATTTTTAGCTTGGAATGATAATTTACTGGTGAAATACAAACTATAGACAATAGCATTTCATAAATAGATTAAGTAAAAGAAATTTGGGAGATTTTGGCTTTAAATATGGCTCCATCCAATGTGTTGAAGCATGTATGGACCTCTAGAGCTGCCCTGAGATTGTTGACAATATTTTTTAAGTAGACAAACTGAACCAGATCCAAGATTTGAATGTCAGTCTACATTCTAAAGCAGTATCCAGTTGTGACTCGGGCCTCAGTGCTTGGAGCGTTTGGCTGGAGGCTCGATGCTGGCCTTCAATCCGATCTTCTCCAGCTCCGAGTGGAAGTACTCCTGCAGCCTGGCCCCGGCTTTGGCCTCGTTGCTGCTCCGTGGGTTGTACTGCAGACAGTTGGAGAACATCAGCTCCACGTCTGCCATGTACTCCGCTGAAACACAAGAAAAAACATTTGTGTCTCGATGATCCAGTGCAGGCGTGTGAGGCAGAGAGAGGATGGGCATCAGGGAGTACATTTACAAAGCAGAAATAGGGACTTATGTGTTGCTCCCAAACTTGCCTTAACACTCAGGGCATTGTACCTTGTAGTAATAGTATTAGTAGTGTCAGTGGCACCTCTTTTGAATTAGTCCTCTGTCTGTTTTAGTGAGTGTGCAAGAGTGTTTATATATTTCATTTGCTGCGTTTTTTTGTCTGCGGTATGAACTGGGCACGATTTTACTATGGCAGAGGTTGGCGAGTAGTCTACACCCCTGCAGCTCACTGATTGGTGGACCCAGAAGTAAAAGGGGGAAATTATGAATGAACAGGAGCCGACACAGAGTGGGAAGGGGGGAGGAGTCAAGAGGTGAGGATGCGGACACAGACTGGTGTGTTGTTCCACCTCCATGGTCCGCTCGACCATGGAGGAGGAACTACAAAAATGAAAATCTGGAATTGACTGAACAGATTTGCAGAGCGGGACGAGACCGGTAACGGTAAGAGGCCGGGAGCCGAGCCACGGGTACGAGGCCGGGAGCCGAGCCACGGGTACGAGGCCGGGAGCCGAGCCACGGGTACGAGGCCGGGAGCCGAGCCACGGGTACGAGGCCGGGAGCCGAGCCACGGGTACGAGGCTAGGAGGGGTTTGGTGGGTCAAGGCCAGGAGCGGATCAGACAGGAGGACCACATGCAGATCAGAGACAAACAAGCGCACCAGCCGCCAGCACTGCAGGGCCCGTGGTTTTACCCTGCATATTATACCAACTATTTTAAACTTACTTTTACATACCATGTTTTTTAAGACATTTAATTCAATTCAAACTTGTATCCCTGGCCTTTTATTTAACAGTTTTTAAACCGGATTGAAAAGAACCTCACACCTAGTGTGACAGTTTATTTTCTTTGGTCATTATGAACATTAGACCTTTGGTCCATGTATTCAAAGATCTTCAACATTTTACAATAACTAAACTAATCATCAGAACTAGATCATGTGTAATATGAATTTTAGAGATAAATTTAATGTTACCTGTGGATTGGTACTGACAGTTGTTGACCTTCTCCCTGATGATGCTCAGAGCGATTGGCCTCTTCACAATGTCGTAATAATCTGGGACCTGGAATCACAATGTTCAGTTTGGTCTCGTGCAGACGCCTATGGTCCTACAGCAGGTATAGGTATGGTCCTCTCTCCTACAGCAGGTATAGGTACAGTATGGTCCTCTCACCTGAGTGCGGGAAACCAGCTTCATGAAGGGCCAGCTGTCCTGGTGTCGCACCAGCTCCACAGTGAGGAGCTCGCAAGCCGACAGCTCGTGGACTCCCTGGTTCCTCCCGGATGATCTCCTGCTGCCCCCAGAGCTGGAGGCCAGCACAGGTTTGGATTTGGGTTTGGGGTCCGCTGTGGGCTGGCTCTGTTTCCCCCGTGGGTTGGATGGTGGGCTGGTTTTTTTGCTGGTCTTAGGGGGGGTCTTGGGGGTGGTCTTGACGGTGGTCTTGGGTGTGGTCTTCCCGTTCTGTGCGACCTCAAGACTGAGGCGGGAGCTGCTGCGGCTGCCCGCTCTGGGTGGAGCTCTGGTCGATGGCGGAGACTGCTTCTTTCCCCCAGACCTGCAGGAAACAGAAAAGTTTCAGGACCAGAAAAGAACTGCCTCCTGCCTCCATTTCATATTTATATTGTAGAAATAAATGTATAAAATGTGTGAAACTGGAATTCTACAACTTTGGGATACAAATATCTGAAAAAGTCATACTTCTTAAAACTTAAGAAAAGTCCACAGCAGTAATTCTACCACATGTATGATAAAGACAAGGTTTGGATGAACTCTATTGAATAACAGACTGCTCAGACTCATGTGACCAACCTGGAGGTGGGTGTGGCTTTTGTTGCAAAGTTTTTGGGCGTGGTTTGTTGGCTCTTGGACGATGTTGATTGATTCTTTCCCTTTGTAGGCGGGGCCGAGCACCTCTTGTTTGTAAACGTGTGATGGGACCTGGATACGAACAAAGACGTCAGTCCATTGTTTTCAGTGAAGTAGCTTCAGAAAGGTTCAGAAAACATTGGTCCATTAGGAGCAGATGAACAATGTCCAAAAATGTTGTTGCCTAGAATGTCCTGTATCATCACTGTCCTTAGACCCTTCTGCATCTGAGAGGAACAAAGCCAGTGGAGGGAAAGTGAGAAACCTTGTAGACCCAGGACTGAGGCTGTAGACCCAGGACTGAGGCTGTTGTGTGGAGCAGTGGATCATATGTCTCTCACCTGGGGGTTGGCGTCGGCTCCTCCTCAGACTTCTCCTCTTCACTGTCTTCAGCCTCTTCTTCCTCCTCTTCCTCCTCACTCTCCTCCTCTTCCTCCTCACTCTCCTCCTCCTCCTCTTCTTCTTCGTCGACAGAGGACCTGGTTCTGGATGGGACTCTGCTGGATCTCTGCTTGGGTTTACAGTCGGGGCAAAACCAGTCTCCAGTTGGGATCGACTAAAACAAAAACAAAATTCTGGTGAGTTAAGCGAGAGCTGACCTTTGTGTAGAATTCCATTCAATACAATTTATTCTGGATCACAACAGCAGTTGTCATGGAGGACTTTACAAATGTGTCGATTCCTGAACAAGAAATGAGACAAGGAATTAAAATCATTACAAAGAGTGAATATACTATCCCTCAGTTGTATGCAGCTAAACAAATGGTTTTTTAACCTGGATTTGAGCATTGTCAGTGAAGAAGTTTGTCTCATATTAAACTGAAATGCTGCCTCCCCATGTTTAGTCCCTGTGCTCCTCAGAGTCCCAGCAGCTGAGAGTGTGAGTGCGAGTGTGAGTCCTTGCGTTTTGGCCACACACAGCATGTGTGTATTTTACCTTGAGTTTAGGTCGTAGACAGTGTGTGTGGTGTCCACGGTCACAGCCATCGCACAGTAGCATGTTGTCTGCGTCTCCTTTTCTTCGACAGATTCTACAGCGAGCATTTAACAAGGAGCGAGACCAGAGGATGGAGCGCTCCAGGGACGACAAGTGGATAAACACCTGAAAGAGAGAGAAGGGTTAGAGAGAGACCAGGGATAACAGACTGATAAACACATAAGAGAGAACCCAATGTTAACGCAGCAAAAAAAAGGAAATGGGCTCCAGCTAGCTTATGTTGAAATCTCCTTCAGCATTCGGCTAACGCAATGTTGACATCACTCTGTCAGTCCACTCCTAATATACGCTTTAGGGTTACTCATAATTAATTTCCATTGCCTTTCCATGAATAACTTGCAGGTCGTGTATTTTTTTTTATTGATCCTGTTGAGCCGCTTATATTTCTGGCTTGGTCCCTCGGTGGCTTCAGTGAGTGTTACCTGTGACAGACTGGAGCAGCAGCTCAGAGACTCTCTCCATCGCTCCAGCAGAGACCTGCCCACACGGCCGCCATCGCTGCCCTCTGCACAGACACACACACTAGTATTATATATCTTACCAAAACCTATTTACTAGACTTTAAGTATTAAATCACACATTGCCATCACTTACTTACAAAAGGAGAGATAGATATGGCTTAAATTTCAACGCCAAAATGTTCAGCTAATTTGTGTATCTTTTATTCTCCCCATAGAAATCTTTATAACAGGCGTGGTCAAACGAACAAATGTTGGTAAGTTACTTCACCAGGCTTGTCCAGGGGTCAACAACCCAGATTGTAAAACTGTTTAGACTGGTTTCATTGCATCTCCATCCATCCAGCCATCCATCCATCGGCTGTAGAGGTTCATGAGTAAAACTGGTCCAAAAAGTATAAAACTCACCGTCACTGCTCTGGTTCTTCTTGTTTTTTGCGTCAGTTTTCTGCACATCGTCACCTGCAGAGGATCGGCGTCAGTACAGATGGGAGATTCTAACTATTTAAACTGTATCCTGTCCATTTAATGTTTTTACCCAGGGGAGATTTGAGGAAGCGCCTCTCAATCCCTCTTTCAATCTCTGCCAGAGCAGTAGCCAGAGCCCTGACGCCCAGAGATGAGGCTCCAAAACTGGGTAGGAGAGAGGGACAGAGGGGTCAGTCCTGGAGGAACCTAGAACTGTCTCCTCTGAGATTTACTTTGGTGTCACTGCAGGAAGTTTAACTAACTGAGAAATATGACAATATGAATTCAAGTCTGGTTTCCTCGCCTTGTTGAGTGTTCCAGCTCTTCTACAATAACATCACAGTGAGTATGAGACACACCTGTCAGAGGACTCCACCTCCATAGATTGTTCCTCACAGCTGTCAATCAAAGTGCTGTAGTCTCCCGCCTCCAGAGCGGCCCTCCACACAAGTCTCTCCACCTGCGCACACGCACATACGGAAAAACACACAAACACAGAGAAACACAGAGACACCAGTGTTAGTTAATGTTGTTGACTCAAGCAAGCCGTATGACCTCTGACCTTTAGTGCCCCCAGAGTGCCCTGATAGACTCTGTCCTCGATGTCTAGCAGCAGATCTCGCAGTTTCACCTCCATCACTGATTCGGCCGCTTTGCCTTCTGGGACACTCTGCTCCTCTGAAACCAAAAATCACAAGATCTGAGGTTAATGCAACTGAGAAAGGCCACGTGTGTGTGTGCGTGTCTCACTTGTGTGTGTGAACTTGCTGGGCTCTCAGTCCTTCAGAGCAGTACTAAAGTGTGTGTGTGTCTCTCACCTGTGTGTGTAAACTTGCTGGGCTCACAGTCCTTTAGACCAGTACTGATGCGGGCTCTCTCCTGGGACAGTGCCTCCCTCAGGCCGCTCTCTCTGTGTCCTCTCGGGTTCAGAGTCTTCAGCAGCTGTTCCACTTGTTCCTCAGACGAGAAGAACCACCAACGGGGAGTGGACTCATAGGTGACGGGGGCACAGCCAGGCTCAGGGGAGGGAGGGGCGGAGTCTATTACAATAGGGGTGGAGTCTGGGCTGTCACTGAAAAACAAACACGACTTATCAAGATGCATTCTGGGCTTTTGGACTAAATACACCACGCCCACATATTTGATATTTTCTGCCAGAGGGAAGAAGCTGAAACATAGCTTTTCCAGGAGCCAGGAGACACATTCCAGGGCTCGATTTAAGTCTGGATTCATAACAAACCTGCATGTGTTGAGGCCAGAAACATGTGATAGAAGCAGACCGTTTGAGTGACATGATTTTCTGTAGTGTAGAAGTTAGGTACCCCAGCTTTATCATCTTGCGTAGAACTGACCTGACTCCCGTGTGGGCAGGTTCAGTGGTGCCCCCCTCAGGCCGGGTCATGTCGGCGGTGAGTCCGAACGCATCCTCCTCCACAAACAGTGCACTGAGAGACGGCAGCAGCCAGTACTTTCGGAACCATCGGTCTCTTCCTAGCGGCAGCAACGACGTGCACGTGTGCGCACGGTGAATCCGCACCAGCAACTCGTTCACCTGGTCCGCAACCAGGGAGGACACACATGGTGAGCTTCTCTTGCTCTCCATACAAATCTGTATTGATACCGCCTACCTTATCCATTTCATTGAACATTTATTAGACAGAGGTTTGGTAACATAGAATTTTTGTTGTACTTTCTAATGCCTCAATGCAAGTGATAAGGAGAGAAGCCTTATCCGTTCACAAACCTTCTCCTGTTCTTTCTGGAGTTCCTCAGGACTCAACGTGGCAGGTTTGGAATCAGGACCTTTCTGGGTGTCTGTACAACAAAAGTACACAAACAGACGCTGAAGCAGAGTCTAAGGCAGAGATTATTAGTAAAAATGCTAAGTGACACATAAGTGAGTATAAGTAACACCATCTATAGACACAATGAAATGATCAGCATATCACCTTTGTCCTGGATCTGCTCTGGTTTCATGATTGATTCTGTTCCATTCATTCTGTCAACACAAGTAGCAAAAGTTCTGAAATAAGTGGGACTTTCCGATAGTTTGACAGATTTTGTCAATTTCAGCAACATATTGACGTTTGTGACTCTGAGTTAGGACCCCAAATGTCTCACTGCTGTTTTTCAGACACGTCATTCATCTTTGATTGGACACAAACAGCTGAAACACTGAGAACCTGTACCTGATGTTCTCCTGCTCCCGTAGCTTGTCCTCACGCTCCTTCATCTTCAGCAGTCTCTCCTCTTTCCTCATCCGGACCCTGAACATTTCACACAGTCACACATGAAGATAAAAGGGTTTGGGAAATCCATTGTCTTTGGCCAAATAAATTGAAATTCATTGTATGTGTAAGCACATGGCATATCAGCGGTAGCAATTAAACACAGACACATTTCAGACAGGTGGCTCAATGCTATCTTTTCCCTTGTATCACATTTACTCGATTTACTTTTGTATTGCCCTAAATCACTACAGCAGTCGTCTCAGGACTTCACAAAGTTGTCGATGCACCAACAACAGATCAGAGAATCTGTTAATATTTGCTAAAGAATATTGTGTGGCTGTCCTCTGACCTATAGGCCGCCTCCTCTCTCTCCCTGCGGTGCTGCTCGGCCCTGATCTCCCTCAGTTCTTGTCTCGCCGCCTTCTGTTCGTCCATACAGTCCTCCATCAGGTCTCGGCTCAGGTCCAGACTCAGCAGTTTCCCCACCAGAGCATTCAGGATCTGCAGCTTCTCCCCTACACAGAAAGATAAGTGTACATATGCATTATTCAGCACACTCATAACAACGAGAGTCGCTGTCCTTAGCCCCTCCTGCATCGGCAAGGAAAAACTTATCATCCAAGTACTGATGGATACAACAATATATTTTGATAATTTCTGCCAGTAAAGTTTCTTTGCAAACATGGTTGTATCATGAATGAATGAATTATGAATAATTATTGTGACAGGCCTGAATTAGTTCCTGTTGCTTATAAGTAATAGGAGTAACAATAATATTAGTAGTAGTAGCAGCAGCTGCAGTAGTAGTAGTAGTAGCAGAAGTAATAGCAGTAGTAGTCACAGCAGCAGTAGTAGTAGTAACAGTAGGACCAGCATTAACAGCAATAGTAGTAGTACCTGGCTGAAGGTCATAGACTGCAGTACTCCTGAGTCTCTGCAGTATTTCTGGACACATGTTCTTGAACTCCACACAGGGATCGTCTCTGGTTTTTGCCGACAAGATTTTCAGTCTGAGGATCTCACTCAGAGTGCAGCTGTCTAGATCCAGCTGCTTCAGGCTCCGCCCCTGATGCAGCTGTGACCACGCCCCTGCTGCTGTTGTCATGGCAGCCAGAGCGGACGAGGTGGGGTCAGCAGTGTCGTCCAAAGCCTCTAACAGGTCTAAAAGATAAAGGTAAAGATTAACCTTTATTCATCCTTCAGTGGAAATCGTTATCGTTGCACATTACATCAACCCACATCAAACAGGATCTATTATTTGAGATAATAGAATAATCAAACTCGATAATTGCACTTGGTTCCAGGATAAGTCACTTGTGGAGTAAACACTTATATAGCACTAAAGAGATCCTTTATTTGTCCCACAGTAGGGAAATGTTGTATCACCAGTTACACAACAGAAGAAATAGGAGCACACAGCACAAGAAGAAACAAGATTACAGTTTACAATCTCTAATAAAAAGGTCATTTACAGATGTTTGTATTGAAATTCAGCAGCAGAGAATAGGACTAGAATAAACAATAGTAATAATAGCAGTAGGTAAAGTGATTAGTGAATTCTCAGATGAATGGAATATTTAATAATGTTTGTGCTTGTTATATTGTGCATGACTTTACCTGGCTCCTTTCCGCTCTGCTCCTCCTCGTCTGAACTCTGGAAAATGGCAGACAGGAAGAAGAAGAGCAGTTCGCACAGAGGTCCTTCAGGGTCGGAGCCCACCAGTGCCTCCTCCAGGACCTCTGTTGGAATCAATAAATCAATGTTAGGTTTAAAGACCTGCACAACACAATTTCCCACAACAAAATAACAAGCACAGTTTTGAAAAGGGCAGGCGGAGCCTCAACTGCCATCATTGAAAGATAAAATTAGTTTATATTTTTAGTTTTTTTTTTTTTTTAATAATCGTTTTCCACTGTCCTATGCTTTTAATGTATTTTAGGATTTCGCTGAAATCCTGTTTTTCCTATTCAAAGAGACGAGTTGAGTCAGCGCTCCTGCGTGCCTCACCCCAGACCGCTTGCTCCCTCACAGTGGACTGTGCGAGGGCACTTAGCTGGTTGATATATCGCTCTTTGGTTCAATTATCCTGCTTTATTAGGTACACCTTGCTACCCTTTTGCCTTCAAAACTGTCTTAATCCTTTGTGGGATGGATTCAAAAAGGTACTGGACACATTCCTCAGAGAGTTTGGTCCATATTTATAGCATATGGTCCATATTCTGAAAATTTGTCGGCTGTACATCTATGATGCGAATCTGAATCACCAGTCTGTGATGATTTGAGCTTTATGACAAGGTGTTTTATCTGGCTGAAAGTAGCCATCAGAAGGCAAGGCAAGGCAAGGCAAGTTTATTTATATAGCACAATTCATACACAAGGCAATTCAAAGTGCTGAACAAAACAAGAAAGCATTAAAATCATAAATTATCACAGAACATTAAAAAGAAAGATAAAAATATAAAATCCCTCAGTTGTATGCACAGTTAAACAGAACTGTCTTTAACCTGGTTTTAAACATTGTCAGAGAGGAGGCCTGTCTCACATCTTCAGGAAGACTGTTCCAGATTTTAGCAGCATGAATCTGAAAAGCAGCCTCCCCATGTTTAGTTCTGACTCTGGGCACTAACAGGAGTCCAGTCCCTGTGCTCCTCAGAGTCCGGGCTGTTTCATATGGGACCAACATGTCACTAATATATTTTGGTGCGAGGCCATGGAGAGACTTGTACACCAGCAGAGCTGTTTTAAAGTCTATTCTCTGAGCCACAGGAAGCCAGTGCAGAGACCTGAGAACTGGACTAATGTGGTCGTACTTCCTGGTTCTAGTCAGGACTCGAGCTGCTGCATTTTGAATGTACTGCAGCTGTTTTACAGCCTGTTTGGACAGACCTGTGAGCAGGCCATTGCAGTAGTCTAACCTACTGGAGACAAATGCATGGATAAGAATCTCCAGGTCTGCTTTAGACACTATGTTTTTGATCCTGGCAATGTTTTTTAGATGGTAAAAAGCTGCTGATGTTACTGATTTGATGTGGCTATTAAAATTTAAGTCTGAATCCAGTATTACCCCTAGATTTCTGACCTTGTTTGAAGGTTTTAGGGAGAGAGACTGTAGGTGACAGATGACGCTCTCTCTTTGTTTCTGGGGACCAAAGACAATCATTTCAGTTTTGTCTGCGTTTAGCTGAAGGAAGTTGTTTTGCATCCACTCACTGATCTGTTGGATACAGTGAAGGAGTGAGTCCACTGGTCCATGTTCTCCTGCAGTCAGTGAGACATAGATCTGAGTGTCGTCTGCATAGTTATGATAGGAAACTTTGTTTCTGCGTATTAACTGACCTAACGGCAGCATGTAAAGATTGAACAGAAGAGGTCCCAGGAACGACCCCTGTGGGACTCCACAGGTCAGGGCCATATGATCTGAGACACAGTTTCCAATCTCCACAAAGTACTTCCTGTCTTCAAGGTAAGACCTAAACCAACTTAGGGCGGTGCCAGTGACGCCAACCCAGTCCTCTAGTCTCTGTAAGAGGATCTCATGGTCGACGGTGTCAAAGGCAGCACTTAGATCTAACAAGATTAAGATTGAGACTTTTCCTGCGTCAGTGTTCAGCCGGATATCGTTTGTAACCTTAACGAGAGCAGTCTCAGTGCTGTGGTGGGGTCTAAAGCCGGACTGAAACATATCAAATGAGTTGTTGATTATAAGAAATCTAGTAAGCTGTAGGTAGACAACTTTCTCAAGGACTTTCCCCATAAATGGCAGATTTGAGATGGGACGATAGTTGTTAAGTACCGTAGCATCGAGACTGCTCTTTTTTAGCAGGGGCCTGATAACTGCAGTTTTCAGGGCCTTTGGGAATATTCCAGAATGAAGGGACATGTTTACTATCTGTGTGAGTGAAGGTAACAGACTGCTCAGAACAGACTTCAGAAATCTAGTGGGTAGTACATCCAAGCTGCATGTGGAGGAGCTCAAACTGGAGATTATCTCTTGGACAGTTTTATCATTTACAGGTGCAAAGTGAGTTAGCTCAGAGAGCCTTTCTGGCTGTTGGATGGTTATCTGTGGATTGGAGACAATGGCGTTTTTGATGCCTTGAACCTTGTCATTGAAAAAATTAGCAAACTCATTGCATTTACGTTTGGAAGTAAGCTCTAATGGCATTTGAACAGGGGGGTTTGTTAATCTATTAACTGTTGAGAACAGAACACGCAGATTGTTGCTGCAGCCTTCAATCATTTCAGAAAAATACCTTTCTCTCGTACTACGTAGCACCTGGTTAAACTCGCACAACTTATCTTTGAAGATCTCGTAATCTACCTGGAGGTTGGACTTGCGCCACTTCCGCTCGGCCCTCCGGCACTTTCTCTTTTGTGCCCTGACCGAGTCTGCTTTAGCCCACGGCGCCTTCTGCTTATTTTTCACTATTTTAACCTTCACAGGGGCAACGGTATCCAGAACATTCAAAACACTAGAGGGGACAGAGTTAAACAGTTCATCTACAGTAGAATATGATGCATTCTCAAAGTTTATCATTCCCATAAATAGTTCACTCGTATTTTCATTTATGCGCCTTCTTCGAACAGTTGCAGAGTCCACTGGTGGTTTGTTAGTGAAACACATGTCAAAAAAAACACAGAAATGATCCGAAAGAGCAACATCGACCACGTTTACATTTGAAATAATCACCCCCTTTGTAACTAACAGATCTAGAGTGTGCCCTCTGCTGTGGGTGGGGCCACTTACGTGCTGAGTGAGATCAAAGGATTCAAGTACAGAACTCAGCTCATTTGCATTTCTGTCATCAACATTATCCACATGAATATTAAAATCACCTGTAATAACCAAACTATCAAAATCTGTGCATACAACTGAAAGCAACTCGGTAAAATTATCAATAAAACTGACATGACTGCGGTGGCTTGTATAGGACAACGAAGAGTATTGGAGGAGATTGTTTTTGTTGTATTTTAAAAGACACATATTCAAATGACGAAAACTTCCCAAGAGACATTCTATGAGAGACAAAGTGGTCTCTAAAAATGGCAGCTAAGCCTCCTCCTTTTTTGTTTTCCCGTATTTCAGATTCAAACTTGAAATTTGGTGGTGATGCTTCTATTAAAACTGCATTTTCTGAATTTTGGTCAAGCCAAGTTTCAGCCATGAACATAAGATCAAGATTATGAGAACAAATAAAATTATTGATTAAAAAAGACTTGTTACAAAGAGATCTGACATTAAGCGTAGCAAGTTTCAAAGTTTCAGTATCAGCGGTTGCTGTCGGCTGATTCTTATACGGAACAAGAATTAGATTTTCCAGATTAGACTGATTAACTCCAGATGTTTTTCTGTAATGTATTCTTTGTGTTATCACTAAGGGAATGGCACAGGTGGCTTCATGACAGGGCCCCAGCCGGGTCTCTCTTCTAACTAGACTGCCAGTGGCTGCGAAGCAGAGACCCTGTGCATCCTAGTGTTTAGAGAAAAGAGGGGAAGGGGAAGGCAGGGGAGGAGGATGGAGAGGTGGGTGGCTTTTGGGTGTTGAACGAGGGGGGCAGGGAGGTGGAGGGGTTTTAGGTGATGGGTTAGGGCCGGGGTGGGCTGAGGCAGAGGTTTTGGATGTTGAACGAGGGGGAAGTGGGGGTGGAATGGTCATGAGGTTAGGGGAGGGACTGGCTGAGGTGGTTTTTGTAGGTGAATTGGAAACCCTAGGTGGTTTTGGAGGTACATATGGGGAGTGGTTTAGCATGTTGGACAGGACTCTAGATCGAGCTAATATGGGTGTGAGAGGAATAGTCTTCATCGCCGATTTTATTAGCCCTGCAGAGTGTTCAGGTAGGTCTAACAGTGAAGGCGGGGATGAAAAACAAAGGGAGGTGTCCCCATTCCCTCTTGATGGAGTGGACGTGGCAGGGGGGACCCAAGACAGGTCCATGGGAGGTGGCGAGGGAGTCTTTGATGGAGGGGCAGGTGGTTGAGGAAACTCCAGCACAGGCCTGTCTGCTGTAGCCTGGGGTGAGGATGAGGATGGGGGCTTCAGAAGGTGGGTACACTATGGTCATAGGTGGGTACACTATGGTCATAAAGGGATAGACATGGTCAGCAACAATACTCAGGTGGGCTGTGGCGTGGCAACGATGCTCAACTGGTACTAAAGGACTCAAAGAGTGCCAAGAAAATATCCCCCACACCATTACACTCCCACCACCAGCCTGAACCGTTGATACAAGGCATGATGGATCCATGCTTTCATGTTGTTTACTCCAAACTCTGACCCCACCATCAGAATGTTGCAGCAGAAATCAAGACTCATCAGACCAGGCAACTTTTTCCAATCTTCTATTGTCCAATTTCTGTGAGCCTATGCGAATAGTAGCCTCAGTTTCCTGTTTTTAGCTAACAGGAGTGTCACCCGGTGTGGTCTTCAGCTGCTGTAGCCCATCTGCCTCAAGGTTTGACGTCTTCAGAGAGGCTCTCTTGCATACCTTGATTGTAACAAGTGTTTTTTTGAGTTACTGTTGCCTTTCTATCGAGCCAGAGGTCACCTCTGACCTCTGGCATCAACAAGGCATTTTCGTCCACCAAACTGGCGATCACTCGATATTTTCTCTTTTTTGGACCATTCTCTGTAAACCCTAGAGATGGTTGTGTGTGAAAATGTCAGTAGATCAGAAGTTTCTGAAATACTCAGACCAGCCCGTCTGGCACCAACAACAATGCATTCAGCCCAACATTCAAACTAAAAAAAACCTTGCAGAAACGAGTATAGCTCCTTTAAGTTTGTGAACGTCATTGCATTGGCAATTTAATTCTATTTTATTAGAATAACGATTGTAAATCTGACTTTTAAAGTCAGTGCCTCCCCAATCACACTGTATGCCACAGTTCTGGACAGTGGTCTTTTCGCTCCCTATAGACCAATGGCTCCCATTATTGCACTTCCTGTGTTATATTCGCCGATATATTACTGGCAAATTACTCACAATAATTAAATTGAATTATATGTAGCTACTGGACTACTCAATGTGGATCAAATATGGAGCATTACACACCTTGTAGTTTATCAGATGCAGTTGCAACAACAGGGACGGAAGGTAAGGTGTTGGAGAAAACAAAAGCAGTCGCGTTCATTGCTGATAACTGGACGTTCTACAGGGATCACACCTACCTCCGAGTCACAGCCCAAATCAAGGGACAATTGGGAAATATGTGTGATTATCTGCGATTAAATCACTTTTTATGACAGTATTGGGAAAATTTGCGATTAAATTTAGGGCTGTCAAAATGATTGCGTTAACGCACGTTAATAAAAAAAATTCATTAATCGCGTTAAAAAAAATTAACGCATTTGACGCATGCCCATGCGTCCCATAATAACACTCAGAATGCTGCGGACACATGTGTGTAAGACGGGGACAGAGCAGGCAGGCCCTCTGGGAATTCAAGTTTTGAAAGAATACACGCGTGACCGCGGGGCACTTGTTGTTTCCTGTATGAACTCTGCATGATGAGCGACAGCGCTCTGGACAGCAGCACCACTTCCAGCAGCTGTGATCACGGCGAACGGCGCTGCGTAATGGGATCATATCCAAGACCACGCACAGAACTATTACAGAACTATTCTCTAGTGTGCGTACGTGTCTTTGCGTAACCGATGCACACAATATGTACAGCGCTGAAGCTGGACTGCGGAGCCTCAGTCTCCTCCGTGTCTTCTCCCGAAGCGCACTCGCAAAATTAAAGCTGAGGTACCAAATTTTCCTTTCGACTACTAGTTCATGTTAGTTGTGCCAAAAAAAGTAATGGTGTGAGCAAATCAAACAGATTTAATTACATTCTGCTTCAGACTGTTTTGAAATGTCCCTCATCTGTAACAAGCAATGGTTTTGGTCTGAGTCTAAACAGAAAGACAGAATGTTAATAATGTTAATTCCATTTTATATGGATTTATTGTTATAACAAACAAATACAGTACATATGTTAGCTGTCATTTATCTTTCCATTCAAACAACAATTTGCAGAAAAATATAAAAGTTTGAAATGTGATTAATTACGATTAATTAATTTTTAAGCTGTAATTAACTATTAAAAAAATGTATCGTTTGACAGCCCTAATTAAATTACATGGTTTACATTGTTTGTCAACACTAGTTTAATTCTTATGTGAGTGACAGTGACTCGACATTCAGTTTCCAATGAACCCACCCAGAGTGACGCCGTCTGGAAACTCGTCCTTCAGGTCGAAGACTTCCCCAAAGGACGTGAGGAACTCCAGGACCATGAGTGCATCTCCAAACAGGTGCAAGGGGAGACAGGTGTGCACCGGAGAGGGGAGGGGCAGCTCCTGAGGACAGAGACAGACAGATGTCAGCACTGCAGAGGAGCAGGCTCTTCTACAGAGGAGCAGGCTCTTCTACAGAGGAGCAGGCTCTTCTACAGAGGAGCAGGCTCTTCTACAGAGGAGCAGGCTCTTCTACAGAGGAGCAGGCTCTTCTACAGAGGAGCAGGCTCTTCTACAGAGGAGCAGGCTCTTCTACAGAGGAGCAGGCTCTTCTACAGAGGAGCAGACTCTTCTACAGAGGAGCAGACTCTTCTACAGAGGAGCAGACTCTTCTACAGAGGAGCAGACTCTTCTACAGAGGAGCAGGCTCTTCTACAGAGGAGCAGACTCTTCTACAGAGGAGCAGACTCTTCTACAGAGGAGCAGGCTCTTCTACAGAGGAGCAGGCTCTTCTACAGAGGAGCAGGCTCTTCTACAGAGGAGCAGACTCTTCTACAGAGGAGCAGACTCTTCTACAGAGGAGCAGACTCTTCTACAGAGGAGCAGACTCTTCTACAGAGGAGCAGACTCTTCTACAGAGGAGCAGACTAGAGAGTAGACGTCAGAGCTCTGGCTCCTTACCTGCAGGTCTTCACACTCCAGGTCTTCTGCAGGTTTGCTCATCATCTTTATCCTTTCTGCATACTTCTTCCTCTCCTCTTTCAGCTTCTCTCGCTCCTGAAATATTTACAGACAAGACGTGAAACTCAGGCGTTCCCCATGGATCATCTGACCTCCTCTATCTCTCTTGTGTATGCTCTGATGGGTCTGTCTTCACCCTCTCCTTCTCTGTCCTCTTGTATGTACTGTATGTTCTGGTGTATCCGTCTTTACCCTCTCCTTCTCCGCTCTCTTGTTGAGCTTCTCCTCCAGTTTCTGCTGTTGCCGCTCCTCTCTGTCCCTCTTGCGGTTCTCTTTTGCTTGCTCCTCGTCCTTGTCTCCTCTCCACATCTCCTTCATCTGCTGCAGCTTCAGTTGGTCACATGAAACACATCATTTATGTTAGCGATATCTGTGTCCGGCAGGTGGAAAGGTAGGGCTTAAAGTTTCACACTTGGGTTTTACCTTGTCCATTTTCTTCTGTTGCTTCAGCCGCTCTTCGTCTTTCAGCCGTTTCATTTCTTTCACTTTGTTTTTTTTCATCAGACTCATGTCTTCCTTCTGCTGCATTAGCTTCAGCTTCTCCTCCATGGCCTTCAGATGAGACAGGGACCCCTGAGGACCAAGACCAGAGGGCTCAGAAGACACACACCAGGGCTCAAACCTACAACCAAGGCTGCAACCAAAATATAGACTGTATAATAGGAGTAGAGTGACCGAGTGCCGGAAGAAGCCTATTTGAACATAAGATAACTAGAGGCAATTTATTTATATGGGCATTTGTTTACAACGGTTAGTTCAGCGCTATACCTTGTACTTCATAAGAGTCAGGACAGTAATAGCACAGTATCGGGTTACCAAATATGAGTTACTGTCTCGGTCAGGCACTGGATTTGCTCGTTGATCTCAATAGAAAATCATGTTGTTTTGAATGATCCATTACTTTCATGGATGTTCAAACATGGCAAATGAGCAATACTAAGGCTATTCAACTAATCAAGGGTGCCACTATAATTAACAACATGTTCATTCTCCTTGAGAGAAAATAAAACAGTGTGAACTCCTTTTACAAAGTCATGTGGCTAACTCATGCTAATGTAGCTAACTCATGCAAATGCGGCTAGTGCATGATGTGAACTGTAAACTGTGCAATTGGTCAAATGAAATTCAAGACATTTTAAAGACAAAATATTATGCATATTGTTGGCCATATAGCATATTTGTAACCTTGTAATTTCATGTTTTAGAATGTGAATTATCTTTAGAAACTATATGGTGAAACAAATTGGAAGGGTAAAAAATGTGATCTGCCTGTAACTAATTTACCACCAGAGGGAGAAGAATTAGGTTTTTTTTCCCCATACTTGAATATTACCAGCTAATCTGTCTCCTTTGAAACCAATAGCAAGGCAGGATCTAATATTTCCCTCAGGTCCTGGTTCCTGTCCTGTACCTGTCCTGGAGAACTCTTGGATGGGCTGAACACTGGAGGATCGTCAGGGAAGAACTGAGTGAAAATCAGAGCAGAGAGTCCGAACGACGAGACTGTGGAGGACTGCAGAGACAAAAGTTCCGGATTCTTATGGTATCAACACTTAGATCATACAGTAATAAAGAGTTTACATTTGAGCATATTTATAATGTCCCAGTGCTCTTATGATGGAAAGACAGACTGTAATCTAAAAAAATAGTTCATATTGCGTATTTAAGGGCAATGTTAATGTGTAACTTGAACTAGTACTTGCTCATTGCAACAAAAATCTAAATATTTAGATTTAGATGTTTAGGGGACGAATTACAATGATTTTAGTGCCAACTCTGCTCACTAATGCTAATGTGGCTAAGCACTGCTAAAGTAGCAAACCCTCATTGCTGAAGTTTCGAACTCTTACTAACGTGGTTAACTATTACTAAAGAGGCAAACTCATGCTAATGCTGCTAACGTATGCTAATATATGTAAAAGTTTCATTATAAGTTCTTTTATGTTTAAGGCTTAAAAACGTTCTTATAATAAAGGAAAAAAGTTCTAATGTTGCTAGCTCATTCTAAAGTCGCTAACTTACGCTAAAGTGGCTAACTGGTGCAATTTTTTGAAAAATGCTAACACAGCATTCAGCATTTTATTCCAGAGCAGAGAAAATGGTCCAACCAAGCGGGTACACCACCTCTGTTGCTGTGACCAGTCCTGCGCCACCCAGAGGTTCCACCCTCTCTGCTGCTGTGACCTGCTGCTGTAATACTATTGTTAGCTACTATTTGAATTATCTATTTATTTGTTTTTTTAATAGACACATGCGTTTCTGCTGCTACTAAATAGATATAGATACTTTACTGATCCCCTTAGAAGAAATTTAAGTGTCCAGTAGCAGCAGATACAAATAAATAGATTTAAATGCACTTTAGGTCACAGTAGCAGAGGTGGTGTAGCCTCTGGATGTAGCCTCTGGGTGAAGCAGGACAGGTCACAGCAGCAGAGGTGGTGAAGCCACATGAATTTCTCCTACAGTGATCAATAAAGTCTATCAAGTGAACTCTTGCTCATTTTGCTTATACTTAATACACAGTGAATATTTAGGACGTGTCAGTGAGTTTGAACAAATACAAACTGTACTGAAGATGTTTTTCATTTAAGAAAAGAGAAACGGTTTGAAATTATCTGGTCTGAAGAACGAGCCCTGACCTTAACAATGATGCCTCCATTGTGCGGCTCACAGTGCTGTTTGAAGAGCAGCTTGAGTTTCTCTCGGGACAAAACACTTTTCCTTCGGCTGCGGACGAAAGAAAACACCAGTCACACACAGAGACAGAGACACACACACACACTCAAACATACACACAGAGACACAGACACACCTGAGCTGAGCCGCCTTCACCGTAAACGGCTCTGCGTCTCCGTTCAGTGGCTTCACTGTGTATCTGAAAACTGACGGGGAGAGAGCTTTCCGACGTTTACTGCCAACAGAAGGTTACAAACATGCAGGTGAACTTTATGATAGACCATCGAAACCATACTTGCATGCGAAAGCCAGATGCAGTCAGACCTCTGAAGCTGTACAGGGCAGTGCCTGGTTAAAACTGTGATGAGAAACCTCTGGGAACACCAGGTGCCACAGTGGGCCTTCAAGTATGGAGTGAATGAATAATGACCTAAGAAGAGTCTTTGAGTGTCCAAAAAGGCACTATAAAAAACAGCTACATTATCATTATACTCATTATACTCATTTAAAAAAGAAAAAAAAAAGAAAATAAGGGCGACAGTAGCTCAGTTGGTAGAGCATTGGCCTTTGGGCCCAAAGGTCGTGGGTTCGAGCCCACCACGGGACCTTCTCCACCGACTCCCACTGATGCCTGCTGTTGTTGTGTCCTTGGGCAAGACACTTAGCCTATAAGGAGCGCGGATATGATGTTCGCTGCATGCCTTGATGTGTATATGTATGTACTATATGTGTATGCATCAAACTGAAATTTCCCCATTGTGGGACGAATAAAGGACCTTCTTATTATTACAAATAACTGCTGTATATCAAGTTTTTGACTCAATATTTAAATATCATCATTTCCTGGTTCAATGTTGCAACAACTTACTGGCTCAATTTCTTTGTTAAGGAATGCAATATGTAGAAAGAGAAAACAGTCTAAAGCCAGGCCACTGAGGAGTTATCCAGGATATTTTTGGGAGGTTAATTTGGCCAATAAGTGGGAAACGTAAAGAGAGACCAGTGTTTTGAGATGTTGTTTGGTGTGTGCCTTTGGAATGGATCCAATCTCACCTGATTGGTCAAATGAATGTGAAACAGTAATAGTTTTAATAGTAATAGCAGTTTTTTGCACTTGTTGGATTTTCTGTACACTTTGATGAGAATAACTTTGATTAAGGTTGCAGAGTTTTATTTTTGCATCAGTTTCAGATGGTGTGCCACGGTTCAAAACGTTTGGGAAAGACCGAGTTAAACTCTCTGCGTCTGGTGAAATAAAAAACAATTACCCATTTATCTGAGTGAGTTCGTCTTCAGTGTCGCTGTCGCTGATGACGATGGAGTCTCCCTCAGTGTTGTGCACAGAGCCGTTGGCTTTAGAGTGAGGACTGAGCAACAATCCATTAGCACTGGATTGAGGAGACAGGACCATGACCACTTGACAGAGCACTCTGCAAGAAACACAAGATCAGGACTGAGGCAGAGACTGAGGCAGAGACTGAGGCAGAGACTGAGGCAGAGACTGAGGCAGAGACTGATGCCATGTCCACACGTAGCCGGGTATTTTTAAAACCGAATATTTCCCCCCCCCTCCGTTTATAAAATAATTTGCATTCACACATAACCAAACATCTCTGTTTTACTTAAATTTAAATTATCTCTAAATTTAAGTAAAACAAAACTAATGTTCTTTGGAAATAGAAAAATAAATTCTGATATAAATGTTGTGTTAGATGGCACAAATATTGAGAGGGTTAGTGTGACTAAATTCTTAGGGGTGATAATAGATGAGAAACTTACCTGGAAAGCACACATTAGATACGTGTATGCCAAACTAGCCAGAAGTATTGGAGTTTTGGCCAAAGCTAGACAGAAACTGGATCGAAGATCTCTTTATTTATTATATTGTACATATACATTGTACAGCTATTGTGCTGAGGTTTGGGGAAACAATTACAAAACTGCTATATACCCATTAATTTGTCTTCAGAAAAGAGCTATCAGGATCATTCACAAAGTGGGTTTCGGGGAGCACACAAATGAGTTATTTAAACAGGCAAAAATACTAAAATTCAATGATCTAGTTGATTATCTAACAGTATTAAAGTGGACATATCGTTTTTTCAAATAATAGATTTTTACATCTAAATCATTAATTTGTGTCCTATATAAAGCGTAACTGCAATGCCTGGGTCTGAGTCTCATTATTTGTAGCTCCATGGGCCTTTCTTCTACACCTGTTCTGAGGTGCGTCTGAGAGCAACCGGTTTTGGTGCTGTCTCTTTAAATGCAAATGAGGCGCTTTTGACCACGCCCCCATCCAGGTGACACAGGCTCAACTCCACCCCGAGCGGCCATTTTTGTAGTTTCTAAGCACAGATACAATTATCTCATAGAAACTTCTCATTACATCGCAAACATGAAGCAGTCCTTCCTCATTGACTGAAAGCAAATGTTAAGTTTCATTCTTAGTCCAGTCTCATTATCGACTCTTCTCTTTTTAGCTTTGGGATCCATGCGCACAGTCTATGATGCTCACACGCCGGTTTGACAGACACGTTGACAGAAATGTTTCAATTGAATATTACTTATGCACAATTTTACAGCATTTAAAAACGTTAAGAACGTTTTTCCTTCTACAGAAGGAAAAAGACGCATGCACCTCCGGAGCCGCAGGTTGCCGACTCCTAGTTTATACAGTATGTGGAAGCAAATACTGTAGAGGATCAGGATATGTGCAGTTTCAACAATAAAATAAAATGCAATAGTCTACATTACAAGAGAGTAATGAACATGTCTCAGAGTGAGGGAAGTGGACACGGACAACACTATTGTTTGTTACAGGGATGAGAATTGGTCAAAAAAGACTGAAATGCATATTGCCAACCATTTGCTGGCTCTAAATCTGTTTAATTTGTTCACAACATTTTACTTTTGGGCTCGAACATGAACTTTTAATGCAATGCAAAATGTAGGTATCAGAGCTTTATTTAGGGCGTTTAATCGCGCTTCGAGAGGAGAGGGAGACGCGGACTGTTTCCTGCAGCAGTGTATTTATTGGGGGCACAGATTACTCAAAGACACGCATGGTCCTGGTTGAGTACATGGCCACGTTGAGGCTGCGCGCTCAGCCACAACACGGTGGAGCGGCTGCGAGCGGCTGGATACGCGCGCTCCGCTCCAACAATTCTCAACGGATTTACACTTCTCATAAACATGTGTTTTGTATGAGGCAGACAGACCGGCCCAAATATGGGCATCGGCTCTTTGGGCATTGCCCGGTACGCCCGATGGCCAGTCCAGTCCTGTTCGCTGGCATCCTTGAGCTTGGACTACAAATTAAGTGATGCACAGTAGAGGAGGGCTGGGCCGAAGTGTTTTGTTAGACGTCCATGCCCTTATATGGCAGTCTCGCTGCAAATACTGTGACGTAATAATTCTAAACACGTAATAGAGAATGGCAAAATCAGAACGGGTTGAAAAATCTTACCTAAACAGAATATGAAGTGTTCTCTGCAACCCATGAAGAGACTAATTTCAACTTTTTTGCACTTCTAGAGGCTCCAACTTCACAACATAAGGCATTTAAGGCACAAAAAGTGGATTTTTCATGATATGTCCCCTTTAATAATGTACAAAGGAAATTATAACAAATTACCTAATCAAATTCAAAAAATGTTTGTATCTAGAGATCGAGATGGTGTTTATAACTTAAAAGGTAAATTCAAATTCAAGCCTGCGAGAGCACTTACAACTAGAAAGAGTTTTTGTGTCTATCTGTGGGGTGAGGCTCTGGAACGTCATGAGTGAGGAGCTGAAGGGATATCCAGACATGAGAAAATTTAAAAAGGAATACAAAGAAACCATTTTGGCTCGATATTCTTAGAGAGGGCAATAACTTTACTACTTTAGGAAATATAATCATATACCGGGAAACCACAATGTCAGGAGTATATTAAAAAGGGCAAATAATATATAGGAAAATAAAAATAAAAACTATATATATTTAGATAATTAAAACAGAAAACATGTAGATGTGTTCACATGCCTATAGTGTATATGCTGATAAGTGCGTGTGCGTGTGCGTGTGCGCGCGCGTGCGTGCGTGCGTGCGTGCGTGCGTGCGTGCCTGCGTTTGATATAGATGTATAGACAGAGAGAGAGAGACTATAAATGTATCATTATTATTATTTGTATCTTCTAGCATAGGTTAAGGTGAAGTACGTTTGCTAATTTGCAAAAAGCAGAAAAATCTACTGATGACTACGAGATATAGCCTACAGGGGTGGGAGTATATAAGTTTTACTTCTCACTCCTTTTTCGAGTTGATACTTAGTTATTTAAAATAAATGTGTATTGTAAATCTCAGTTGTGTATATCGAACTCGAAATAAAAACATTTCATTCATTCATTAATTCATTCAAAACTCAGGGTAAAGACATACAGTGCCTTGCGAAAGTATTCGGCCCCCTTGAACCTTTCAGGCTTCAAACATAAAGATATAAAATTTAATTTTTTGTCATGAATCAACAAGTGGGACACAATCGTGAAGTGGAACAAAATGTATTGGATGATTTTAACTTTTTTAACAAATAAAAACTGAAAAGTGGGGCGTGCAATATTATTCGGCCCCTTTACTTTCAGTGCAGCAAACTCACTCCAGAAGTTCAGTGAGGATCTTTGATCCAATGTTGTCCTAAATGACTGATGATGATAAGTAGAATGCACCTGTGTGTAATCAAGTCTCCGTATAAATGCACCTGCTCTTTGATAGTCTCAGGGTTCTGTTTAAAGCGCAGAGAGAACCATGAAGACAAAGGAACACACCAGGCAGGTCCGAGATACTGTTGTGGAGAAGTTTAAAGACGGATTTGGATACAAAAAGATTTCCCAAGCTTTAAACATCTCAAGGAGCACTGTGCAAGCAATTATATTGAAATGGAAGGAGTATCAGACCACTGCAAATCTACCAAGACTCGGCCGTCCCTCCAAACTTTCATCTCAAACAAGGAGAAGACTGATTAGAGATGCAGCCAAGAGGCCCATGATCACTCTGGATGAACTGCAGATAACTACAGCTGAGGTGGGAGAGTCTATCCATAGGACAACAATCAGTTGTGCACTGCACAAATCTGGCCTTTATGGAAGAGTGGCAAGAAGAAAGCCATTTCTCAAAGATATCCATAAAAAGTCTCGTTTAAAGTTTGCCACAAGCCACCTGGGAGACACACCAAAGATGTGTAAGAAGGTGCTCTGGTCAGATTAAACCAAAATCGAACTTTTTGGCCACAATGAAAAACGATATGTTTGGCGTAAAAGCAACACAGCTCATCACCCTGAACACACCATCCCCACTGTCAAACATGGTGGTGGCAGCATCATGGTTTGGGCCTGCTTTTCTTCAGCAGGGACAGGGAAGATGGCTAAAATTGATGGGAAGATGGATGGAGCCAAATACAGGACCATTCTGGAAGAAAACCTGTTGGAGTCTGCAAAAGACCTGAGACTGGGACAGAGATTTATCTTCCAACAGGACAATGATCCAAAACAAAAAGCCAAATCTACAATGGAATGGTTCACAAATAGACGTATCCAGGTGTTAGAATGGCCAAGTCAAAGTCCAGACCTGAATCCAATCGAGAATCTGTGGAAAGAGCTGAAGACTGCTGTTCACAAACACTCTCCATCCAACCTCACTGAGCTCGAGCCGTTTTGCAAGGAAGAATGGGCAAGAATTCCAGTCTCTCGATGTGCAAAACTGATACATACCCCAAGCGACTTGCAGCTGTAATTGCAGCAAAAGGTGGCGCTACAAAGTATTAGCGCAAGGGGGCCGAATAATATTGCACGCCCCTCTTTTCAAAACGTTTATTTGTTAACAAAGTTTAAATCATCCAATAAATGTCGTTCCACTTAACGATTGTGTCCCACTTGTTGATTCTTGACAAAAAAATACGGAGATTTTTTATATATTTGTTTATGATGCGTTGTCATGTGGATGACAGGTGCAAACGAAGAAAAATATCTGCGGTTTAGCAGATACCCGACTACGTGTGGACGGTGCTTGAGGCAGAGACTGAGGCAGAGACTGAGGTAGAGACTGAGGCAGAGACAGAGGCAGAGACTGATGGCGCGTTCAGACCCCCGCCGCTGGAACGCAGATTCCGCGCGCACCAGACGCACATTCTCTCATTTTCAGACGCAGGGGTGTTCAGACCAGAAGTCCTGGCCAGCGGTGGCGCCGCGGCGTGAAAATAGCGGGCGGACTTTGATGCTAACAGGTTTTTGTGTAAAGTTCTTCTCCAATAATGTAGCTCTGCAGCTCTGCAGAGACCTTCCAGAAACTTTATATAACAGTGTTCACGGAGGTGCGCCATAAGTTTATTTTATTATTAAACGGAACTTCATCGGCGAACATGCTAGAAGCAGTTGCATACAGTCAACGGAGCATGGGAACGCTTATGTTCATAAGCACTGTGTCCCCCCATTGTCTATCCTTGTTTAGTCCTGGAGTAGCTCCTATTTTGGCTGTTTACAAGTATTTTCAGTCTGCTTGCTCAGACCGCTAATGTCCCCGTGACCGCTTTCTGATTAGTCGCTGCATGAGCGTCCCGAGGAAACGTTCAGCAATGTTTATCTCCTGCGCCTCTACCGCGCAGTCTGCGCGTCTCTACCGCGCAGTCCGTGCATCCCGAGACGCACATGCAGTTCCATGCTCGAACGCGCGTCACCACAGACTTTGCGTTGAAAGTCGCCGCAACGCATGATCCGGTCTGAACGCGGCATGAGGCAGAGACTAGAGCAGGAGTAGACGTCGTCACCTGTTGCCTCCTCTGATTGTGACGTCCACGTTCTCTCCAGGGAAGTACCGGTCCTTGCAGAAACCATAGACCTCCTCACAGAGCTCTGACAGACGCTTGCTGTGGCTCTGCTTCACAAGCAGCAGCAGCGGCTTCAGGAGACACTGGGGGAAGTTCTGCAGATTGTTGCGGGCTTTTCTCTCACTCTCCACCGCCTCCAGGTACGTAAGTCCAGCCCGACCAGTGAGGGCGCAGCTCCACACCAGGCTGTTACAGAGAATGGTGCGCTCGAAGAACTCACTGAGAAGAGAAATGTTACCATGAGAACCAGGGAAGACAAAACCAGTCCAGGACAAACGTCAGGCTGAAACTAGTATTGAATAGGACAATAATAGATAGCAATTAATTACCAAAATGCTTCTCAAAACAAGAAACAGCACATAAAAATCATCACAATACATTATTTCACGAGCACAACAAACGAGAATTAGTTTTAACCTGGATATTAACATTGTCAGCATAGAAGCCTGTCTCAAGATTGTTCCTGATTTTAGATGCATAAATCTGAATGTTTAGTCTTGACTCTCTGCACCAGCAGGAAGCCAGTCCATGGCAGTAATGTAAAGTTATCGATGTACTTTGACATGAGGCCACGAATGGCAGTCATAATAAGAAAGTAGTTAATAACCACCATCTATTGTTTTTGTAAATGTGCAATAATGTGCAAACTTTAATGGATTCAGCTGTCCATGTGGGGCAGTCATGAAAACAAACAAAACAAAGCCTAAACTATATATTACTTTGGTAATTCATAAGAAAAGGTAAGAGAACATTTATTTGTTGCAGCACACATTCAGGACAATATAAAGATCACAAAAATTGTACACAAAATATACATTGATAAGTATCTGTGTATGATTTTTAAATATGGCTTTAGGGAATGTTTGAGCCTTTTACATAGTGTAAATGTGAATTAGCACTCTATGGGCAAAATAAAACGACAAACTTTTTTTAATATATACTACTTGAGAGGAAACGGTAACGTTTGTTCTTAAATTGTCCTGGTATTCTCATTAAATATACCTACATAGATAATCCGCGTAAAATGCAATTAACTGAAAACAAAACAATACTTTATCACTCTGATGGCAGCCTCTTCTTTGTTTAGTGTTTATCTGTTGCAAAGGCCAACAGTTGTTAGAGTCTGATAAAAGTTAAGATTGAGAACCACCAACTATTTCAAAAGTATGAACAATGAGAAATCATAAGAAGAATAATTACTAATCCATCATCATCCTTAAAAATAAGGATGATAATCACGTCCATCTCACATCGTTTTCCTGATTGTCCAACTTACCAAGAGATACTAGCTGCATTATTAAACTTTTACTACCATTGTTAGGGGGTCTTCGCCCTAAAACTGGCCCCCAAACTGCCTTCACGAGCTCAGCTTTTGTTCGGGGAACTTCGGCTGTCTCCGGAGATCCAGAAAGGGCAAGCACTATTTGCGACTCACGGCAACTTCCGGTGACTCGCGTGACTCAGGCGCTGTGAGCCGCGACTCAGCAGCCAGAAGTCGTGACTCACCGTTAAAAATAACACAATTCTTTGCTTCTCAGGGGTATCTGGGAATGATCAATGAGACAATATGGATCTGGAGGCATTGTTTACAAGTAATCAGTATGTTAGACACTCTACATCAGCTAGTATGTGTTTGTATAGCAGTCCATGTCCGTTAACCACTGACTCAGGCGCTGTGAGCCGCGACTCAGCAGCCAGAAGTTGTGGCTCACGGTTATCAATTTAGCTTTTTAGGGGTATCTGTTGATTATCAATGACACATTGTGGATCTGGAGGCATATATTTACAAGTAACCAGTATGTTACACACTCTTCATCATCTGGTATGTGTTTATATAGCTCTCCATGTTCGTTAACCACTGACTCAGGAGCTGTGAGTCGCGGCTCAGGAGCTGTGAGTCGCGGCTCAGGAGCTGTGAGTCGCGGCTCAGGAGCTGTGAGTCGCGGCTCAGGAGCTGTGAGTCGCGGCTCAGGAGCTGTGAGTCGTGGCTCACAGTTAAAATACAGCATATTTTTGCTTTTTAGGGGTATCTGGGAATTTCTAATGAGACTATATGGATCTGGAGGCATAGTTTACACGCCTACTTCACGACACGCCTCTGTCCTGCAGGTCGCAGAATGACTACTTCGAACCCGCAGCAACACCTTTTTGAACAGGTGTGGGCTTATTCTATACATTAGCACGTAGCTCAACATGTCCTTCCAGTGATGTGCGGCACCACTCTGCTGCTATTCATGACTGAGCTGTATATGTTCCTGTATTGGGAGACAAAGTAACAGCTCATGTGGAAACAAATGTTCATGTTATAGTGCAATGTGTGCAAATGTATTAGCTACAGCCAAGTGCAAAACTGAAATGTATCAAACCTAAACCAAATCTTTATTCTTTATAATTGGTCTATTAAAGTGAATTACGTTGTGCATTTTTTTATAAAGTTTGTTTTCCTTCTCTTCTGTGTGTGGCTCATCTTGATGTGTCGTCTCAGTAGTTCTGTAATTCAAGAATAACCGGTTAACTACACTTAATTTTTTGCATAGAAAAGAAATGAGAGAAAAGAGGCATTAAGGAGAAAAACATGTCTTGATGGCTGCAGCATGACACCTGTATTTCCACTGCATTTGTATCCTGTATAATGCTCCAGGATCAGATGTTTAAAGGGTATAAGGGAGCTACACTTTTTGGAAACCCTAAAACATTTGATTCAGGATGATCACGGAGGCAGTTATGAGGGAAAGTACAGGTGCCATGCAGCAGTCATACAGCCACTGGGCCACCAAAGGCTCAAATAAGCATCTTCAAACATTTCACCACAACAGAAGTTACTTGAATTCTGTATTTTGAACATCTGGGTTCGGTAACATGATCATATAAAATTATGTCATTAGGGTCTTTCTCTTTAATTCTCTATTTACAATAGTAAGTCCACCTCAGCACACTATCCTCTAAAGTTAACAATAATCATTTTTTTTAGAATTAAAATGCCCTGAAATGAAATGCCCTGATGCTTGTGTTTGTTCAAAGACAAAGAAATCTCTACTCTGGGTTCTTGGCTCACTTTGTCATCCACATTATATTACTATAAGGACAAATTGGTACAAGTGGCTTTTATAATTGTGTTTGTTTGTGTATTGTATGTATTTTTTCAAATGCCTTTAGCATTATTAATAAATAACAAATAATAATGTCTCAGTGGTTTTTTAGTTATTTATTTCTTATGTGACCAAACCTGTGTTATACACCTTGCCTCATCTTTTGTCCTATGGAGTATACACTCTGCTCTGTATCTGCAAGTTTTGTGTATTCTTTGAAGCCACAGAATTACAACCAAGGAATTTTACACAAGTTTTTTTTTTTTTTTCCTGTTTAAATGTCATGCCCTTTAAAATGTTAAAATGATTAAAAGACAGATTCCAAAAAACGAAACAAAATAACCTACCTCAATATTTTGGTGAAATTTAAATTGCAAGCGAGATGTCCAACGTCGTGCATGATTCAACATGAGATTAGACAGCGCCCCCTGGTGTCAGCAGACGAGTCCTGACTTATGTCTCGTAAGTCACTTGTTAACAATAGAGTAATACAAACACATATCAGCTGGTAAAGTATGTATGAGGCACTGAGGACATGGAAAATGTTCATCCAGATACATTAATAATTCATAAATACTCCTAAAAAGTCTTTTTCATTAGAATATGAAATAAGCCCTGCAAATACATGTAATAATCTGTATTTAGGCCTGTATCACTTAATCAACCACTTGCACTATGACTGTAAACCTGCGCTGCTAATACTGAGTCTGTTTATTTTACTAAGGATGCACCAATACCAATATTAGTATTGTGCCGTTTCCACATACTTGTGCCGTTTCCACATACTTGTGCTCATACTCATTCATGAGGTCCCATGACTGTATATAAGATACCACGATGGGGCGTCTTGCTTCAGTGGGAGCAGGTGGTTGTGGGGGCACGACCCCACGATCATTAGGTCCAAAGACCAAAGCTCTGCCAATTGAGTCACTGTTGCCCCTAATAATTCCCAGATACCCCTAAAAAGCACAGATTTGTGGTATTTTTAACCGTGAGCTATGACTTCTGACTGCTAAGCCGCGACTCACAGCTCCTGAGCCGCGACTCAGGAGCTGTGAGTCAGTGGTGAACAGTTCATAGAGATCTATACAAACAAATACCAGCTGATGAAGAGTGTGTAACATACTGATTACATGTAAACTATGCCTCCAGATCCATATTGTCTCAATAGAAATTCCCAGAAACCCCTAAAAAGCAAAGATTTGTGGTATTTTTAACTGTGAGCCTCGACTTCTGGCTGCTGAGTCGCGACTCACAGCTCCTGAGTCAGTGGTTAACGAACATGGAGAGCTATATAAACACATACCAGATGATGAAGAGTGTGTAACATACTGGTTACTTGTAAATATATGCCTCCAGATCCACAATGTGTCATTGATAATCAACAGATACCCCTAAAAAGCTAAATTGATAACCGTGAGCCACGACTTCTGGCTGCTGAGTCGCGGCTCACAGCTCCTGAGTCAGTGGTTAACGGACATGGAGAGCTATATAAAAACATACCAGATGATGAAGAGTGTGTAACATACTGGTTACTTGTAAATATATGCCTCCAGATCCACAATGTGTCATTGATAATCCACAGATACCCCTAAAAAGTTAAATTGATAACCGTGAGCCACGACCCCTGAATGCTGAGCGTGAGCCGCGACTCAGAGCGCCTGAGTCACGCGAGTCACCGGAAGTTGCCGTGAGTCGCAAATCGTGCTTGCCCTCTCTCCGGAGATCAGCAGGGGGAGAGATGAGTTAGCTAGCACCGGTCCAGGCTAACAGTCCTCAAACCCCCAGAAACCCACACGGACAACTTTAATCACACTTTAAAGATTGTTTTTATCTGCAAACACTCTCCTCTATCGTGTATCTGCGCTCTTAGGCTTGTTTTGGTCGCTTTTGTTCAAATGGCAGCCTCTTATCTGGGAGCTAGCGCCTGACAGCCGGATCAGGTGCCTCTCTGACTCGCTAAAAACACGACCCCGCAATCGCGCTGCTATTTCAGCCCATCTCCAGTCTATTTTTGTGAAATTAAGTCCTACATAACTGACGTCATATCGTTAGAAAAGTCGCTAACTCACATACAACCGCGTGGCATTTATATTCATCACTTTATTTCTCAATTTTTCTAGCGTGGAGTATGATGTCATCTGTTATGAAATAGTTTTCTCATAGGAAACATTAAAACTCTATATTTGCAGACTTCAACATGTTGTTCTTCCAGTGTGGGGTCAGAAAACGAGAAAAATAATGTGATCTGGAATTAATAAGTATAATGGAGTATACATCTTTTGAACTGTAAACATAAATATATATGTATAAATTAGTATGCTTTGAATTGGAAACGCACATACATCCATAAATATACTACATTGTCAAATTATACTAAAATGTATTAAGTTCCATCACCATGACAACGGCCTTATTTCCCCATCACCAATGTATAAAGTTGAAATTATCAAGTCCAATCTGTCACGGTAACTTTTTTAAGTACAATTTTTCAAGCTAAGAACATGCTCAAAAATATAAGCCAGAACTATAACGGAGGCTGTAAGCGTCAAATTTAGACTAATTCGGCTGTAATTGATGTTTATGGAGTAGGTTAAATTCAACAGAATACTCACTCGTAGCTTCTGAAGATTTCGTGGGTGATTTTACAGAGAAAAACTTCTTCGTCTGGGTCCAAGTCAGGGGGTGGCTTCTGTCTCACGAAGGGCTTTCTGTGGAGCAGCGGCATCTTCCTGAGCTCCAGGGCACGGGCCACACACGCGACTCCAAGCGGGACTCTAGGCTCTTTGTTCAGGGATAATCTGCCCTGCACATGGAGCAGACCTACGGAGACTTCGCGGGCCACGAACGCCTCTCCCACGTGGCTCGGTCCAGCGGGGGTTGGGTCCACGGGAGAAGGACAGCGATGGGGCAGAGGGGGTGAAGGAAACCGGGAGAAGCAAACACTTTCCGCGGGAGAACTGAGCTGTTTCCGCGGAACAAACCGGCTACAAGTCCCGCGGCTGTTGACCAAGTTTTAGACCGCTTCAGGGGCGCTCGGAAATCTGAGTACGAAATTCTAATGGCAATTACAGCGACCCACACATGGATTGGAAATAAACTTAACTTCCTTCACAGACACATGAATTACATAGTAAACACCCATTCGTGGATGTTAATTCAAATAAAGACAAGGCCTCATATATTATTTTTTTGTGTCTTAACTGGCAAAAATAGATTCTACTGTTAGGGCTATACAAGAATGAATTGTGTTGTATTGTATTTGTATTGTAAGGCAAGTTTGTTCGTATAGCACAGTTCATACACAAGGCAACTCAAAGTGCTGAACAAAACAAGCAATCAAGACAAGGCAATAACATCTTACACGGTACATTGAATGAATGAATGAAGCTTTTATTACGGGCTCATGGTCTCATTAAAGAGAGTAAAGATCAATTCTTTCAGTTGTATGCAGAGCTAAATAAAACTGTTTGTAGCCTAGAACATTGTAAGAATAGAAGCCTGTCCCACATATTCAGGAAGACTGTTCCAGATTATTATTGCATAAATCTGAAATTCTGCCTCCCCATGTTTAGTAGTACATGTCAAGCATGTCTAAATTAAGGCCCGCTGGCCAATTGCGGCACTCTGCCTTGCCAACACAAATTAACCATAAACTCAAGTCCACATAGTCATCCAGTCAACTTCATTGGGAACAGTAGCCCAAAAAAGTACACAATAAAATGGCAAAAAAGTGAAATAAAAAAATAATGTGTTTTGAAAATGAAAAGGTTGAAAATGAGTCAATCAGAGGTGTCAAACTCATTTTGTCAAACTCGGCAAGGCAGGGCTCGTCCATATTAAGTCCCATTTCCAGTCACCTTCTCTCCTTGTATTTTTGTCAGGTTGAAATTCTCAGATTCCGACCGTAACGAGTGTCCGTAAAGTATCCGCGCGCGGTGAGTAAGTAGGCGGTGCCTGGCTGACCTCCTCTGCGCTGATTGGTCTGTTTTCTGATTGACGCGGGGCCTGACAATGACAAGCAGTGATGTAACAGTAACGGGAATAATGCCCATCTGTCTGCTCTGACCCTCTCTCTCCACCGTTTCAACAATATCTCTGACACACAACTCTGTTGGTTTGACGGATTCTCGATTCGGGAAGTGTAAAGGCTCATCTCATGTACATTCTGTGTCTTCATAATATTGTAACTTTTTCCGTTTCTGTATGTAGTTTGCTATTATGAAACATTCTTTGGGGGGATTTCTCAGTATCCTGTCGGTTTGAACAAGAGCAGTCAAAGTGACAGTTCTGAGAGTTCTAGTCGTTTCAAAATTCTGAGAGAATTCTGTTCCCTGTGTCGAGTGTGTCCTCCGGCTGTTCCAGTTTACCCTAACCCGAAAAAACATATACAAATGATAATTTCCAGAGGGCCGTGGAGAAATACTCTTTCAAACTGTTTAAATATTTGTTGACAGCATCTGAAATATTGACTTATGTTCAAATCAAAATAAAGATACAGAGACAGGACAACAGAGACCATATCACATTTTAATTTTTCTCATAACAGATGCATAAAAAATACACACATTAAACTCTATACAGACGATGTCACAGTGATGTCACCAGAATGAGGTCACCGCGGCCCCAGAAGCCCTGCCTTGGCGGCCAGTGCCTCGTTCTGCTGGATGTGGTACTCCTGGAACCTCATGGAGATCCTCTGAGTCATCTTCAGGTACTTCTGCAGACACGACTCTGAGCAGCTGGACTGGAACACACACACATTTATTTAGATGACTTACTAAGAGCAACATTACTGGGTTTGATCTACACACCAGAAAAGGTGTTGAGGGGAATTGTTCTACATCTAATGCTCTCCCTCACTCTGGCCCCTCACTCTGGCCCCTCACTCAATGTAAATGTTATTGCTGTTCTCTGGTGGCGAGATACGTCATTACAGGCATTAATGGGAGAAAAATAACCAAACTTTTTTCTCCAACTCTAAATGTTGTATTAAATCATTTGTTATTATGTTGCTCTGGTCTCCCTACCTCACACTGGTCCCTACCTCACTCTGGTCCCTCACTCACTCTGGTCCCTCACTCACTCTGGTCCCTCACTCACTCTGGTCCCTCACTCACTCTGGTCCCTCACTCACTCTGGTCCCTCACCCTAGTCTTAAAAAGTGTCTCACTAAATGTAACTGTTGTAGCTGTCTGGTGGTGAGATACAGTGCCTTGCGAAAGTATTGAACCTTTCAACATTTCGCCACATTTCAGGCTTCAAACATAAAGATATAAAAAAAAAAATTTTTGTCATGAATCAACAACAAGTGGGACACAATCGTGAAGGTGAACAAAATGTATTGGATCATTTAAACTTTTTTAACAAATAAAAAACTGAAAAGTGGGGAGTGCAATATTATTCGGCACCTTTACTTTCAGTGCAGCAAACTCACTCCAGAGGTTCAGTGAGGATCTTTGAATGATCCAATGTTGTCCTAAATGACTGATGATGATAAGTAGAATGCACCTGTGTGTAATCAAGTCTCCGTATAAATGCACCTGCTCTTTGATAGTCTCAGGGTTCTGTTTAAAGCGCAGAGAGAACCATGAAGACAAAGGAACACACCAGGCAGGTCCGAGATACTGTTGTGGAGAAGTTTAAAGCCGGATTTGGATACAAAAAGATTTCCCAAGCTGTAAACATCTCAAGGAGCACTGTGCAAGCAGTTATATTGCAATGGAAAGAGTATCAGACCACTGCAAATCTACCAAGACCCGGCCGTCCCTCCAAACTTATCTCAAACAAGGAGAAGACTGATCAGAGATACAGCCAAGAGGCCCATGATCACTCTGGATGAACTGCAGATAACTACAGCTGAGGTGGGAGAGTCTGTCCATAGGACAACAATCAGTTGTGCACTGCACAAATCTGGCCTTTATGGAAGAGTGGGAAGAAGAAAGCCATTTCTCAAAGATATCCATAATAAGTCTCGTTTAAAGTTTGCCACAAGCCACCTGGGAGACACCACCTGTGAGTTTGCATGTTCTCCCCGTGTCTGCGTAGGTTTCCTCCGGGTGCTCCGGTTTCCCCTACCACTAAAAATATGTACAATAGGTCTGGCATGTGCCTCATGTACTGGCACCCCCACTCCCAAAAAAAAAAAAATCACAATTGTAAACCGCTTTGAGACTCCGATGTGCAGTGAAAAGGCGGTATATAAATAAAGATTACTTACTACTTACTTACTTACAAACATGTGGAAGAAGGTGCTCTGGTCAGATGAAACCAAAATCTAACTTTTTGGCCACAATGTAAAACGATATGTTTGGCGTAAAAGCAACACAGCTCATCACCCTGAACACACCATCCCCACTGTCAAACATGGTGGTGGCAGCATCATGGTTTGGGCCTGCTTTTCTTCAGCAGGGACAGGGAAGATGGCTAAAATTGATGGGAAGATGGATGGAGCCAAATACAGGACCATTCTGGAAGAAAACCTGTTGGAGTCTGCAAAAGACCTGAGACTGGGACGGAGATTTATCTTCCAACAGGACAATGATCCAAAACAAAAAGCCAAATCTACAATGGAATGGTTCACAAATAGACGTATCCAGGTGTTAGAATGGCCAAGTCAAAGTCCAGACCTGAATCCAATCGAGAATCTGTGGAAAGAGCTGAAGACTGCTGTTCACAAACGCTCTCCATCCAACCTCACTGAGCTCGAGCCGTTTTGCAAGGAAGAATGGGCAAGAATTCCAGTCTCTCGATGTGCAAAACTGATAGAGACATACCCCAAGCGACTTGCAGCTGTAATTGCAGCAAAAGGTGGCGCTACAAAGTATTAGCGCAAGGGGGCCAAATAATATTGCACGCCCCACTTTTCAGTTTTTTATTTGTTAAAAAAGTTTAAATTATCCAATACATTTTGTTCCACTTCACGATTGTGTCCCAATTGTTGTTGATTCTTGACAAAAAAAAATATTTTTATATCTTTATGTTTGAAGCCTGAAATGTGGCGAAATGTTGAAAGGTTCAAGGGAGCCGAATACTTTCGCAAGGCACTGTATGTCATTACAGGCATTAGTGGGAGAAAGATAACCAAACTTTTTACTCCAACTCTACATGTTGTATTATATCATTTGTTATTATGTTGCTCTGGTCTCTCTCCCTCGCTCTGGTCTCTCTCGCTCTAGTCTTAATAAAGTCTAAATCTGTATAATGTCCCACTAAATGTAAGTGTTGTTGCTGTTCTCTGGTGGCGAGATGTCATTACAGGCATTAGTGGGAGGAAAATAAAATCTTTTTCCTCCAACTCTACATGTTGTATTATATCAATTGTTATTATGTTGTGTTTGAAGAGCCCCACCTCCTCTGGTTTGACGTCGCGTGTCGTGAAGTCTTTGACACAGTCCATGAAGCAGTTCTCTGTTACTTTGTTGTACGTCCCAAGAAACTCTTTGAACTGGAATAAACCACAGAGATAGCTGTGTTAACAGAGCACCCCCTGCAAGAAATAGACCATAGTCTGTATATAGATGGAAGATTGTATTGGGCAGAGCACTCAACAGTCCACTCATTATATACAGTACAATCTATGGGTGCAAAGCATTATGTGTAATGTGCAAGTAGCAAATTCTAAATCCTAATAGAGAGCTACCTAAAAAAGGTGTGATGGAGACTGCCAAGAGTTAACAGTTTGAAACAGGGGTATTGGGACAGATGGGGTGGATATTGACACAACTCCAGGTCCGTTTTTGATGAGGGACAATGTAGTAACCTTTAACATTGAGGGACATAGTCACGCCTAACTCTGCCGTTGAAATTAATGTGCCCCCTCTTTTGCCTTCTGTGGGCCTTTTCAAAATGGCCTCGGGGCAGGAAAATGTTTGTAATTGCTGATAGTAACGTGATTAAAAACTCAAAATAATCTGTTTAAAATGTTCACCTGTTTGATCTGATCCGACTCAGACACCTGCACAGCTGCCATGGCTCTGGGAATAAAAACAAAATACACAGAAGTTGTATATGCAGCTCAGATACAGACCCAAGGGGTGATTATTGATTAATAATGTACAGAAAAGCATTGTTTTTTTTAAATGGCAGTTTGGGGTTTCAGAATCTTGTAAATTGTATTGTATTTTATTTACCATAGCATAAACACCTATTGAGATGAGAATAGTGACAGAGACTGCCTGCATCAATCTCTGCTGCTTCAGTCTCTGCTGCAGCTTCAGTCTCTGCAGCTTCAGTCTCTGCTGTCTCCTACAGTCTCTGTCTGGTCTCTGTATCAGTCCTGGTTGGTCTTTGACAGAGCTAACAGTGGCTAACAGCTAACACCAGTTTCTCGTGTTTACGTCAGAAATACCCGGTTATCCCGCGCTCAGCTCCGGTCCCAGTGAGGCCCGGTGTGAGTGCAGCCAGAGCCAAGTATGAACCGGGTCCAGAGCCGGGTTTCGGGTCAAGTTTACCTGACTTTGGTCCACAATCCGCGAGCTGCTCCGTGACCGTGGGAAGGACACGTGAAGGCGACCTGAGCGGGGGACACAGCGCCCCCTGCTAGACACTAAAGGAGGCGCTGCTGGAGTGACCTCTCAGATGTTTGGGTCTCAAGTGCTGTTTGTGAACTGATGGTTGGAAATACATAATGTTAGTTTGTGTGTTGACTCACGGGTTCTGTCAGGGTTAGGTCCTTACAGCCAGTTGATGGTTCTTTAAAACATCTATATTCAGTCGAAAGAATTTTATTTAATTGAATGGATGTCACCTCTTTCAGGCTTGACCCGAGTGGAGGCTGGTGGATGAGGCCCGGTTTGGACAAAAGTCTCTCAGTTTGACTCTGGAGCTGAGTCTGAATGAACCAGAGAGAGAGAGACCAGAGAGAGCTGGTGCTCACTGCATGTGTTTCTCTGACAGATTCATGTGAACTGATTCTGAATCGGACCACAGCTAACCCCGAAGAACAGATTTGTCCAGTTCACTGCGGAACAGCAGAAGTACCCACAGCATCCACAGCGCTTCGACTGGTACCCCCAGGTCTGTACCAGAGAGAGAGACTAGAAAGACCAGAGAGAGAGAAACCAGAGAGAGAGACCAAAGAGTGAGAAAGACCAGATACACCAGAGAGAGAGACCAGAGACCAAACAGACACAGCTGAACAGAACTTTTTTAACCTGTATTTCATAATTGTCAGAAAGGAAGCCTCACGTTTTCATGAAGACTGTTCCAGATTTGTGAAACTGTAAATATGTGCAAATATTTAGAACAAAAAAAGTTCTTCTTTTGTGCAGATCTTGTGTTTTATGGGCGATGATGATAGTCCTGAGTCTAGTCCCGAGTCCAGAACAGGTCCTGATCATGGTCCTGATCCGGAACTACTGTGAGGTGGATTGGAAAGGGGGCGTGGCCATAGCTCTGATGGACAGACAGATCCGTCGTCGTGGTGACCATCCCAGCTGCGTCTTCGGTGGCAACAACCACTCATGGAGACTCTGGTGCCCCAAGGGAAGGTCTGAACCAGGACTGAACCTAGACTGGAACAGGACTGGACCTGGACTGGGACAGGACTGGAACAGGACTGGACCACAGCTGAAGCAGGATTGAACCATGACTGAACCAGGGACTTCTTTCTGTAATTGTATACATTACTGTGTGCTGCAACCCTGACATTTCCCCTCCTCCCAGATATTCCGGGTCCCATGACTCCAAGCAGCAGGTGTTGTCTGTAGCTCCAGGGGACAATGAAGACCGTGTGGGTATGTTCTTTGACGTTTTATCTGGAACTCTATCCTTTTACGAAGTCCACATTAGCCCCAGAGGACTCAAAGACCGGAAAGTCCATCTCCACCCCTACCACGGCCCCTTCGCCTCCCAGCACCTCCCCGGCATCGGCTTCGGACTGCGCTCCTACGGCTCATCTGCCTTCCTCTGCGGGATCTACTACATCCTTTAGATCAGGGTGCCTCAAACCCTCGATTGGAGAGCTTCTTTTGGCAGAGGAACAGGACCCAAGAGGAAGCAACACCCCTGGTGGAGTGGGCCCTCAACCCCTGTATGTATAGGCCAGAGAAATGGCCTCCACAATCTGGTAAGGATCTTCTGACTGGACACAGGCTTGCCCAAATGGGGAGTAGCCAAGGACAGCTGTCAGGTGCTATTGGAGCTTCCATGGAAACCAATAATGACTCCTACAGTCACGCCCAAGGCGATTCCCATAGTGAAACGCCGAACAAAGTTAGGAAAAGAACCACATTGGAATACATGTGCAGAAGTACTCCAGTGTGCACCAGACAAAAGACACATAAAACGCTGATATCAGAAACTTCTGGCTCAATATGTAACTCCTGTCTCAGTCTTGTAGTAGTAAAATATGTGTAGTAGTAATATTAACGTGTTAAAGACCCAGTTTCATGCTTTAAGTGAATGTCATCAAAAGTATTTATTGTTTGAAATAATGCAAAAATGTTCTGCACAATTCAACAATAATTACTAAATATTTATCTTTCAGGTTCTGGAAATAGTGTTATAGAGGCTAATCTTGTGTTCATTACATTGTAATTCTAAATTTACCCTCTTCTTTAAAAGCCTGTTTTCACGCGTTAGATGCAGTCGCACCAGACGGTAAAACAACTGTGTTACTCTCCATCTCTCGTTTATTCAAAAGTACAGACGTTATAAAGACTTCGTTGTCTAGCGACATGGGGCGACAGTAGCTCAGTTGGTAGAGCATTAGCCTTTGAGCCTGAAGGTTGTGGGTTCGAGCCCACCTCAAGACCTACTTCACAACTCCCACTGATCACTGCTGTCGTTGTGTCCTTGGGCAAGACACTCAACCCCACTTTGCCTGAAGCCCCCACCCAAAGATCTCAGCTCATGTGGACTCAACACCTGCAGGAGAATCAGTGAGGGGCTGGTGCTCTGTGACTGGGTGCAGCTCTGACTGCCAACCCTCCGACCCAGAAATGGATTAAGGGGAAGAAAATGGATGGATGGATTTCTAGCAACATGTAACAACAACATCAGAGCATGGCGCGTGACCATGTACTCACTCAAATCATGTCTTTACAATCATGTTGTCATAACATTTTCTAAATTACATTTACAACATGTAAATTATGTAAATACAATAAACATGTAAAAATGGCGCTTACAAGTGTTTAGACATAACAAAACAATATCTGTAATCTTAACTATCTGTAAATGTCTGCAACGTGAAATTCAATTGTTATATTGAATTCCACGTTGCAGCGGTCGTCTTCTTTTATGAGATCCAAGCGCATTCCTATATTTTTTATGTCACCTGTTTTTAGTTTTTAGTGTCCTGGGACCTCTTCTGTTCAATCTCTACATGCTGCCGTTAGGTCAGTTAATACGCAGAAACGAAGTTTCCTATCATAACTATGCAGACGACACTCAGATCTATGTCTCACTGACTGCAGGAGAGCATGGACCAGTGGACTCACTCCTTCACTGTATCCAACAGATCAGTGAGTGGATGCAAAACAACTTCCTTCAGCTAAACGCAGACAAAACTGAAATGATTGTCTTTGGTCCCCAGAAACAAAGAGAGAGCGTCATCTGTCACCTACAGTCTCTCTCCCTAAAACCTTCAAACAAGGTCAGAAATCTAGGGGTAATACTGGACTCAGACCTAAATTTTAATAGCCACATCAAATCAGTAACATCAGCAGCTTTTTACCATCTAAAAAACATTGCCAGGATCAAAAACATAGTGTCTAAAGCAGACCTGGAGATTCTTATCCATGCATTTGTCTCCAGTAGATTAGACTACTGCAATGGCCTGCTCACAGGTCTGTCCAAACAGGCTGTAAAACAGCTGCAGTACATTCAAAATGCAGCAGCTCGAGTCCTGACTAGAACCAGGAAGTACGACCACATTAGTCCAGTTCTCAGGTCTCTGCACTGGCTTCCTGTGGCTCAGAGAATAGACTTTAAAACAGCTCTGCTTGTGTACAAATCTCTCCATGGCCTCGCACCAAACTATATTAGTGACATGTTAGTCCCATATGAACCAGCCCGGACTCTGAGGAGCACAGGGACTGGACTCCTGTTAGTGCCCAGAGTCAGAACTAAACATGGGGAGGCTGCTTTTCAGATTCATGCTGCTAAAATCTGGAACAGTCTTCCTGAAGATGTGAGACAGGCCTCCTCTCTGACAATGTTTAAAACCAGGTTAAAGACAGTTCTGTTTAGCTGTGCATACAACTGAGGGATTTTATATTTTTATCTTTCTTTTTAATGTTCTGTGATAATTTATGATTTTAATGCTTTCTTGTTTTGTTCAGCACTTTGAATTGCCTTGTGTATGAATTGTGCTATATAAACTTGCCTTGCCTTGCATCCTCCAGTGCAGCAGTCCTAAATACTCTATCAGACTCGCTCTCTGACTTGTGTAATAAACTACATCCAACTAGTTCCTCGCTCTCAAAACATTTGTTTCTATCACTAGTTTCACATGGGTCTGTACAGAAAGTGTCCTGGATAGAGGGTTGAACTGGAACCTCGTTTCCAAAAGCCTAAAGAGTAGAGCCGAGTAGAGTATGTGAGGATTCGATAGCTATTTGGCCTACGTGCAGGACAACTGCAAGACTATACAAGGACTATGATTGTGCATGCATGTTTCTTCCTCTTGGTCTGAGAGGAAGAAACATCAACCACTGGAACTTGAGAGAAACCTACATAAACTTCCAGAGTTTGGCGCACCACGATCCGTCTGTCTGGTTCATTCCAGAGCAGAGCAGAGCAGAGCAGAGCAGGCTCGAGCCGGCAGGGGGCAAAGTTCTGTGTGAACTCACAGGAAACACCGTAGAGACACTTGTTGTTTGTTGTTAGCAACTGTAGTTGTTCATTCAGATTGTACTTTCATCACTTATTTGTACACGTTTCTTAATTAAAAATGCTTTTAAACACAGCGGCTGCGGGATCGCCCACAGGAAGCATGTCTGTGTTGGTTTTGTGTGTGTTTTCTGTGGTTCATGTTATGGCGCTGAGAGCGGGAAGTTTGAACTTTAGCTCCTGTTAGCCGCGATGCTAACCGTCACAGAGCTACACGGAGTAATAAAGTTTTACAAGCGCGATGTTTGGGTCCCAATCGGGCCTGAAGCAGCCGCTGTCCACCTCTCTCTGCGAAGACACTGGGGACGTGTTGATCCGTTCCACAACAGCCAATCTCCGGATTCAGAAACACGAACCAGCGCCGCTCAATAACACCAACCCACCAGTGCCTCCTCCGCCGGTCAAGGCATCTCCTCACCCGGGTAAGAAAACACACAGTCCCGCTGTCCTGGAGCTCCAATGACATGAGCCAAAAGAGATCAGATTACGTTTGGTAATTATAAAGAATATCTGTTATATTAGCTTTACGTTGGACAAGTGACAATTTGTGACAAAATGTAGATGGAAATATAAATATAATAATTAGATGAATATTCTGATGTAAACTCTCTCCACTTATCTGTCTTCAAATCCAAAAGGACAAGCACAGAATGTGATGAATGTAAATTTTCAGTAATTAAAGGGGATGATAAACTATTTTAATATATTGTTTATTATTATACATAGTTCCTACATGACGTCACTACATACGGGGATTTGCCGACCCGGCGCCATTTGTGTTGGCATTCTGTGGGCAAAACAATAGAAAAAGAAGCTGAAACGTGTTAATGTCGTGATAAAGTTGAAAATGGTCATCTCCTGCTGGGTCAATGGATGTTCAAATCGTGCCGGAGGTTCCGTTAAACTTGGATTTTACAGTATACCCATCATTAGACTTCATGAATGTGAGAAGACTAAGCTTTTGTCAGAACAACCACGGAGGTTATGGCTTGCGAAGATAAACAGGCAAGAAACTCCCTCAAAACACGCAAGAATATGCTCGGAGCACTTTGTGTCAGGTGCGTATCGTATCTTATGTGTTGACAGACGTAATTTACTCAGTACTAACTTGTGTATGCTGATAGCTGGTAACTTGAGAGTTTCATTATTTAGCGTTAGATTACTTTATTATGAGGAGGATCGGTGTCGCGTCCGAGGCTCTCGAGGGCAACGTAAATGTATTAAATAGATAATAATAGTTCTATGGTGGGCTAAAACAATGTTCACAAACCGCATTGCTTCTGTAAAAAGATCTGTAAAAAGATCTGTGTCATAAAATAAACTGCTCTTTACGCCTGGAAAAATCAGTTGCCCACCATTCACCAAAACATACGGTCAAAAACGCGGAAATAAACAATAACAGCAATCCAGAGTGTCCGTGTGGCATTAGCATTAATTAAATTAATTGTTAATATAATTAAAGTAATTAAATGGAGCTCCAACTGGTATTAAATCTAAAGTTTTTGAGAAATGTTTGCATTGCTTGTTAATTTTTGCTGCATAATTTGATCAAATATGTAAAACATGTCCGTAGCACGTTAAACTGTGGTGCCATTGTATTAATATACAATTATTTGCTCAAAAGTTGCCCTTTTTTTCCAATTTGCGTTTGAATATCTACATTTATTCTCATTCTTCTGTTTAATGGAATGCACAAACACAGCAGCGTGCCATCAAAGATGGCGTCTCCGAGGAGGTCATGTGACATTCATTGGTCTGTGGGAACTATGTATATGACTTGGACCGTACGCGCGCTCTGATTACCGGTCTGATATTTTCCCATTTCGGACCGTTACCATGGCAATAGGTCCGAACAGCGCGTATCACATTTGATATCTTTCCTCGGACCGTTACCATGACAATCTGTCCGCAGCGCATCACACAAAACCAAGTCGGACATGAACATACTTCACAAATATCTCAAAAGCATTGGTAAAGACACAGACGAGAGTCATATAATAAAACATTTATTAACCTCGCTTGCTCGGTCTGTACAGAGAAATATTAGACCTTGGCCTTTTTGCACAGACCTCGCCACGGCTCGGTCTGTACATTAAGGTCTGATATTTCTCCATACAGACCTCGCGCTCGGTTAATAAGCCGTTAATATAAACAACATGACACATGTTAACCCCAAAAGACTGTAGGTTTTTGTGACAGACCCTTTTGTTTCATCAGTTGTGGCTGTGTCTTTTGGCAGCTTCAAGGGTTTGTCAAAGTGTAATATTTTACACATGCAGGAGGATCTGAAGACCTGAAGACCTGATGATCCAGAACATTAAATAAACATTTTGGACAGTGGTCATCCTGCTCTCTATAGATCAATGACTCCTGTTTGTTATTATTGCATATTCTAGGATCTGATGTTGGTCAATAGACAACCTCTGAGACGACTGCTGTTCTGATTAAGGGGCTGTGTAAAAAGTACTTTGAAATCAAAATTACTCAAACTAACACAGTTTACTTTAAAAATAAAAAAATGGCCACTATGAAGACAAAAACTTCATACTTTAATATTATTTACAGTTATGTTTGTTCCATATTACAAAATTCTTTGTGATGACCTCAGACCCTAATCACTTAATTTTTCCTTTGACATTCGTTGTGTGACTGTGACATGATGAAAAATAAATGGAAATTCTTTTAAACAGAATAACCTGACGTGTGATTTGTTTGACAGGTGAAGAAGAGCTGCAGACAATTCGATTGGCTGCTGGAGGTAGAGGGGCTGGGCTCGAGGCGCTCAGACAAAGGTGAAGAGATACCATGCTATGATATTACATAGCATTTATATCAGAGTATACAAACAACTGGTATGTGCTGAGCTGTTGGGACATCATGCCAGTGTTTTGACTGTTGTTGTATTTGTATCAATTGAATCAATATAAAAAGGGGGTTGTGATATTAAGTATTGAATGTTATTGTTTTTTCCTCTGTGTGTTCAGGTGTCATAGCGCCCCCCAGAGTAGACCTGTTAAAGTCACGCTGCTGGAGTCTCATAGTGCACCAGGAGCACAGAACTACAACTCTCACAATCCTCTGGGTCTGGACTCTGACTCTCAGAGTCTCCCACCAGGCCGTCAGGTGATAGACATGAACAATTGTATCACATGTTTGTATTAGTGTCTTAAAGAAATAGTGTGATCGGTAATTAATGTGATGCCCAGTGTGTTCCGAATGTGGAGTGATTGGAACAATATCTGAACTCTGAACATTGTAAAGTGCTTTGGGACTTGGTCTGTAAAATGCGCTATATAAATAAACATTACTTGCTTATATTACTTACTCTGCATAGTGGTGAGTTTTACAAAGTTGCTGGTGTTATACATGTTTGTTTACCACAATATTAAAGAAAGAAATTGATCAGAAAAAGTTAAATATGATGCGGTTTGTTTCAGTGTGACGTGGCAAAAGTGTCTGAGCTCACAGAGTCCGTCCAGAAACTACTGCAGAGATACAGGTACTGAACCAGGTCTGAACCAGGACTGAACCAGGTCTAAATTCAGTCTCTCTGCTTTGTATTGTTCCAGGGGCCAGAGTCTGACAGAGGAGGCTCTTCACAGACTGGAGACTCTGCACCAGCAGCAGCTCTTTCTCCAGGTGACACAGGGAGAGCATGCAAACTCTAGTGAGAAAGGCCCTATCTGGAATCAAACCCAGGACCTTCTTTCTTCTTACTCAGCCACCATGCCGTCCCCGGTTTTAGACATGGAAAACTGACAAGAGGATGTTTCACACCCCTTTTCCCATTTCAACATTTCCCACAGCAAAACTCCAAAATGTTTAGGAAATTAGTTAATAAGTCTGTGTGATAAATCGCCCCAAATCAGGTTTGAATTGTTGTTAGACATGAAATCACAGATGCAGATTTTTTGAGCAATAGACGAGCTATAATTTAGGAAGACGTCTTTTTTGATCACTCTCAAAGTATGACATTAAAACATTAAAATGTTTCGTTTTGTTCAGAACCAGCTGCTGGACTCTGCTCTGAAGATGGTGATGAGGCCTGAGGCTCCGCCCACCTCTCACCTGAGCTCAGGTAACGTGGCTTTTCCTCTCTACCTCTTGTACTTAATGAGGTTTATAACATTACTTTTAATACGTTCTGAAGCCAGGGGGAAACCTTTGTGTGTCTGGCCTCTATCACATCATTAGATCTGCTTTGTGAAAAAGACAGGAGCACCATTACATACATATTCGGTGTCAGAACCTCTTTCTTTCTTTTGCTCCTCTCTCTCAGTAGAGATGGGAACTGACATGATTGTGATGATTCAATTTGTGCCAAAATTCAATATTATTGCAATTCTTATTGTGATACAGCAAGTATTGCGATTCAATTCTGCAATATTTTGTGATTCATGTCCCATATTATTCAAAGGCATTACAAACACGGAGGAAAATAAGACTTTTGCCTCTGTGATATTTTTTATGGTCTGCACATGAACTGAAGCAAACACTTAGGAGGCTTGTGCAAAAGCATCATCCTTGAACATTCAGGACACAGGACCTTATTACAAGACATCATTATTGATTATTGTATTTCACTCCACAGAACATAAATCCTCTGCTGCCGAGATGTTTTCTCTTACTCCCTGTTACGGTGATCGACCTACAATCAGGTACTTTACTAGTAATTTACTAGTTATTACCAAATACTCCCAAAAGTGGGTTTAGATCTGAGCAGTGTTGGTGTTGTGTTTAAACTGTATAGCTGAATATGTATACATGTAGAAGGAAGCAGGACTGAATCAGCACTATCACCAGTTTGTGTTTCTACAGATCAGACGGAGCCAATCAGAGCTCAGGAGTGCCACAGGAGGCGGGGCATCTGAGTGACAGGAGATTGGGGATGACGGTCAGGACTATTTCATTTTATAAAAACAAATTCATGTTTTCTTACATCTACTGTTTCAAATCTAAACGTTAGGACCATTTGAAATCCTCTAAAGCGATTTATTCCTATAGAACAGTTGAAATTACTATTATAAATTTGATTGTCATTAACATCTCACCACCACCACATTTTTTTTGTATCCAGTTGCAAGAAGAACCAGAGGAACTTTCCAGAAATGTCCCAGTGCCACATCCACAGAACCCACCCAGACCTCTGCACTCCAAACCCCACAGAGCCCAAAGAAAAAGACCCCAGTCCAGGACCAGTCCAGCCAAAACAAAAAACCCCAAACCATTGCAAGCAAACGGTGTCAGAGAAGCTTCGGATCGAGACGCGTCCGCAGAACCACAGCTGAACCATGAAAGCTACATCCAGAATATAGAAAACCTGATTCAGTGTCATCAGGAGCAACTCAAAAAACAGCAGAACGAGACGAGGAATGAGGAGAGAGGGGAAAAGCAGCAAGAGAAAGCAAAATGTCAAGATAATCCTTCACAATTCCGGACTAAAAAGACTGTAACTGACTTAAGGAACTATGAGACAAAGGGTGAAGAAACTAAAAACGAGGTCTTGTCCAAAACTGCTCCGAGTCTGTATAGTGGTCGGATCATGGAAGGACTGGGGGGTCTGGAGGGACTAGGTGCAGGTCTACAGGGGGACAGGCGTCTGCAGAGACCGGGTTCAGTTCTGGATCAAGCCCGGCTGGTTCTGAAGAAGGTCCAGAGGCAGAGGAAAGTCCTCGAGGCAAACCTGGAGTCTCAGGTCAGGTCCAGAGCCGGAGACCTTCTGCACTGTCAGCTTGACGCACTCGCACAGAACAGGTAAAGACACAGTTTAGTCCTGGTTTTGACCAACTTTTGTCCTGGTTTAGAACTGGTTTAGTCCATGGTTTGGATTTGGTGCAGTCCATGGGTTAGACCTTGTTTTGTCGCGGTTTAGTGCAGGTTTAGCCCTACTCTAGACCTGGTATAGACAACTGCTTTTCTGCTCTTCAGAGATTGTTCCAAAGAGGTCAGCATCAAGAAGACTGTGGACTCCTGGATCAGCGCTTTGTCCCGAGAAAACCAGGTTATACCCAATTTTGCACAATTTGACCTCAAATTGGGGTTTGAATAAGATTCCAATGGCCTGTATATTGGTCCATATACCTTCCCATAAGCCGAGTTACGCTTCCCTGTCCCTGAAGAAAAGCAGCCTCATAACATGACGCTACCACCCTCATATTTGACACGGGAGATGGTGCGCTGATATGAAATGATGATGCTCTGTGATGCTGGAGCACCTCTCTATTGGGCGTCCATGAGTTTCCTGCTTCTGTGTTCAGGTTCAGGCTCAGAAGTCTCCAGTAAAACAGGTCTCTGCCAGTGCCAAACCCTCAGCCAATAGGAGCACAGCAGACAAGAGCAAGCCCACACTCTCTGGACGAGTGCGAGCAATGAGCATGCTTCGAACTGCTACTAAACCCCCCGGAACCAGCGCACAACCGGTAATAACTCCATTCCAGACTCTGCAGTTCTCTTCTGGTTTTAATACATTGATTATGACGTTACACCTGGTGATCCTATTATGTGATAAAGAGAAAAGTTGAAAGGCGTATAATGAGACCTTTCAAGTACTTCCTCACTGTCTCCAGTCCCCAAACCTGGCCCCAGACTTGGCCCCAGACCTGGCCCAAGACCTGGCCCAAGACCTGACCCCAGACCCGGAGCTGTACCTGCGACGTCTCTATGGTAAAGCGGTGTACGAGGGACAGAGGCGGAGTCTGAAGAAAGGCCCGTACCTGCGTCTGAGCTCACCTGACCCTGCCCCCCTCTGCAGCAGGTCACGCCCCCGCCTTGTGGAGACCGTCAGAGGTGAGGTGAAATTGTCTCTTGGTGGCTTATGTTTGAAACGACCTCTTCTGCATTGCAATTCAGTGTATTCTTGTATAGCCCTAAATCGCAACAATAGTTATTTCAGAGGACTTAAAACTTAAGGCTAATACTACTAGTAACTTTAGCACTAACCTGATTCTCAATTCAATTGATTTAGTTTACACCAATTTCTAAGATAATGAAATATATCTAAAAGTTACGTTAAGAAAAAAATTGCACCAGTACATAGTCATAATAACTCTATCCACTGTCTGTCCCAGGAGTGAAGCTTAAGTCCTGCAAGACCCAGACCAGTCCTGAGCCTGGTTTATATCCGGTTTTCAATCCTAGTCTCAGTCCTGGTCCAGGTCCTGGTCTAGGTCCTGGTCTTAGTCCTGGTCTCAGTCCTGGTCCGGTTCGACATGGACTCAGTTTTCCGGCTACAGCCATCCCTCTGGGTCGGTACAAACGTCTCTCAAACTCACTTCCACTCAACTGTTTTTTATGTGTTCTAAAAGTTGTGACCTTGGGATGATTTGACAGGACGCCCTCGTATAGAGTCCTCCTACAGAGCCCTACAGGAAGTGACATCACCTTCCAGAGCCTGCTCACAGCTGCAGCAGGAAGTGACATCAAAGCACGAATCGTTTCAAAGGGCAGTGACCTCAGCAGACGCAGTGGGAGATGAGCGAGGGGTGTGTCCTTCTCTAAAGATTATAATAACAATACTCTAGCAATAACAATACTCTTATCTAGCCTCAGTTTTCACACACAGTATCGGAACATTCTTCGTCTTTACCACACTGTATTATAAAGTCTGAACCAGGTCTAACTCGGTCCCCGTCTCAGGCCCCAGATGTAGCTGTGCCTGCAGTGGTGATCATCCAGTCCTCCCCCGTCCAACAGGAAGAGGCGGAGTTTCCCGGGACCAACTTCCTGTCGGTGGTGGAGCTGGAGCAGGTAGACCCTCTCACCTCTGCTGGTCTGTCCATGTGCTGATGTTGTGCTCTTGTCCATTTCCAGGTCTCTGAAGCTGCAGTCCTTCAGCTGGAGGGAGGTCCCAGTCCAGACCCAGTCCAGTACCAGGGTCCACAGTTCCCTCCACAGCCCCCAACCCCTGTCCCACGCTCAGCCCAGGAACAGAGCATCGATCTAGGGCTTAATATCCACAGAGACGCCCTGGAGCAGCGGCTGGTGCAATGGTAAAGACACCTCTGATAAATGTGGATATAGACTCAAAGACCAGTTATAGACATTTATACAGGTAGACAAAGCATAAGAAAAAACTGACTTTGGAGTCATCTTCTGAGTAATCCAGTTTCACTAGCGCTAGTGTTTTAATGCAGCTCACTGTTAGGTTTAATGTTACTGAGCTCGAGGACTTTACTTTTCAATGTAAGTCAATAGTAGCCACAGCGAATCGGAGTTCTATGCAAGTCTATACCAGGTTTAAAGCTGGTCTAAGCCTGGTCCAAACCAGGTTTGACCCAGGTCTACAGCAGGTCTAAATTTTGCCCAAAACACGTCTAAAGCAGGTCTAAAGCAGGTCTAAAGCAAGTCTAAACCAGTTCTAACTCAGGCCTAGACCAGATCTAGAGCAAGTCTAAAGCAGACATTTTTGAAGCATAAGCAAAAATTTACTTTAGGTCTCTATCTTTGGAACAGAAATTGTAGATACATTTTTTTTGTCAACAATAGGTTTATTACAAAATGTGTGATTATTGTGTTTTAGACCAAAACATGTTTTTTAAATAATTTATATTTATTGAATCTCATAATTTGAAGTGTAATCCTAATAATTATTGGCAGATTATGACATTTATGTATTTGGTCCTTCATTTAGTACAGTATGTTGACAGTTTTGGTCCCATACACTGCCGCTTCTTCTGGATGCAGATCAATAGAAAAACAGGATTCTAATCCTCACATGTTCTCGCTCAATGGAGACCTTTGATTTCACCAAGAGGTTAAGGCCAGGGCAGGACTGGGACCAAAAACCACGCAGAAGCACAAACTGTAGAGGATGTATGCAGTTTCAACAATAATTAAAGCCGCAAGCGGCGTTGAACGGCCCTCGCCGCCCCGCGCAACTCCCGGCACCGCGCAACTCGCTTCCCCGTGCCGCCCCGCACCACGCCACCCCGCACCACGCCACCCCGCACCAAGCCGCCCCCTACCAAGCTGCCCCCTACCAAGCTGCCCCCTACCGCGCCGGCAAGTTTAGTGCAAACCAGACTTAGTAAATGCCATTCTCACCCATGTAAAACTTGACTCAGTCTGTAGGGGGCGCTAATGCTGAAATTTTATGTTTTACACTTTCAGTTTGCCCAAACCCAAAAGTTGAACAACCGATTCAAATTTGGTGCGAATCGGACTTGGTTTGTGCAAAAGGGAGCTATGTTTCTATTGTCAAAATGGGGAAAAAAGGTCACATTTTGCCGCTCCGCTGCTCAAACAATGTTTCACTGATCAAAAATCCCTTTGGTCATTTTGATGGTACATGTGTTGAGATGATGTGGAGCAACTTTTTGGCCAAATCTATGAAACGGCAGAGGCTGGTTGGATGTTTGTGCGAGGTGTACATTTGCCATGGACAATGAATGGGGAGCGTTTGTCGTCGCCATGGCAACAGGGTAAAAAATAAGCCTTGGTCCCTGTTGACTTTTTGAATCAAGAGGGCAAAACAGATGTGTAAATATGAGGTGCGATGGTGTACAATTACAAAAGACATTTCTCAATGGATTTACACATTTCATTTTTTGTATGAGGCAGGCAGACCGGCACATATATGGGTATCGGTACACCCGATGGCCAGTCCAGGTCTGGTTGAGGCTAAAGTTTACTTTATTCTGATTTGTGTCCAGGGTGGAGCAGCAGCTGATGTCCAGGCTCATTGTGGAGATATCCTGCCCTCCTCTCACTGACCCCACCCACAAACCGTACAACCCATCAGAGCCAGAGGAAAGGCCTGATCCGGCCCATAGACTGTCTCCTGTCCAATCAGAGACCAGTGCTACTTTAGATCACAGTGAGTGAAAGATGACATTTGTTGTGACCAAATTTGGGTCTTGCCTAATGACACAACCACAGATTGGCACTTTACAGCCGCAGTCGCCCAACTCACACCATTGTTATGGTTTGAAGAGTAGTAGGAGCTAGTTGACTTGTCTAAAATGCACCATCCATCCATCCATTTTCTACCCTTTAATCCATTTCTGGGTCAGGGGGGTGGCAATCAGAGATGCCACCCAAGTCTCATAGCACCAGCCCCTCACTGACCTTCTGCAGGTGGTGAGTCCACAGGAGGACGGCTGCTCTCTGAGTGTGAGCATAGCCTTGATCTTTCAGTGGGGGCTATGGGGAAAGTGGGGTTAAGTGTCTTGCCCAAGGACACAACAACAGCAGTCATCAGTGGGAGTCGGTGGAGAAGGTGTAGAGGTGGGAATTGAACCCACAACCTTCAGGCCTGAAGGCCAATGCTACTGTCACCCCCTACTAAAATGCACCTTAGTAACTAAAATGCACTTCAGTACTAAGCTAGCACACTATCTTTTTGTTGGAAAGATGGTGTGAGTTTTGTGATTTTGAATGTGCTGTGTTTGTCTTGATATTCATTGTGTCTTCACACGTGGTCTTTCCTGTTCTGTCTGTTGAATGTACCCCCCCTGCCCCATGGGACTACGAATGGAAACTAGCCATTAACTAGCCTGGTTGTACCACACCTTAGTACAAATTACATACATTTCATACTAAGGTCTGGATTTGCTCCATTGAGCTCTGTTTACAGGTGGGAGGGGTTAACTCCTTTTGCATATTGAAACGATTGGATCTGAGTTTACCGTGACGTATGTAATGCGCCCGAGTCTGTTGTTAGCATTTAGCATTTAGCCTAGCCATCTCCTTTGCTGCTAACGGAGCCCGTGGGGAGTAGCGCCACAATCTTGACCAGTGATTACATTTACTAAACATTCCTCTTGCTCCTGCTTCAATTTCTTGATAGAACCAGACCGGATTACTTTACTATCGCATTCTTAGCCATTGCCAAACTACAACCTGCCCGTTCGGCGCAAACTCTTGACGTCACCGGCACCGACCTACAACACCCGCCTTCCGCGCTCTCTGAGTAGCCGGTCGAAATACGACCGATTGTATTTGCTAATAATAATAATAATAATAATAATAATAATCTTTATTTGTATAGCACTTTTAAAAACAGTGTTTACAAAGCGCTGCACAGTCAGCATGATAAACAATAAAAACATAATGCAAGGTCAAAATAATTAGATACAGAAACACAAAGCAAACAGAGCAAAACACAAAAGAGACTCAACAAAGACAAAGCAGACATTAAAATACAGCATCGGAAGTTTAAAACTAACAGTTAAAAGCTGTTTGATAAAAGTGGGTTTTAAGAAGAGATTTAAAAGAGGATACTGATGGTGCTAGCCTTATCTCCTTGGGCAGGTCGTTCCAAAGCCGAGGAGCCCGGACAGAGAAGGCTCGGTCACCTTTCGTCCGGAGCCTCGACCTTGGAACAGTCAACAGGGACCTGCCCGAGGATCTAAGGCTGCGGGGGGGCTCGTAGGGGGTTAAAAGTTCAGAAATATAGCTTGGTGCCAGACCTAAACGAGCTTTAAAAGTAATCAGTAAAATCTTAAAATCAATTCTAAAACGCACAGGGAGTCAGTGGAGAGACGCTAAAACAGGGGTGATGTGCTCCCTTCTGTTAAAACCAGTGAGAAGTCTGGCTGCTGCGTTCTGGACCAGTTGGAGGCGGGAGAGGGATTTAGCGTCAAGATTGGAGAGGAGGGAGTTGCAGTAGTCGAGGCGGGAGAAGATGAGGGCGTTGACAACTTTATGGAGATCGGGAGGAGTGAGGATGTTTTTAATCTTTGAGATTGTGCGGAGGTGATAGAAGCAGGTTTGGGTGGTTTTATTGATGTGGGAGCGGAAAGTGAGGTGAGAATCGAAAATGACACCAAGGTTACGGGCGGAGGGAGTGATGTTTGAGGATAGGGGGCCGAGGTGGGTTTGGATGTGGGATATAGATGGAGGCGGGTTGATGAGGAGGACTTCAGATTTGGATGTATTGAGTTGAAGGAAGTTGTGGGCCATCCGACGGTTCACATCGTTAAAACAGTCGACCACAGCAGCCAGACTTCCAGGGTCGTTTGGTCTCAGCGGGAGGTAGATCTGTGTGTCGGAGGCAGAGCAGTGGAAGGACACGTTATGACGGGCCATAACGTGTCCTAGGGGGAGCATATAAATAGAAAATAAAATGGGACCTAAAATAGAACCTTGCGGCTGCACCACAGGTAATGGGGGCTGTTGAGGAGGTAAAATCACCCATGGTGACTGCAAAGGTTCTGTCTAAAGGATAAGAATGAAACCAACCAAGTGCAGTATCTCTGATGCCAACCCACGTTTTGAGGCAATCCAATAAAATCTTGTGGTCGATCGTGTCGAAGGCTGCGCTTAGGTCTAAAAGAATTAAAATAGAGCACCCTCCGCTGTCTGTGGTTAGGAGACCTGGATGAAGACGCAGTTCGGGGCCTGGTGCTGGAGGTCTTGACTGAGGTTGTGGCCTCGTTCCTGGGATCCAGAGAGTCCCAAGAGCCAGAGACCAGACCAAGAACTGAGCCTGGGTCTGGACCAGAGGAAGAACCAGAACCAACGGAGCCAAGCTGGTCTGAGCCACTGGAGGTGAGGCCAAACTAATCTACCGTCAGGGAACTTTTAGTCGACCACATCCGTATATTTGGTCGCAGTAAGTATTCTTCGTTTTTTTCTCATTTCAATTTTCATATAACATCTGTTTTTGTTGCAGCTGCTGCCAACGCCTCAGCCCACTCCTCTCCACACTCCGCCCCCTCAAACCCCGCCTCGCTCTCCTGTAGCTACGCCCATACCCACACCGCCTTCTTCTGATTGGCCTGATGTTAAGGAAGACCAGCCTCCCGAGCCTCTACCCACGCCCCCGGCCACTCAGAGTCCCAAGCCGCCATTTGTCCAGACTCAGGAAGAGCAAGAGTAAGTGACAGATATAAGAGAACCTTTATTCATCCCAGAGGGGGGAAATTTCAGTGTTGCAACGCACTTACAGGGCAGTAGATAGAGCACACTGGAGCACACATCAAACAATATCTGTAAATGCTTCATAAAAGCAGCAAATAATCAATGTATTTCTTAATAGATATAGACATGGCCAACCTGATCTTACATGTCATGCATCAAGACTATTGGTCCTCCTAAGTGTCAATTATTCTGGTGATACCTGCTTGTCAAATAAGATAGAGCGGTTCTTTCCTAAAACAAAAAATCCTCTGATATACCTTTGACTAATGTCAGATTGTGCGATATAGAACCACATTTGTCACTGTGTTCGAGAAGGTCATGCTGCTAACATGTACAGATGTAAACATACAGCTACATGTTGCTTACTCTAGAATACAGATTTCAGATTCAGATTCAGTTTATTTGCCATTTGCAGTAAAAACACCACATTGGAATACATTAGCAAAAAGTCTCCAGTGTGCACAGACAAATACAGACATAAAACAACATTAAAAGACAGAAATAAAACAGTAAACAAATGTCACTGTGAAATCGATCGACTAAAACAGTTTCAAAACAAGTGCAAATCATTAAAGTGCTCTGTTCAAACTGATAACAGCTTGTGGATAAAAACTGTTAGCGTAACAAGATGTCCTGCATCTCAGAGAGCGATATCTTCTGCCAGAGGGAAGAAGCTGGAACATGGCTTTTCCAAATTCCAAATGACAGATTTTATACTTCTTTATTATGTCAAAGATATACTTGTGTATTTGATGCTAGAGTTAGACATTTTATTTTATTTGAAGTCGGGCTCCTCTGTTTTATCTCTATTAGTGAACAGATCTGTGTTTCACTCTGCGGAGGAAGCTCATTTCGACCGCTTGTATTCGCGATCTCGTTCTTTCGGTCATTACCCAAAGCTCATGACCATAAGTGAGGGAGGGAACAAAGATTGACCGGTAAATTGAGAGCTTTGCCTTTCGGCTCAGCTCCCTCTTTACCCCAACGGTCGGATACAGCGTTCGCATCACTGCGCACACTGTACCGATCCGCTTGTCAATCTCACGCTCCATCCTTCACAAACTGTGACTAGCACAGAAGTCCAACAACTGAACACCGCTCGGGTTCAGGTCAGGGGGGCCGTTCTTCCCGATCGCCCCTCTCCAAGTGTCACTGGTATTTTCCACATGGGCTTTGAATCCAACCGGGAGAATAACGGAGTCCCTGGTCGGTGCGCCGTCCAGTACCCCTCCCAAGGACTCCAAGAAGGCCGGGTACTCTCAGCGAGAAACACCAGAAAAGTGGAGCGTTCAACCCCTCACAAGGAGTTGGGTTCCAGAGCCCAAGCTGTGTGTGGAAGTGAGGCCGACTATCTCAAGTCGGTATCGCTCAACCTCCCAAATGAGCTCAGGCTCCTTCCCCCCCAGTGAGGTGACGTTCCACGTCCCAAGAGCCAGATGTTGCTTGTGCGGACTGGGTCGGCCTTCGACTGCCGCCCAGTCCTCTCAGCACCGACCCGCCACGGATTCCTCTGTGGGTGATGGGTCCACAGGAGGGCCTGGCAACGTTGTCCTTTCGGGCTGGGCCCCATAGGGCTAAGGCCCGGCCACCAGACACTTGCATACGGGCCCCAAACCCAGGCCTGGCTCCAGGGTGGGGCCCCGGCTGCGCTATGCCGGGCGACCTCACGGTTCTCATTATCATTCTATCCATGGTGGGTTTCTGACTCATCACCCGAAATCTATTTCGCCCTAACAACATAGCTCCCAGGATCATCCGAGTACTCAAACTCCCCCACCACGGTAAGTTGGGGGTCCAGGGGGGAGCAAAAAAAAAATGTCTTATTAAAATAACCTGGGAACTGGATAGAGTAACAAGAGGCAGGTTGGAGAGTTTATGTATTTCACAGCTTGTTTTAGAGACTTTTGAAAGGTGTGTGTGCTGTGCTGCTCAGTAGTCAGAAGCAGTTATCTGTCCAGTCACAACAATAAGGAAGCGGGTTGCCATGTTTGCATATGAAGCTTCAGTTAAACCAAAACATTACTAAAATCACTAACATCACTAAAATGTAGACTAGATTATGAAAGAGTCTTCATGTGACAGAGAGAGCAGAATGTAAAGATTGTGTTTGTAAAAGTGTCCCTTCCCTCTCTCTGCAGTGAGCTCAGCTCCTCCCCTCCTCCTGCTCCTCCTCCTGCCCCCTCCCCCCCCGCGCCTGCCCCTCCTTCTCCTCCAGACGCCTCCTCTTCCTCCTCGTGCTCCTCCTCCTCAGCGGTCAGTCACACGGCTCACAAACACATCTCAGAGGGAGAGCTGCTGCTGAGCCACCTGCAGGCGCCAAACGGTACTGCACGTGTTTGTCATGTTTACGTGAATGCTAGTCTGTCACAGCCACTGGGGGCGGGTCCCAGCTCAAAAGTGGCCAAAATGATGTGCGCTGACATGCTTGCAATACCACCCCGGGCCGATGGGAGTGGACCCAGAAGAAGAATTAGCCAATGCTAACATATAGCGTTGGCAGACCTCTCAAAAACTTCTTTACAGGATGGACCAAAAGTTGGCTCTTGGCCCAAAGCTCCGTTCCACATGTGTGTCAATGCTGAGGGGGGTGAATTTTCTTGGTCCACTCTAGTTTACTCGCGGTGAATTTTTGAAGTCTCTCGTTCAAATGAATGGAGCTGCGCCGGCTGACGCATGCGCAGATGCGTTTTTTCACAATTTTCTTGTGGGCGGGACCACTCGCGGCCATCTTGGATTGCTCCATGAAAGCACTTTTCATGGCCAACTCCTATGAACGGCAGAGATAGGCGTGACTCTGTCCGTTAATATATACAGTCTATGGTCACAGCAGATATGGTCAGCACTAGATCATATACGGAACGGGACGGAAGCGGAAGTAAATATAACAAAATACCTATTCATGCCTAAACTTAACCAGCCATTCCCATAAAATAACCCCAACCCACCCTTAACCCCATCTTAATTAGACGCCTAAAACTTAACCAGTCACCACTTAAGGACTTTTTAGTCTAAAACTAATTTGAAAGTGTTACTTCCGGTTTCGTCCCGATTCCGTATATGATCTAGTGCCGACCCAGCAGATATGTGCTGGTGATGTCATCAATAAGTCACATTTTATATATGAGATGGCTAATGTTGCTAACTCTTGATAATGTGGCTAATGTTGCTAACTCTTGATAATGTGGCTAATGTTGCTAGCTCATACTAATGTCGCAAACTCTTGCTAATGTGGCCAATGTTGCTAGTTCATACTAACGTCGCAAACTCTTGCTAATTTGGCAAATGTCGCTAACTGTGGCTAATGTTGCTAGCGCTTACTGATGTTGCAAACTTTTGCTAATGTTGCTAGCTCTTACTAATGTTGCTAACTCTTGCTAATTTTGCTAACTCTTGCTAATGTTGCTAGCTCTTGCTAATGTTGCTAGCTCTTGCTAATGTTGCTAACTCTTGCTAATTTTGCTAACTCTTGTTAATATAGCTAACTCTTGCTAATGTAGCTAACTCTTGCTAATGTTGCTAGCTCTTACTAATGTTGCTAACTCTTACTAATGTTGCTAACTCTTGCTAATGTTGCTAACTCTTGTTCATATAGCTAACTCTTGCTAATGTTGCTAACTCTTGCTAATTTTGCTAACTCTTGCTAATGTTGCTAGCTCTTACTAATGTTGCTAGCTCTTACTAATGTTGCTAACTCTTGCTAATTTTGCTAACTCTTGTTAATATAGCTAACTCTTGCTAATGTAGCTAACTCTTGCTAATGTTGCTAGCTCTTACTAATGTTGCTAACTCTTGCTAATTTTGCTAACTCTTGTTAATATGGCTAACTCTTGCTAATGTTGCTAGCTCTTACTAATGTTGCTAACTCTTGCTAATTTTACTAACTCTTGTTAATATAGCTAACTCTTGCTAATGTAGCTAACTCTTGCTAATGTTCCTAGCTCTTACTAATGTTGCTAACTCTTGCTAATGTTGCTAACTCTTGTTCATATAGCTAACTCTTGCTAATGTTGCTAACTCTTGCTAATTTGGCTAATGTAGAGAATTCTCGCCTTCTTCCTATTTCAGAGGAAGGCGGCAGTTTCTCCAGTTCTCTTCATGAGCTCCAGGAGATGGTGAGTGACCAGGACAGACAGGTGCTTTTGATCCTGGTCTGACCCATGACCTCTCTCTCTCTCTCTCTCTCTCTCACTTTCTCCTTCTCTCGCTCTCTCTCTCTCTCCTCTCCCCCTCTCTCTCTGGATGACCTTGGTCTGTAAACTGTGCTATATAAATAAACATTACTTACTTACTTACTTACTCTCTCCTCACCACCCTTTCTCTCTCCTCAGGACCCCGACCTGAGTGAGGGCCAGGTACGGAGCAGCAGCATTTTACTGAGCTTCATCACCAAGCTGCAGCAAAGAGAGCCCCGTCCCCAGCCTGAGGTAAGCCCTCCGCCCCCAGTTTAAGGTAACTTAAGGAAGCATAAAGTCAGCCTGAGGTTTTGCTTCATTCCCACTAAGCAAAACACAGGAATTTTGACCAAAAGCCCATGGGTTCCCTTTTCTTCCATGCTCTGGTCTCTCTCAGGTCTCTATCTGGTCTGTCTCTCTAGTCTCTCTTTCTTGTCTCTGGTCTCTCTCTGATCCTGGCTGCACTTTGCTGTGACTCTAAGAATTATTTTGAAAGTATGAAGTTTGTTTGATTATGAACTTTTTATGACTTGCAGGGCTTGTGGGGTCGGGGCATAGAAGAGGACGAGGAAGAGAGCGCCGGCGAGATCCGAGATGGCGAGACGAAAGGCGAGACCATGGAGGAACGGTCTCCAGGACAGGCCAGCTCCACCACAGGTCAGTGACAGAGACCAGAGAGAGACCAGAGTAGATTGATATAGAGAAACTGTAGCACCATGTTTTTGTGTTCAGGGGAACCTCTGGAGTGGACTATTCACAGCGCTCTGTCAGAGGGGTTGCTGACCTCTGACCTCCTGCAGACCTCTCCCCTGGTAAGTGTGAGTGTGTTGTCTCTAACAGTGAACAGAAGAAAAAGTCCATTTTGCAGAATCTCTCCTTTAAATCTAATTCTTACGTGTGGTTGCCGTGGCACCTGCCTTTATCTGCATTAGCTACAGGGGAGGACAGTGATTGTCTAACTGGACCTGGCTCCATTCTCTCTTAAACACATGTTTCTAATTGGACACAGGTTTCAGCCCCCGAAAAGAGACCAGACCAGAGGGTGGACCAGTGTGTAGACCAGAGGGTGGACCAGTGGGTAGACCAGAGGGTGGACCAGTGGGTGGACCAGAGGGTGGACCAGAGGATGGACCAGAGGGTGGACCAGAGGATGGACCAGAGGATGGACCAGAGGATGGACCAGAGGATGGACCAGAGGATGGACCAGAGGATGGACCAGAGGATGGACCAGAGGATGGACCAGACCCCAGACCAGAGCCCAGACCAGAGCCCAGACCAAAGTCCTTCTCAAAGAAAAAGTGAGTACACGTACAGTATATCTGAAACTGAAAACTTCAAGACCTAAGAGAGACCAAAGAGAGAGACCAGAGAGAGAGACCAGAGAGAGAGACCAGAGAGAGAGACCAGAGAGAGAGACCAGAGAGAGAGACCAGAGAGAGACCACAGAGAGACCAGAGAGAGACGAGAGAGACCACAGAGACCACAGAGAGATTTTAGATTTACCTGTTTCCTGTGTCTCAGGTGAAGAAGGCGTCTGGGGAGGGGCAGGTCCTGCTGTAGAGAAGATGGACGTGTTTGTGCCTTTAGTCGAAGTAGCAGAGTCCGACTCCTCCAGCGACATCTTCTAAAGACTATGTGTGTGTGTGTATATTTATATTTTAATAAAGTGTTTTAACATTTTAAATCAGTTTATTTTTCTAATTGTGTACATCTCCCTATCTTTAAACACTGCTTATGTAAATACAGAGAACATTAGAACATTATTATTACACACAGATCAGTAATGACAACATCACACACTTTCTACGTGTTCCGTCTGCAGAAAAACATTTAAAGCTTTTCAACCCACAATAAAAATGGAACTATATGTCACAGGTTTAAAAGTGTCTGTTGAGGGGGTGTGATCATAAAAAGGGAAACTGGATAAAAAGGGGATAACATTTAATAAAATATTTACAAAAGGGATCCATAAAAGATGATTAAAAGCCCAGAGTCCGTCCCCACTGTCCTCCGCTCTTCTCACCCGGGACCGGGCCGCAGTTCCGCCAGCCACTAGCCGACCACGGGTCGGCACCGGGCACCTGCGGGGGAGAGCCGGCACATCCCGGTCGTCGTTGGGCCTAGCCCGGGCGCGCACGCGCCTTCATGCGCTGTCAATGCGCGCCCCCTTACCGGTGCCGCTCCCCCCGCTGGCCTCAGTGCACCGTGGTCTCTGGCTGGCGGTGCTCGTCCTCGTCCTTGGCCCGGTCCCGCGTCCTCCTCCTCTGGTCCTCCGTTCCCCCTCTCTCTGTGTCTCTCTCTTCCCTTGTCCTGCAGTGCCCGCCCCCAATTAAAAGGTCTTGATTAAAAGCAGGTGTGGGTGATTAGGGGAAGTGTCCAAGGAACTGATTAAAATCCATGCATTAAAAATATAAAAACACACAAAACACATCACAAAAATAAAAGCAGTTAAAAGTCCTTTTTAAAAGTTCACTTTCCCACATATACATATGTAATAAACTCTCTTGTTCCTGGCTCTGAAACAGTTCGTTATTATCACTAGTTATCACATGTGTTTTTGTCCCCGGTTACATCAGTTGATTAACCCAAAGTGTCAAATAGTGACTCACAGGGCTCCCTCTGTACAAAAAGTGTACAACAACAGAAATACCACATGTTATGGTCTGATTTGTTCACAACATTTTACTTTTCCAAGATTATTTTACTTTTGCAAACTAGTTTGATTCTCCCCCCACTCCATCTGCCTCTTCACATGTCTCCAGCCCAGTGGACACTACCTTCAACTGCCCACAGCCCCTTTCACCCATATCGTTTGAACTTCTGCCGTCAGGACGGAGATATCGAGTGATATCAGCTAAGAAAAACATTTTTAAAAACTCCTTTGTGCCCAGAGCAGTGAAAGCGGTAAACACTCTTAAGCTTTGAGCAGTCCTGAGCTTGACTCTTGTCTTTAGGCCGGAGGTGGCCTTGTTGGTTTGTTCTTCCAATTGTTCTGTGAATGTAGTGCCACATGATATTGTGCTGGATGTGTGTCTTTTATATATTTTAAGGTGATAACCAAAGGCAATTTTCCACCTTGGTGGACAATAAAGTTTTCTTAATCTTAATCTTAATCTTAATCTTAATCTCCAGCCCCCACCACCTGCCCCACCTCTGAGAGTACACCCCGGTCGCCCCCACATTCCAGTTCTGGGGCCCTTCAGGGCAACGTTCTCTCCCCGTTTCCCTTCACCATCTACATTTCGGACTTCACTCACAGCACAAAAGTTTTCCATCGACTCCGCCATTGTGGGCTTTGTGCCTGGGGGGAACGAACTGGAGTAGTGTTTGGGTATCATGGACTTTATCAACTGGTGTGAGCGCAACCACTTGTCCTCGAACACCAGTAAGACTTCAGGAGAAAAACACTGTCCCACACGTCATTGAACATCCAGGGGGGACACATTGAGCTGGTGGACAACTTCAAGTACCTGGGTGTTCACATGAACAATGAACTGGACTAAAAAAAGTTATAGAAGAACCCAATACTTTGACTTACACCAATAAACTGGACTGGACCCATAACGCCAACACCCTGTACAAGAAGGGCCAAAGTCACTTTCACCTTCTGAAAAGACTGGGGTCCTTCAGAGTGAGCAGGCCTTTTGTGACTCTGTTTTAGCTTCTGCCATACACTACATTGCTGTGTAGGACAGGAGTAGACTCAACAAGTTAGTCACCTCCAGTGTTGGGCACGTTACTTTGAAAAAGTAATTAGTTATAGTTACTAGTTACTTCTCCCAAAAAGTAACTGAGTTACTAACGGAGTTACTCCACTATAAAAGTAACTAGTTACCAGTAAAAGTAACTATTGCGTTACTTTTTCGTTTTGTTCTGGAACATAATGTGCACTCGACGTGTGCATTTTTACCTTTAACCTCAGTGAGTCTGAAATATTGCCAATATTTCCATCTAGAAAAGTCTGTTTTGCTGCTGAAGTCCTGTTCACTCTTCATCTCTCTCTGTGCTGTAAGCACTAAACACCAACACCCACCACTGTGAATGTGGAAACACCGGTGAAGCACTGACTTCAGCCCAATCAGATGAACATATTTATCATATAAATCAAGTGGACAATTTGTTTGCCTACAGCAAAATATGTTTCATGGCCGCATTGTTTGTTCATACAAAACGCAAAACTATGAGTTATGGGTCTTACCTTATAAATGACCTGCACAGACCACTTCAGTTCAGACCAGTTCTGTGTTTAAGTCCAGATAATAGTTTGAGCGTAGATATGTAATCCTCCATTTGGAAATGAGTTTTAAAAAGTAAAACAAAACGCGTGTGTCCTCCGTAAACTCCTCTGTTTTGCTAGGTGCAGCCGGGTGCATCCAATTTCTAAAATCAACCGTCTTACACTTCACCTCTCTTTCTTATCATTCCTATAGTAATTGAAAAATTACCGTTAGTGCATTTTAAATTATCTTAAAATGTGTTATATGTATGTTAGCCAAACTTGTTGCTGTCCTTATCAGATAAACCAGGAAGAGAAAGGAGCTTTCTGATGGAATTGTATGCAGCCGACTTCTGCGCTCACATGCGCTCCTCTGTGGCTGACCTCACGGTGATACAAGCTGTGGTTGAGCGCGACTAAGACCCATATTTGTTTCAAAAACACAATTTATGACCATCCTCTCAACTGTAGACATGTGGATTGTAAAGGAAATATGTTTTACATCAGCCAATAATTGCTGAGAGGTTTTCTCATCCTCCCTTCTCTCATGACAACACGCGCACGAGTCCTATCATGAAGTAAAAAGAGAAGTTGCGTCTTTAGTAACGCGCAGTAACGGGATGTCGGAAATAATAACGGCGTTATAGTTACAGTCAAAGTAATTAGTTAGATTACTCGTTACTGAAAAAAGTAACGGCGTTAGTAACGCCGTTACTAGTAACGCCGTTATTCCCATCACTGGTCACCTCCCTCATGGACAACACCTCCCACTGCACAGGACTGTAGAGCAGCTGAGGAGCTCCTTCAGTGGAAGACTGAGGCACCTCAGGGCAAGGGGGGCTACCACAGGGCCTTCATCCCCACTGCTGTCAGAGAGTACAATAAGTCAATAGGACTGAAAAAACTTGCACTGCTGTAGTCACATTTAATTTTCTTATTGTACATAATATATCTTGCACGAGAGAGACTATTTTATTTAACATGTTTGCACATGAGCTGAAATCGTGAGATCAAAAAGGTTTACCTAATTTTACATGTTATTAACAAAGACCGTAAATATTAACGAAACACAGTGTAGTACCTGGTCCATCACCAGCAGAGGACGCTAATCTACCGCAATTACACTCCCACACGTGGAGTAGAGGTATCTCCAGCATCAGTCAAGAGCAGAGGCTGGTCTGTGGTCTATGGACCGGGAAGAGAGACAAACGCGGACTAACACTGGCTCTGGACACGGGTCTCTGGGATAAATATTTGTGTTTAGGTGAAAACCCGAAGGCGACCTGAGGTAATGATCCTCCAGTTTATATTTATAATCCAGTCTGGTTTAGGTGGTTCCGTGGGGATTCAGAGATATAGAAGATAAATATGTGCACAAGTATATACAAAAAAAGCCAAAAGTACAGGTATAAAACGGATTATTTCAGATTTCTTTAATATCTTTGTGAATACATGTGTGTTTTCTGGATCAAATTATGTGTGAATGAACTGAACTAGAATCTCTTCAAACTCGTTGGTTCTATTCCTCTGCAGATGACAGAAATGCATCAGTTTAATCACCTGGAAATGTGGTCTCTCTGGTCTCTCTCTAGTTTTTATTGTCTCCCTCTCTGACCTCTCTCTGGTCTTTCTCTTGTGTCTCTCTCTCTGGTCTCTCTCTGGTCTCTCTCTTGTCTCTCTCTGGTCTCTCTCTCTGGTCTCCATGACTTTCCCTAGAATGAACCAGGTCTTAGCCAAGTCTAATCCAGGACTTCTCTCTGTCTAAACCTGGACTGAACCAGGACTGAACCTGGACTGAGCCAGGCCTGATGTTTGTTCACGAGCCGGGGGAGTGCACCAGGACTCGGCTGGAGCTGGTCCTCAGATCCCTCCGAGATCTGGACCATCGGCGGGTCCGTCAGATGGTTCTGGTCCGGTCCGCGTTAGACCCAGGGGGAGTCCAGATGGCCACCAGTGATGATTCACCAGAACCAGGACTGATCCAGGACCAGGACCACAGGAACCAGGACCAGTGGGAGGAGAACCTGCTGCAGCTGAAGCAACAACTGGTGAGAGGAGACTGATTCTGACGCTGTTTTTATATTATCAAATTAAAAGTTACAATATTTTTCATTATAACAAAATAATGAAAGCTTTAGTGCCCCTGTGAGTCACTATTGGACTCCTTGGGCTGAGAGCTGATTGGCTGAGTGAGGGTGGTCATCTTTCTGTCTAAAAAAGCTGATCTAAAGATGTGATAGAAGCCAGAAATGAAAGAAAATAGTTATAGAAGACTGTTATCAGAGCAAGATTTGTAGTGGTTTGAAAGTTATGTACCTCAGCTTTAAGTGATTACAAACAACAAAGCGACACTCTAATGTCTATTATCACTTATTGAAGGAAAAGAAAGAGCAGGAGATAACAAACCAGATCTATAGAGACTTGGAGAAGTATTAGTAGTTGTAGTAGTCAGTCCTACACTCAGTAAGACCATAGACTGATGCTAACTCGCTCGCTCAATGAAACTTCTTCTCTCATGAGAAGTGCTCATGGTGAAGCTGGTGAAGCTGGTGAAGTGGTGAAGGCTCCTCTCTCTGGCTCCTAATGCCTTACATGTAAAAGTAAATTCCTCTAGCTCAGAAACTGTTTGTGTCTGTGGTTTAGTGCTCTCTGTTATCCTGGAGTTTATATCGTGACAGTATCATTGTAAATCCAGATCTGTTTGTCTCATCAGGAGGAGGACGAGGGGAAAGGAGCCTCTCTTTGTGTCTCATCAGGGCTATTTCTGTCTTTGAGCAAAAGGTTAAGTTATTGATTTTTAGGGAACAGTGGTGAACGTCCAGTGACTGCTCTGTGTGCACTGAAACAACTTCCACGTGGAGGGAACTGATCCTCCCAAATCTGTCAAACATGGGGGGGAGGAGGGGGACGAGGAGGATGAGTCTCCAGTCTCAGAGCTCTCTCTTGTCTCTCTCTCAAGTGGATAAGGGTTAGCATTAGGATATACTAATTAACACTTTATTAGCTAGTAATTATTGAGGGCTAAGTGTTGCCAAAGATTTTTTCTCAACATAAGCAAGAGAGGAGGAGATGACCATGTCTGTGTATTTGACGTTGTAAAAACAGAAAGAGGAGCTGCTGCTGCTGTCATCAAGTCTCTAACACAACATCCTGCTGAAACCAGAGCCTTGATCACAGACTGTATACAGATGGACGATGCTAACACGCTAGCTACATGACTCTGGCTCCTATTGATTTCCCAGTAACCCTTTGTATCTTACTCATCATTTTGAAAAGGAAACTGTCATAATAATGTCAGATATCAAAAAAAGAGAATAAAACAAACAAAGGAGTAACAATGACAATGTTAAAGGCCTTTTGATAAAAGTGGGTTTAAGAAGAATTTTTATAGAAGGTACTGATAGAGCCTTATCTCCTCGGGCAATTAGTCTGTCTCTCTGGTCTCTCCCTCTTATTAACAGCAAATTATGTGCCAATTAGTGTATAATTTATAGCTCTTGATTGGTATTTATTAAGAATTTATTAGTCTTTATTCTATGTGGCCTTATTCAACATCTAACTGAATACTAATTGACACTTAATCTGACACTAAGATACTTAATTACTGCTAATTAGTGAGGGCTGAACTATAATATTAGTGAAAGTTTTCTCTGATCACGTCCTTTCAATCACTGACTTTTTGTTCCAGAGATCATTGAAGATTCGCGACGCTGGACTCGTGTCTCAGATCCGAGACTTAGACCGACAAATCCTTGAGCTGCGATTGGACGCTGACTCGTCACATGTCCTGCCCTCTGAAAGCCCCGCCTGCAACAGTCGCTCCAGCTCAGGTATCCCCCAGATGCCCTCCCTGTCTGCCAGTTCAGCTGTAGATGATGTGAAGCTGAAGACACACATAAACATTGGTTGATAGTTGTCAACGCAACAATAAAGATGACAACACACAAAAAACCAAGTCAAAAGCAGGTTCTGTTTTCCACAGCCTCATTATCACTGAGCAAAAAGTCGACACAGGCTGGTGTGTCTCAATGTGACTCATAAAAAGGCAGTACTTTGCATAATGACAGCGTAATGAGCCGTGGATGTCTTTGGATCAGAAACTTAATGTGGTCCATTATAATGAGATTCCCTGTGGTCTCTCTGTGGTCTCTTTCTGGCCTCTCTCTCTCTGGTCCCTCTCTCGGATGTTACTCTCTTGTTCCTAACGCTGATCTCTGGTTTCTATCTCTTAGGTCTCTCTAATCTCTCTCTCTCTCTCTCTTTGATCTCTCTCTCTCATCTCTTTCTCGCTGGTTTCTCTCTGATCTTTCTCTGGTCTCTCTCTTGTGTCCCTCTCTCTTGTCCCTCTATCTGATCTCGCTGTCCCTGGCCTCTCTCTTGCTCTCTGGTCTCTCTCTGATCTCTATCTCTCTGGTCTCTCTCTCTTTGATGTCTTTGATCTCTCGCTCTCTGGTCTTTCTCTGATCTCTCGTGTCCCTCTCTCTTGTCTCTCTCTCTCTTGTCTCTATCTGATCTCTCTCTCTGGTCTCTCTGATCTCTATCTCTCTGGTCTCTCTGGTTTCTCTTTCTCTGGTCTCTCCAATCTCTATCTCTCTTTGATCTCTCTCTCTCTCTGATCTCTTGCTCGCTGGTTTCTCTCTCTGATCTATGTCTGTGCGACCAAAAAAAATATTTTATAAACCTCTGATTTTTAAAGCCAGCTAGCAGGTTTGCATTGTCCATCTATATACAGTCTATTGTGTAGACTATGTATTGCACTCTCTCTCCAGGTTTCTACGACTTCAGCGAAGGCCTGTCGCTCTCCAACTCTTTGTTCAGCCTGAGCTCCACCCACGACCCGGAGACCCCGCCCCCTTCTACAGAAGTCCCTCCAACCAGTGAGTCTCTCTCTGGTCCTTTTGTGGTCTCTCTCAAAATCACACCTCTGAAGCTAAGCAGGACATGGCCTGGTTAGTACTGAGATGGGAGACCTTTGGGAACACCAAGTGCCACAGTGGGGCGGCTGTAATATCCCGAACTGTGGTTGTCTCCGTAGACAAGACACTTCATCCACATTAGATTGAGTTTGGTCTGTGTGAATGGTTGGTGTTGGTGGGAGGGGACAATGGAAGGGGCCAGTTGTACTAGTTTGTCACCACTGTGTTTGGAGTGAATGAATCATGACATGTGAAGAGACTTTGAGCGTCTAGAAAAGCACTGTATAAAACTGATGCATTATTATTATTTTGAAATAAAATAATAGTTCCTTATATTTTCAGGTATATTTGGCCCTCAGACTCTGCTCTGCTCCTTGCCCTCCCCCTCTTCCTCCTCCCCCTCTCAGCCTCCCCTCTGTCTCCTGGACTCCTACATCTTGTCTCTGCTCCATCGTCGGACTCCCACTTCTCGCCCGAATCAGCCCAGAACCACCACCCAGCTCCTGCTCCATCACCAACCTCATGCTCTCTCCCCCTCTTCACCCAACCCCAGCAGCTCTTCACCCAACCCTTGCGGTGCTTCGGGTCCACACGCTGGTTTTGAAATGAGCCAAACTAGTCCGGAAGTTGCAGAATCCACACTGAGCAAAGGACATCTCTCGCCACACACAGGCGATGGAACTGAGGGGAACATGTTGAAACCTCGCAGACGAGACCAACTGGGAATGAAGACCCCTCAGAGTTTGGACCTGGATCAGAAGGAGGATCCGGTTCTTCGGTACAAACATTGGAAAGACACGCACCAGGAGGAGAGCATTCAGAGGAGGCGTGTTAAATCTGTGACCTGTTTAAGATCAAACCACGCTCTGTTCAATTTGGAAAGTATAGAGCAAAGTGTTCATATGTGTGTGGGAGAGAGGAAGAGAAGACAGAGGAAGAGGAGAGGAGCAGAGGAAGACCAGGAGGCTTCGCGCACGTCTGGCTCTGGTATGTCTTCAACTGTAGTGATTAGTACTATGTATAATGTAAGTAGGGGCGGGCAATAATATTGCGAAAGTAACTTTGACAATAAGCTTTTTCACATCATCAAGTTACTGGCTCTATTTCACTTTCCCTGCTTGGCTCGATTGCGTTCACTGTTCTGCGCTCGCCCACACCTCCTTCTGCTCCTCCTTGGCCCCTCCCCTCGCACATTCAACCGCATTCATCACAGCAATGGCGCCGCTTAGCTAGCAGCATAGACTGTAAACTTGCTCAAAGGATACAAACTTGTCTATTTTTTTATGAAGAAATGGCAATATGTATGATTTCTTAAAAAACAGGAAATCAAAGCAAATGTGACAGAAGCCCTTTGTTCCTGCTTGAAATGACTCCCTCTTTGATATTAAATCTAAAAATTGGCATGTTTGTAATTAATGTTAGACATACATTCAATTAAATTTATTCTTATATAGCCCGAAATCACAACAGTAGTTATTTTGCTCTGGTCTCTCTCTGGTCACTCTGTCTCTCTGGTGTATTGAGCTAAAATCATCTCAATGTAAATGTAAATGTGCATATGTCACCCTTAAATGTCTGAAACTTATGTACCCCGGATTTTAACAGCAGAGAGAGAATCACTTTTCAAACATATATTTGTGTGTTTTGCAGTTCGATCCACGAGACGTTCTTCAGTCAAACACAGAGCGCCGAGGTCACAGGAGCGGACTGGCAGCCGACGAATCAGAGAGCTGTGCCGCAGTGACAGGGGCGGGGCTGAGGATGGACCAGGAAGTGAGGATGGAGGTGGAGAAAGGGGCGAGACCAGGAAGAAGCAGCAGCTTGTCAAAATAAAAGCTTCACAGACTCTGAAGAAGAGAATGCAGCGTCTGAAGAGCGGAACATTCACACTTCTGACAACAGTGTGATGCAAATACTCTCTCTGGTCTCTCTCTACTAACTCTGGTTTTTCTCTCTGGTCCCTCTCTGGTCTCTCTCTCTGTTAACTCTCTGGTTTCTCTCTCTGGTCTCTCTGTCTAGTCTCTCTGGTCTCTGCTCTCTCTGCTCTCCCTCTATTTCTGGTAACTCTCTGGTCTCTCTTTCTGGTGTCTCTCTCTGGTCTCTCTGGTTTCTCTCTGGTCTCTCTCTGGTCTCTCTCACTGGTCTCTCTGGTCTCTCTCTGATCTTTCGCTGGTCTCTCTCTGGTTTGAAAAAGTGTTTCTAGAAGACTTATATTGAAAGTCACTCATTATTCTGACATGTCCTTGTGGTCCCCATGGTAAACACAGACACGGGTCCAAACAACACGCTGAGCTTTCACAGGACTGACACAGCGTCTGGTCCTGGGCTTAAATACCATGTATGAAAACTTCAGATGGAGTTCTGTGTTCAAACTTCAAAGAGATGGTAGGGCTTCTGTTAATTTTCTAACACAGAATTAAGACTGGTATATTCATAATTTTTTTGTGAATCTGAGAGTTCAAAACTGTGCAATAAATGTTTTCTGTTTAAGTTGCATTTTTTCCTGAATATTGATTCAGTCTCTGCTTTAGACCATGCTTTAATCCTACTTTGGTACTGCTTTAGGTCTGTTTTGCACCTGCTTAGTCCCTGCTTCAGTCCTGGGGCAGTGACCGTTTTTTTAGGCAAAACTGTTACGTGGTGGGTCCAAAACAAACACATATCAAACATCTGAAATCTCACCACCACGTGGAGTATAGCTAGCACTGGAACACAAAAAGGCTGTTCAAACATTTGGTAAAATGTTTAGTTGTTAAAGCATTTGCTTATTGTTGAAATGAGAAATTAAACATTAAATTTTAGTAGTAGTGAATTCCGAGGGATAACACAATGCAGTACTTGTATCTGTATTCGCTATCGGCAAGTACTCAAATTAAGGTACTTGTATCGGTTTTTTAAAAAAGTGGCATTTGTGCATCCTTTGCATTTGTCCTCCTGTAGTTATGTATATGCTTTTGTCATGTATTAGACCTGCTTTAGACCTGGTTCACTGTTGTTATTACTTAGACCTTGTGCTGCTGGTTATTTCTGACCTTGCTTTGCTCCTCTGGGTGCTCCTCATACATCACTGAACGCCCACGCAGCTAGAGACCTGTTTTAGTCCTGCTTTAGTAGTGGATTTAAGAAGAAGAGAAGAAGGTCCTTTATTCGTCCCACAATGGGGAAATTTAAGTTTGATACATACACATACACATTAAGGCAAGTGAACATCACACCTGCGCTCCTTATAGGCAAAGTGGGTTAAGTGTCTTGCCCAAGGACACAACGATGACAGACATCAGTGGGAGTCGATGGTTTATTCATTGTATTTGTGCCAGCTCTCGCTCAGATTCAGAGGAACTGATTTTCATCTCAGCCTCTTCAGACTCTGCTCTGACTTCTCAGGAGCTCCTGGTTTGATGAAGCGACAATGAAAGACATGTATTTATTAATTAATATTTTACTTTTTTTTACCAGGAAAGCCCCACAGAGATCTAACTGAATGTCAGATGTTTCTATGTCTAAGTCCTGCTTCAATTTGGGTTCGATCCTGCTTCAGTCGTAATCTCAGTCCTGCTTTAATCCTGGTTTAGTCCTGGTCTAGTCCTGCTTTTGTTCCCCTTTAGTTCTGCTGCAGCCCAAGTTCAGTCCTGCTTCAGTCCTGGTTTAGTCCTGCTTTGGTCCTGGTTCAGCCTAGTTCTGGTTCACTAGTCTTCACCCTCTCCTGGTCCCTCTGGGTCCTCTGCTGCAGACTCAGCACATCCAGCTCCATTCATCACTGCAGCAGCTTCTCCACAAACACACACAGTCTCAGATTATTCAGTCCTATTCCTGCTCTGGTCCTAGTCCTGCTTTAGTCTAGTCGTAGTCCTGATATAAATTAGATTAGAGTTTTAATGAGTTCTTATAGACCAATGTGACTCTCACCTCCGTTGCCGTGGGAACCTAGATGTCTGAATCGCTGTTTTTGTGTAAATGTTCTTGTCTGGTTTGGATTCGTGGGCGGTGGTGGTGAAGCCTCAGGACCTGATGCCTACCACACGCACACACAGACACTCTGTCGATCACTGGATTAAATCACTAAAACTACAGCAGCACATACACAGACACACACAGATCACAATAAAGCTGGGGGACCTGGTTTATGATCATCTAACATTATGGTACATCCTGGTGTTCTACTTTATGGTTTTTGCATTCGTTACATACTTAGTACAGCCTTTTCAGGCTCCATCATTCAGCCAATAAGCCCAAAGAGTCACAAATGGACTTGCAAGGCTCTTTCTTATAAGATAAAAATCATACTAATGAGATGAAAGCAGCTGATTTACAGCTGCTCTTTCTCAGGGAGGTGTCCAAGCTTTAAGTTATAGCAAAAGTTTGTACTGAGCTGTTTTAAGAAGAACATTGTGATGTTAAAGTCCTGCCTCAGTCTCTGCTCCTATCTCTGCTTCAGTCTCTGCCTCAGTCTCTGCTCCAATCTCTGCTTCAGTCTCTGCCTCAGTCTCTGCCTCAGTCTCTGCCTCAGTCTCTGCCTCAGTCTCTGCCTCAGTCTCTGCCTCAGTCTCTGATTCAGTCTCTGCCTCAGTCTCTGTTTCAGTCTCTGCTTCAGTCTCTGCCTCAGTCTCTGCTTCAGTCTCTGCCTCAGTCTCTGCCTCAGTCTCTGCCTCAGTCTCTGCCTCAGTCTCTGCCTCAGTCTCTGATTCAGTCTCTGCCTCAGTCTCTGTTTCAGTCTCTGCCTCCGTCTCTGTTTCAGTCTGTGTTTCAGTCTCTGCCTCAGTCTCTGTTTCAGTCTGGGTTTCAGTCTCTGCTTCAGTCTCTTCTTCAGTCCTGATACCGATATCTGGAGCCTGGGGGGGGTCTTAATGAATGTGTCTGGATCTGATCTCATCCATAATTCATACCAAACAAACAGGCGTCACAGAGGGGAGAGTGAAAGAGGAGAAACCCAGGAGCAGAGCACTGATCCTGGGGTGAGATCGGACCCAGGCCCCTGAGCCGCCTGGAGGAACTTCACATCTGACTTTTTTCAGATTAATTTAATTTTTCGGTTCTTGCTGTTGGAAAACCAATCCCTGGAGAAAAGCAGCTTCTCTCTTTGGCTTCGGGGCAAGTTTCTAATTTCACACTTTAATTATTGAGCGTCATTAAATGGCTCTGATTAACACAGAGGAAGGACATTTTACATTTTAAACAAATATTTACAGCCTATGATTTCAACGTTTGAGAAAAGGTAGATTCTTTTAAATGAGTCATAGCAGAGAAAATGATCCATTATTTGTGTTGATTCTGGACTGTAATTAAACCTAGGACTGAAGCAGGACTGGAGTAGGACTGAAGCAGTCCTGGACCAGAACTGAAGCAGTCCTGGACCAGAACTGAAGCCGGACTGGACCAGGACTGAAGCAGGACTGGACCTGAGCTGTAGCAGGACTGAAGCAGGACTGGACCACGACTGAAGCAGGACTGAAGCAGGACGGGACCAGGATTGAAGCAGGACTGAAGCAGTTTGAGATAAAGCATTTAGACAGAAGGGACAGGAGGATTTTCTTGTTCCATCAGTGTAGTCCTAGTTCGGTCCTGGCTCTGTCCTGGTTTGGTCCTGGTTCATTCCTAGTTCAGTCCTGGTTTGGTCCTGGTTCAGTCTCAGTCTGGTCAAGTTGTGGTTCAGTCTCGGTCTGGTCGAGTCTTGGTTGTCCTGGTTCAGTTTCGGTCTTGTTGAGTCCTGGTTCTGACCTTGGATTTGCCGTAGTGTGATGTAATCCACTGATTTTAATCAAAGACCTCATAAATCATGTTTATGGCACTGTCACCAGAGACTGCAGACACAGAAAAAAAGGACTAAAGCAGAGACTGGACCAGGACTGGATCAAGACTGGACCAGGACTGGACCAGGAATGAACAAGGACAGAAGCAGGACTGAAAAAGAGACTGGACCAGGACTAAAAGTAGTAGTAGCATCAGTAGCAGTAGTACCAGTAGAAACAAGAGTAGCAGTAGCAGCAGTAGCAGTAGCAGCAGTAGTAGTAGTGGTAGTAGTACTAGCATCAATAGCAGTAGTACCAGTAGAAACAACAGTAGTAGCAGTAGCAGTAGCAGTAGTAGTAGTAGTAGCAGTAGTAGTAGCAGTAGTAGTAGTAGCAGTTGTAGCAGTAGTAGTAGTAGCAGTAAAGCAGTAGTAGTAGCAGTAGCAGTAGCAGTAGTAGCAGTAGTAGCAGTAGTAGCAGTAGCAGTAGTAGCAGTAGCAGTAGTGGGGCTGTTGCACAGTATAAACATGATGTCATTGATAAAAGCTCTTTTGTCTTATCCTGAGCAGAGGCACAGCGCCCCCTACAGCCCGTGCTTCTGCTACAGTCACGTAGCGCCTCCTGCGGGTGGAGTAGCGGAAGTGCAGGTCTTACAGAGAAACTACAGTGTATTTTCCTGTAGAGGACGCTGTATACCCGACAATAGCTCACATTCTGTGACAACGGGAAACGACATTTTGAATAGTTGTTATTACGATTGAGGATGTATTTCTCCTTTTTGCAGACAAACGAAGATAATAAATAGTGATTTATTATAATCCAAGTGCCATAGACTCAGAGCTAACCCTAACCCTAACCCAAACATTTTAATGAGTTGTAAGTAAGTATCCATCCATCTATTCATTTTCTTCCCCTAAATCCATTTCTGGGTCGGATGGGTGGCAGTCAGAGCTGCATCCAATTCACAGAGCACCAGCCCCTCATTGCTCCTCCTGCAGGTGATGATTCTTTATGATATTATGTGTTGTTATCTCGTTTTTCTCAGCACAAATAAACTTCCCTTGCTTTACTCTTATTAATCTTATTGACCAACTTACACTTTGTACAATTTGAAAGGTTGGGTGAACGAGGGACTGATTTGGTTTTAAAATTGCTTAAAAAGCAATAAAATCAATCAAATATATGTAAATCAAAATACATTTAAATCTGAATACATTTCCGGTCACTCTTCAGCTGTTTCCGCTGTGAATTTGTAGTCTTTTCCCTCGTGCTTCTGTAGTCCTTCAGGGAGCGGACACTTGCCTCGGGAGGAGCCGTGAGAAGCGGACAGTTCCCCCCCTTTCGAATGGACCGTCTGTAGACCCGTGTGGACCCGGTGTGGACCCGGTTTGGACCCGGTGAGGACCCGGTGAGACTAGTTTTGCAGTTCGAACCGCCTCTCCCAGTGGGACCTCGGCTCCTCTCTCGCCCTCGGGATGAAGTGGACCTGAGCCAACATGTCGCTGCTTCTCGGTGTTTTTGTGCTGATTCTGCTCGGACTGGACTCTGCGAAAGCTTCGGGTGAGTGTAAACAATAACTTTTACTCGCTTTGACTCGAAAAAGCACAAAATGACAACTTTTACTCCGCGAACAACGACACTAGGGACTGGACAATCAGAGCGAACTGTTTATGATGCTGGTCAGGTGCGACACACTCTGTCAGAGCCACAGGCGCTGTTTACCAAACTATTACTTTAATTGGGTTAATTTAACCTCTTTCAAATTATCATTCTTATTCACAAATTGATATTTGCTTCTGTCGTAAAAGGTTTGATACATTTGTTAAATTCACGTTTAAAAAACACTGTGTACTGCATGAATACAATGAAACTCAACTCTGTATATTTCTGTTTTTAAACATGGTATTAGTGGAGGGGCAGGACTTAATACTATAAAATATTACTGAATAGTATTGTTAAACTAATATCAAATCAGAGAATGATACATTAAAACTGTCATTGATCAATAAAAACGAGCATCCACCCATCCATTTTATCCGCTTTATCCGTTGCCCTGTATTGTGGGCAGCAGTCTGAACAATGACCGAGACCTCCCTCTCCACATAGACTTTCTCCAGCTCATCTGGGGGAATCCTGACTTGTTCCCATCTAAGACACAGTTCCAGGCTCTGTGTCCTGGGTCTTCCCCTGGTCTCCTCCTGGTGGGACATGCCCAGAGGCATCGTAAAAAGATGAGCCACCTCCATGTGGAGGAGCAGCGGCTCTACTCCATGCTCCTCCTGTGTGACTGAGACCTTCTACCTCTATCTCCGATTGTATCCGCAATCTTGTCCTTTTTGGTCATTACCCAAAGCTCAAGACCAGAGGTGAGAGAGGGGATATAGACTGAGAGGTGAACTGAGAGCTCTGACTGCAGACACTGCTCCCTCTTCACCACAACAATCTGATACAGCACCCGCAACACTGCACGCGCTACACAGATCCTTCCTTCACTTTTGAACAAGACCCAGAGACTTTAACTTCTCCACTTTAAAACGACTCTAAACTAAAATCTCAACTCTGTATTACACCTGCTGCTATTGCCTCAAAGTAACTCTACAATAAAACAATACAATAATGAGTTTTTACTTTTAGAAGAAATTTGAGTCGGTTGTGTCAATATTGAACATGTATCAAAGGTTATGTGCAGACTGAATGAAAAAAGCTTTGATTGGTTTATTGTTCTTTCATTTTCATAGTTGTAAAAAGTTAAATTGATGCCAGCTTGTTTCTACAAAGTCTCACAGGAAAAAAGGTTTAGGAATTTGCTGTAGAATTAATCTTACAAATGCTTGTTTTTTCATAATGTTTACCAGAATTTGTGTTTTGTCTGTTGTTTACGTAGTTTCAAAGTGGCTGTTGTGAGTGGTGCAGGCTGTCACAAGGACCAGAGGAATGTGGCTTTGGTCTGAACTGATCCCATTATGAAAACGCATCAATCTAAAGCGCTCCAGGACAGAGACCCACTGTTCCCCTCAACCATTCCCCTGAACCCCACTCCTCAGAAATACTACATCTTTCTGATTCACTAGAGCCGGATTTAAGATGAGACCTGGACTGACTGTGTGATCGAAGCAGAAGCTGGTTTAAAGGTTGAAGTATTTTCTGTAGTTAAAACTATGTTTTGTCATTAGAGGTTCTGCACTGGTGAGGATTAATACATGCCAAGATATAGGGCAGACAACATGGACTCATTAAGGAACAAAATAGGACGTATAACCAACGGGTTTTCTGTGACTAATACATTAATAAAGGACCTGACATGTTTCTGTAGTATGTTAACGTTATTGTCTTTTGTGCATATTGGTCCATTTGAGACTTTTGAATGCAATACAACCAAAATACTAATTGTAAGGCTTTTCTTGATCAAAAACAGAAAACTTAGTGATTGTAGCGATAGGTTGTTGACAAAAGCTACAACTCAAAATTGTGAATGAATTCTGAGGTTTCTCAGACGGTGATGTCATGAAAACGTCACCCCCGCGGGGAAGTGAATGCTTTGACATCACACTCAAGGAGGCAGCAGATTGGCCCAGGCTGGAGACGTTATCCTCCTCAGATTGATGTGAATCTAACCAGATCAATATGTGGATCATTGAGGTTTTCTTATGATGCGCTGCTGTGGCTCCAGCTTCAGTTCGACTTGAGTTTTATTGATTTTTACACAGATCTCTCGTCTGCACAGGTTCAGGCTCTGAAAACTTTCCATAAAACACTTCTGCTGTATTTCCGATATATATATATATATATACAGTGCCTTGCAAAAGTATTCGGCCCTCTTGAACCTTTCAACATTTCGCCACATTTCAGGTTTTAAACATAAAGATATAAAATTTAATTTTTTTGTCATGAATCAACAACAAGTGGGACACAATCCTGAAGTGGAACGACATTTATTGGATAATTTAAACATTTTTAACAAATAAAAAACTGAAAAGTGGGGTGTGCAATATTATTCGGCCCCTTTACTTTCAGTGCAGCAAACTCACTCCAGAAGTTCAGTGAGGATCTTTGAATGATCCAATGTTGTCCTAAATGACTGATGATGATAAATAGAATGCACCTGTCTGTAATCAAGTCTCCGCATAAATGCACCTGCTCTTTGATAGTCTCAGGGTTCTGTTTAAAGCGCAGAGAGAACCATGAAGACAAAGGAACACACCAGGCAGGTCCGAGATACTGTTGTGGGGAAGTTTAAAGCCGGATTTGGATACAAAAAGATTTCCCAAGCTTTAAACATCTCAAGGAGCACTGTGCAAGCAATTATATTGAAATGGAAGGAGTATCAGACCACTGCAAATCTACCAAGACCCGGCCGTCCCTCCAAACTTTCATCTCAAACAAGGAGAAGACTGATCAGAGATGCAGCCAAGAGGCCCATGATCACTCTGGATGAACTGCAGATAACTACAGCTGAGGTGGGAGAGTCTGTCCATAGGACAACAATCAGTCGTGCACTGCACAAATCTGGCCTTTATGGAAGAGTGGCAAGAAGAAAGCCATTTTTCAAAGATTTCCATAAAAGGTCTCGTTTAAAGTTTGCCACAAGCCACCTGGGAGACACACCAAACATGTGGAAGAAGGTGCTCTGGTCAGATGGAACCAAAATTGAACTTTTTGGCCACAATGCAAAACGATATGTTTGGCGTAAAAGCAACACAGCTCATCACCCTGAACACACCATCCCCACTGTCAAACATGGTGGTGGCACCATCATGGTTTGGGCCTGCTTTTCTTCAGCAGGGACAGGGAAGATGGCTGGAGCCAAATACAGGACCATTCTGGAAGAAAACCTGTTGGAGTCTGCAAAAGACCTGAGACTGGGACGGAGATTTCTCTTCCAACAGGACAATGATCCAAAACATAAAGCCAAATCTACAATGGAATGGTTCACAAATAGACGTATCCAGGTGTTAGAATGGCCAAGTCAAAGTCCAGACCTGAATCCAATCGAGAATCTGGAAAGAGCTGAAAACTGCTGTTCACAAACGCTCTCCATCCAACCTCACTGAGCTCGAGCTGTTTTGCAAGGAAGAATGGGAAAGAATTCCAGTCTCTCAATGTGCAAAACTGATAGAGACATACCCCAAGCGACTTGCAGCTGTAATTGCAGCAAAAGGTGGCGCTACAAAGTATTAGCGCAAGGGGGCCGAATAATATTGCACGCCCCACTTTTCTGTTTTTGATTTGTTAAAGTTTAAATTATCCAATAAATTTCATTCCACTTAACGATTGTGTCCCACTTGTTGTTGATTCTTGACAAAAAAGTAAAATTGTATATCTTTATGTTTGAAACCTGAAATGTGGCGAAAGGTTCAAGGGGGCCAAATACTTTCGCAAGGCACTGTATATATATATATATATATATATATATATATATATATAAAATTGATTTACTTTTACTATCTATTATTTGACTTTTTAGGCTGAGTGTATTTTGAGATATTTTTTCCACACAGTTAGTGCCACTTTATTGCCAAACACTTCTTAACTCATTTTTTTGAATCTGCATAGCTTCATATTTGTATACATTTGTATATCATCGTTAATCACGTGATTGTTTTAAATGGGCCACAGCTCAAAAAGGTTGGTAACACAGCAACTAATTATCTTGGACACTTCACTGGCAAATCAGTTGTTGATTCGCCAACACAGATCAGAGAAGCAGCAGTATTAGTAGTAGCTACTGCTGCTGCTACTTCTGCTACTGCAATGGAATGATTCCTGGTTAATTGTTAATATTATCTAGAATAACTGTATATCTCTCTGTGTATTTCTTCTGTCTCACAGACAGAGCCTCTGCTCTAATGTGAGTCTGAGAGTAAACAGAGCTGTGTGTAGTGAAAATACTGCTTTATTACCACTGAGTACAAGAGCTGCAGCAGGTACGGGTTCTGCAACACAATATACACACTTCGCTCTGCTGTGGAGCAGAGATAAGATAACACTTTATTGATCTCACACATGTATATGCTACATTTAGCTTTGATGGGATCACAGGGTGTGCACAAAGATAGAAAAATAAAAGGATATAAGGTATCTTATGTGCAATAAAAGTATTACATATAAGATATACAGTATGTAATAAAAGTATATTATGTGCATTTAAAAAGTGACTATAGCAGTAAGAAGTGGCATTCCTAGTGCAGGTTGTCTTTAAGTGACTTGTACAGTCCGACAGCAGTGGACATTTAGTCGGTCACCCATTGTGCGAGTCCTCTCCCTTAAAAAGATGAGATGTACCTCAAATGTGGGAGAGAAAATGAAAAAACAAATTCAAATAGACCTGCTTCAGTGCTGGTTCAGTCCTAGTTTTCTCATTCTCTGCTGATCCCCTGATCATATGTAAATAAAATATCAGAATGAAAACGTCTATAATTACAAAATTAAAAATTACATTATTGTGACAACATGGGTCGACCCGTCAAAAAGTACTGTATATTTCGAGGTGTGTTTACATGCTTTCCCACGATGAAACAGTAGCAACACACTGTCCTTGGAAGATGCTTCATGTCCTTTATTTGTGCTGAGCTTCCCACAAAGACAGTGTTGTTCCCAGAATATGTCTAAATGTATCTAACAGAATCAAACTTGTGTCACTGTATCACCTTCAAAGCTGACGGGAGGCGGTTTTCACTCCAACCATGGCCCCGTTCAGTCTTTCTTTTACTTGGATCAGTCGTCCTGGTCCCTTTTCCCAAAAAACAACCTAAAGCCTGATGCTCCCACCCTCAGGCTTCACAGTAGGTTTGGTGTTTTGCTCCCACTTTTTCTGGCTCCTATTGCCTCACATGTAAAAGTAAACTCCTAGCTCAGTAACTGCTTGTGTCACACTCACCATTTTGTGTTTAAATACACCAGGATCTCTTTGATTGGTTTATATTTTGATATTGTCTGAGATTCTCGCTCTGGGTTTTTAGTTGTTCCTCTGATGCTGGAGGCTCTAAGGACAGTGATGATCCAGGACATTCCACTTTCAACCACATTTATGGACATGGGTTTCTGTCCCTTATGGTCCTATGGACCAATAGCTCAATGTGCCTTTGACCATTGCATTTCCTGTGTTTGAATGGTTTGATTCTCAGATCTGTATTGGAGAATCGGCAGATTTCCAAAGTCCTCCGAGATTTAGGGCGATTCAATAATAAATCGCAATTCACATTAAACAGATTATAGCCTCGTGTCAGCTCAATAGATCAGCTTTTGTGGCTTCATTCTTCCTACATTCATGGGTTCAAACTCGTATTTTCTCGCGATTCCTGCCTTTAGCGCAAAGAGCAGTGAAGAAAACTTTTTGTCCTTCCAGAATCATGACGTTGCTAGGATTTCACATGACTCCAACTTTCAGAACATTGTCGTACATGGAACAAATTCTGCTGTTGAGTTGGTTTCAGGACAAGTGAAAATGTTGACCTATTTTTCCTGAAGAGGACAGAAGCAGAGTCTGCAAGGAAGAAGAACAGAGATGAGATTCTGAGAATATTTTGAGCTTTATCTGCTGCTGTCTTAGAATTTACATTAATTCAGTCTCTGCCTCAGTCTCTGCCTCAGTCTCTGCCTCAGTCTCTGCCTCAGTCTCTGCTTCAGTCTCTGCTTCAGTCTAGTCTCTGCCTCAGTCTCTGCCTCAGTCTCTGCCTCAGTCTCTGCCTCAGTCTCTGCCTCAGTCTCTGCCTCAGTCTCTGCCTCAGTCTCTGCCTCAGTCTCTGCCTCAGTCTCTGCTTTAGTCTCTGCTTTAGTCTCTGCTTCAGTCTCTGCTTCAGTCTCTGCTTCAGTCTCTGCTTCAGTCTCTGCTTCAGTCTCTGCTTCAGTCTCTGCTTCAGTCTCTGCTTCAGTCTCTGCTTCAGTCTCTGCCTCAGTCTCTGCCTCAGTCTCTGCCTCAGTCTCTGCCTCAGTCTCTGCCTCAGTCTCTGCCTCAGTCTCTGCCTCAGTCTCTGCCTCAGTCTCTGCCTCAGTCTCTGCCTCAGTCTCTGCCTCAGTCTCTGCCTCAGTCTTTGCTTCAGTCTTTGCTTCAGTCTTTGCTTCAGTCTTTGCTTCAGTCTTTGCTTCAGTCTTTGCTTCAGTCTTTGCTTCAGTCTTTGCTTCAGTCTCTGCTTCAGTCCTGGTCCTAATCCTCTGTTGTGTTACAGGTGTGGTGACGTTCTCGCGGCAACCTCAGAACCAGACGGTGACCCAGGGGAATGCGGTCCGTCTGGGCTGTGCCGTGATGGGTCTGTCTGAACCTGACATAGTGTGGAGGAAAGACCAGAGCAAAGTCTATTCCACGGACCAGATGTTCCTCAGCCTCGGAGAGCTCCACTGGGAGACCTTTTACAGGTACTGACCAGAGGGCGAGGCCAGAGGGCGAGGCCAGGGGGCGAGGCCAGAGGGCGCGCTAGGGGCCAGAGAAAAGCTCCCTTTGATTTAGTCCTGTGTTTCTGGTCCATCAGCTTCTTGTTTGGGGTAAACACACCTTCCATCACTTTCACATTCAGTTCTCACAACAGCCATGTTAAGATTCAGTTTCTTTTGTATTAGCAGTAAAACCACATTGGAATACTTGTGTAAGAGTCCCCAGTGTGCACCAGACAAGTACATGAATAAAACAAGCTAAAAAGTCAGCACCTAGTCTCTTTCTCTGGTCTCTTTCTCTGGTCTCTTTCTCTGGTCTCTCTCGCTGGTCTCTCTCGCTGGTCTCTCTTGCTGGTCTCTCTCTCTGAAAACCCGAGGGGCATTTGTTTTGGTAGAGGTTGGAAATACTTGGTTCACAATAACATTATCATTATTTCTCACATGGCTGAAGACACTGAACCAAACATGAGACCCAAGAGAGAAAGACCAGAGAGAGAGAGAATCTTTAGACCTAGACCCAAACGTGCCTCTGCTCTCGGCCTCTGACTCCAATTCCCACTTTTTCAGATCCGTTTCTCAAACTCAAAGTGTTTCTATAAATATGTGGAGAGACCTGATCTCCCTTAATCCTCTGCTGCGGAGTGTGACTGGGTTTAAAGGTGCACATTCCTCCATCACAGTCCGACATTTCAGTTTCTGACAATGATCTGATCCCTGGCTATTTTTGTACTGATCTGTTGTCTTGTTGTGCTGCTTATGTTTTGAATGGATTATTTCACTGTGGATTTGACCAAACTGAGTCCAGGACGTTCCGTTTGTCTTCTGTAATTACTGACGTGGGTTGGTGATGTGTATTTAGGCCCTTTACAATAATTACTAGTGCTGGGTTGCAATCACGTGACCCAAAGGGGGCATGGCATGTGGCCGTGGGACAGGAAGTGTTTCTCTCCCATCAGTTAGACAGGCTGATGCAAGAACACCAGAAAAGCTAAAATGTACAATTGTCACTGTGAAACCAATGAACAATAACAGTTGTGTGCAAGATCATTAAAGTGCCTTGTTCCAACTGATAATTGCAAAGTGCTTTGTGACTCTTTGATCTTTTAGTTCTAAGTTTGATTACAGAAAAAACTTCAGTTTTTAGGTATTTTCAGGCAAACCTCTCTCTGATTGGCTGTTCCATTGTCCGCTCAGTCTCTAACCTCTCTGATTGGCTGCTCCAGTGTCCGCTCGGTGCAGCAGCAGGACGGAGGCCGATACTGGTGCGAGGTGGAGTCAGAGGGACAGACGTACTCTTCTGAACCGGCATGGATCACTGTGGAAGGTACAAATACTGCTGATACTGCCACTGCTACTGCTGCTATTACTGCTACTTCTGCTGATCCTCCTCTTCTCCTTCTTCTCCTGATCCTCTCCTCTGCTGTGGTCCTCATCCTCTCCCGCTGATCCTGTCCTCGTGCTCTTTCTGATCCTGCTCTTCTGCTGTGATCTTCAGGAGTGCCGCACTTCTCCCTGGTGCCACAGGATGTAGCTGTAGTTCCTGGTGAGGCCTTTAACCTGTCGTGTGCCGCAGTGGGGCCTCCTGACCCTGTGGAGGTGCTGTGGTGGCTGGGAGGGGAGCAGGTGGGGGGTCCAGAGCCATCTCCCTCAACGCTGCACATCACAGGTAACACATGAACTCAGCAAGGCAAGTTTATTTTCATCGCACAGTTCAGTCAAAAAGGACGTGTTCTGAAAGCATCCGTATGGAGCGGACTGGGGAAACGTCTTTGGGGGTGTTATGCTTTTTGACTTTTCTCAATTTTTGCACATTTATTTATTTATTTAGAGGATAAGCCCCTTGAGATGAACCATCTCATTTTCGAGGGGGTCCTCGAGATTTCCCAAAGTGACAGATACAGCAAAACAGATGCAAACAAAACAAAAATACAAGAAAATATATCACATTTGTGATAATAATTTGGGTGATACACCATATAACACTCAAAAATTGTCAAATTATAGCCATTTTGTGCATAGAGGTGATGTCACCTCCTGTGAAACAAGCTGATCTGTGCTCCTCTGCCTGTGAGCCCGCCTTCCCCCGCCCGGGTAAACAAGAGCTAACTGTACAGCTTTGGTTGTTACATAGTAATTTCAGACTTGAGAATAAACTTTTTTCCGACAATGGCAATTCTATGTCTTTGACCAGACCTTATCAGACCTAATTATTATTTAGTTATTCTGGAACAGTCTTTGGTGAAATATCACCGTCACTCGCAAAGAAACTTTGTTTCGTTGTGGATTTCAGACTTGCGGATACGAGGCAGACCAAAGTTGATCCCCATTCTCCGCAGCCTGACTCTCGCCAGACCCTTATAGTTTGCTGAGCTTCACACAGAGGTCTGGGATTTCTTGATAGGAGATGCACTTCAGAAGGCGGGTGCAAAAAAAATCCTTGTATGTGATTGAATAAACCACTTATTTTGAATGACGTGCTACTCACGTCGAAAGCACATGATTCAGCACGCGACTCCCATGGGTTTTCAGATGCTGGCAAGATTTTCCAGCCAAAGATTTCAGCAAGGTTTTCCAGCACAATACCCACAAAAATGCCCCAAATAAAACACCCAGAATGATTTTTTGGCAAAAAAAGTTATGCATTCAACTTAGACTATCATGATCCTTCTATTCGCTTGGAACAAAAGTATGCGGGAAACCACCCAACCTGGCAACCATGCTGCGTAGTGTAGTTTTTGACAGCAGATAAACCAGCCCTTAAACCAAACTTTACACAAACATATTACTCTTAAAACCCACATACAACTACATGGAACCATTAACATCTCGCCTCTTATTGCATTAAAATTGACATCTGTGTCTTTATTTGTTCGTATTTAAACTTAAAAAACAAAAAAATCATGGACTTTACGTCTGCCATCTTGGTTTGATTCGGCTGCCGTGAGACACGCATGAGAAGGCAGTGAAAACCCACGTTATACCGGCAATCCTGATTATTTGTGAAATAAATAATTAGGGTCTGATTCTGGAACGAGTATATATGACTTGATATGTCGAATTGTCATGGTTGGAAAAAGTTTATTCTCAGGTCTGAATGACTTTAAAGATTTAAACACGTTACTACAATTACATTTGCAATATGTAAGCTCACGGACCTAACTTCAAACCACAAATAAATGAAACTTTTTGATAAAATCTGTCTCGAGTTCCTGGCTCTAAAACAGTTGCTTCTGTCATTATTTTCAAGTATGTTTGGCCTTTGTCAACTCTTTAGATCAGATTTTTCAGACAGAAAAGTGACAAAGAGGACCACCCTCACTCAGCCAATCAGCTCTATCCCAGAGTCAAAAAGTGACTCACAGGGGTCTTTGTCAAACAGAAGATACATTTTTTCTAATCAGATGAAGACGGTTTGATTTGTTCACAAAATTTTACACTTTCTGTTGAGTCAAACATTAGTTATTTATGATAAAAATTTGAGGTACCCCAACTTCATTTCACTTTGGGATAAGGGGAAGGGCAATCGGCAACAAAAACAGATAATATAAATGTAATGAATTGAAACGTGTTTAAATGTTGTTTCAGGCGTCAACAGCAGCGTGAAGTTTTACTGCGAGGCTAAAAACACTCGTGGGATTTCTGTATCCAGGACAGGGACAGTCCACATCAAAGGTCAGTGATACACTGTGTAGTTTTTACTTCTATCTAGCGTTGAGATCATATATTGCAAGTCTCCTTCTACCACCAACACTACAGAAGCCTTCAAGGACCATATGTCGGGTTTGACAGTGGTCCCCAACACCCGGTAATTCACCGGATCACTAAGGAAAGAATCCTTTATATTGATAAATGACCGGATCTCTCCATTCACAACCGTGTCACAAATTGGCCTCACGTGCGCGGAGGTGGACATGTAAACAAAGTCCGCGTTGTGAGGCGGCACGTGCTGCACAGAGGTGTTCATCCATGGATCTATGATAATATACAGTTTTACAAATGCGGTGAGAAGATAAGAGACGCCTGGAGGAATGGGAAATCTGTGGGAGCTTAAAACCACAATGGTCCGAGAAGCAGGACATTGCCTTTGACACAGCCGCGGCAGAACTGTGGCTAAAAGCTCAGAATATTCGCTTTCACCAGGCGCTGCACCATCACGGTAAGAAAACGGGCTTGAGACTTGTCCCTGAAGTTTAGTTGTGACAGTAGCTGGACTTGGAGCGGGTCAAAACATCCTGAGACCCGTGTTGTAGATTCTGCCTCGTTCAGTGAAAAAATACCTTCCTTTTCTGCTTTTAAAGTACCTGATCTTATACCTTTTTGTCCTCTATTGGAAATGAGATGAGATTCAGAACCTCCAAATTTGAGGCCGTGGTGCTTGACCCGAAAAAGGTGACTTTCCCTCTCCAGGTGGGTGGAGACGTCCTTCCTCGAGTGGAGGAGTTCAAATATTTCAGGGTCTTGTTCACGAGTGGAGGAAGGAAGGTGCGTGAGATTGACAGGCGGATCGGTGCAGCGTGCGCAGTTCTCCTCATGTTTGTGTTGTTCTTGTCCTCAGTTCGCATTTTTGTTTGTTCTGGTTCTGAGTTCTCATGGCTGTGTTGTTCTGGTCCTCAGTCCTCATGTCTGTGTTGTTCTGGCCCTCAGTTCTCATTTCTGTGTTGTTATGGTCCTCAGTCCTCATGTCTGTGTTGTTCTGGCCCGTAGTTCTCATTTCTGTGTTGTTCTGGTCCGCAGTTCTCATGTCTGTGTTGTCTGTGTTGTTCTGGTCCTCAGTTTTCATGTCTGTGTTGTTCTGGTACTCAGTTATCATGCCTGTGTTGTTCTGGTCCTCAGTTCTCATGTCTGTGTTGTTATGGTTCTCAGTTCTCCCGTCGGCTCCTGAAGATCTGCAGGTGCTGAGTCTGGAGGAGAACAACATCACTGTGTCCTGGAGCCCGGGATTCAGCGGCTACTCCCCCCTCCACTCTTGCTCTGTACAGGTGCTAAGACCGGGTCAAGACCGGGCCGAGACTGGGCCAACTTGACTGGACTTAAACTGGACTTTGTCAATTATTTTTCAAACTGTGAATCTTTTTGAAGACAGCACTGGTTAGCCCCACCCATGCTCAGCCACCTAGCTCCTGATTGGTTGAAATTAATTTAAATCCTAAAATTGTACCATCCCATTATCATTCCATCCAACAGTAAAGAGCGAAAACATATTTAGTTTGAAGACAAATGCACAATGCAGAAGTATCTTGTATTCATAAATATATTTCAGGTTCATTTTTTAGATTAATTTTACTGCAATTTTGCCATTTGCAGTAAAACCACATTGTATAACATCCGCAAAAATCCCCAGTGTATGCAAGACAAGTACATAAATAAAACAAGGTAAAAGGCACAGAAATAATACTAATAAGAAAACGGTAAAATTTAACATGTAAAACAGTTTAAATACAGGTGCAAGATTTCATAGTGGTTTGATTAAACTGATAACAGCTTGTGGAAAGAAGCTGTTAGCAAAACAAGATGTCCTGCATCTCAGTGAAGAATATCTCCTACCAGAGGGAAGAAGCTGGAACATGGCTTTTTCAGGGAATAGTCATTGATAATTCTAACTTTCTAAGAGCTTGGTTTTAGAATCTGGATTCATAAGGAACCTCCAGAACAGGCAGCTCAAAGCTCACAGTCCTCTTTTGCAAAGCAGAGCACCTTGTTTAGGTCTCTCCTTTCCACACAGTCACAGAACCAACAAACAAGCTTCCAAAGGTGCCGCGATAAAATGTAAGCAGAATCGTTCTCTAATTTTCTACGTTTCCAGAAAAACTAGAGACGCTGACGAGCTTTTTTACCGTTCTGGTTAATTTTTTTCGTCCCATTTCAGGTCATTAGACAGAGATAAACCAAGAAACTTGCCTGTTGTTATTGATAAGTGCAGATTGTTGAGGAGGCATGTGAGAACCTGTACGACTAAAATCGAAGACCAGTTCACATGTTTTGAAAGTGTTCAGCTGGAGGTTTATATTTACTCCACTGAACAACACTTTGGATTTCTGCTCTGTGAGAGGAATACATCATTATCACTGATGAGACGGATGGTGGCGTCATCAGCGTATTTAAATCTGTACTAACTCACTTTGTGAAGTTATCGAATGTGAGCGCTGGCCTTGCTGACCATAGAATGATAGAACCGGGAAGCGCGGAGAAACAAGACTTTCTTTTGGCTGTTTCGCTGAGTAAGCAGTAACCGGTAATGAAGACACGGCAAGTTTCAGGTTAGCCTCCGTCACTTGTTTACCTTAGCTGTCTGTGCTAAGCAGAAGGGCCAGTGGTCTGCTGTGATTGGTCACAATCTGGTCCCGAAACAAATTCTCTTTCTTGTTGCATGAAAACTCGATTTAAAATGAAATGACACGCCAGCACAAACCAGTGCTACTTATTCTTCAAACGGACGTATATCCCAATGCATTGCATGGATATGGATTGAATTTTCGTAATGAATACAAAAATAAAGTGAGGTAATGATGCTTTAATTATCAAGTCACAATCATGAGTGTACAATGTAAAAAGCAAAGGACTCAAAATACATCCCTGAGGAGATCGAGTGCTCACAGGAACAACTTCTAAAAAACAGACTCTTTGAAGATTTTATTTTATTACATTGCCTGCTTCCCTCAGGTGTCTGGTCCTCCATGGGTCCGGATCCCAAGTCCGGTCCAGGTCCTGGTCCCTCCTCACAGGGTCTCGGTCTCTGGACTCCGGTCACACTCGGACTACAGCCTCAGAGTGTCCTGCTGGAACCAACTGGGACCCTCACCCCATTCGGACTGGATCAACTTCACCACACCAGAGTCCGGTACTGAACCAGGACTAGGACTGGAGAAGGACTGGACCAGGGATGAAGCGGAGACTGTGGCGGAGACTGTGGCGGAGACTGTGGCGGAGACTGTGGCGGAGACTGTGGCGGAGACTGTGGCAGAGACTGTGGCAGAGACTGTGGCAGAGACTGTGGCAGAGACTGTGGCAGAGACTGTGGCAGAGACTGTGGCAGAGACTGTGGCAGAGACTGTGGCAGAGACTGTGGCAGAGACTGTGGCAGAGACTGTGGCAGAGACTGTGGCAGAGACTGTGGCAGAGACTGTGGCAGAGACTGTGGCAGAGACTGTGGCAGAGACTGAAGTTCTTGTCTTTGCTCTAGTCCCCATGTTGGCTCCCAGGAACCTGACCTTCGACCTCTCGGACAGTCAGCTGATCCTGCGGTGGGTGGCGCTAGACGAGGACGAGCTCCAGGGGAAACTTCAGGCCTATAAGGTCCAGTGGAGTCTGGGCTCAGAGACACAGGTAGGGCATCAGACACAGACTCAGACAGACTCAGACAGACTCAGACAGACTCAGACAGACTCAGACAGACTCAGACAGACTCAGACAGACTCAGACAGACTCAGACAGACTCAGACAGACTCAGACTCTTGTAGATTGGTTTCACTGTGACAGTTGTTTCTGTACTTTTTTTGCTTGTTTTAAGTATGCTCTAGCCAGGTGCACACTGTGAGGGCACTTGCTCAGTTATTCCATTATGGAAAATAAACAGATCTGACTGTTGTGTTCCTCAGGAGCCGCTGTTGTTCAAAGACTCCTCTGCGGTCCTCTCTGGACCGGGTCGCTTCCTGAACGCCTCGGTCCAAGTCTCTGCCTGCACCTCTGTGGGCTGTGGACCCTGGAGCAGACCCATTCAGATCCTGCCCAAGCCAGGTCTGAAACACACACAGAAATACACAGGGACTCAAATACACAGGGACTCAAAGACACAGGGACTCAAAGACACAGGGACTCAAAGACACAGGGACTCAAAGACACAGGGACTCAAAGACACAGGGACTCAAAGACACAGGGACTCAAAGACACAGGGACTCAAAGACACAGGGACTCAAAGACACAGGGACTCAAAGACACAGTGACTCAAAGACACAGGGACTCAAAGACACACACACACACACACACACAGACTCAAAGACACACACACACACTTTGATTGGGAGTTAAAACACACAAGGCTACTATTTTAAGCTGACATAGGCTTGCGATCCTCAACCTCTAATTATCCCGGCGGCGCCTTACCCGCACCACTGCACAAGCCTTTCCGCTTAACATGTGGTTTAAGTGGAAATTTGGAAAAGTGTGAAGTCTACAACAAATAATAGTCATCAATGCAGTGTTCTATCCAGATATAAAACTTACATCACTGACAGAGACTCCAGCTCTCGACCAGGACTGAACCAGGACTAAACCAGGTCTGTCTCTGTGTTGCAGTGTCCTTGCTGGTCCCTCGGAGGCACTTATGGTCAGGGGTGCTCCTCGGGCTCCTAGGGGCCTCGGCCCTGGGTCTGATGGTGGCAATCGGAGCTCACAGACGCAGGAAAGACTCTCCGTTTGGGTGAGTCTCGATGATTTGGCTCAGTCGTTGATGGTCTGGGTCAGTCCTTGATGGTTCCAGTCTCTCGTGTCTCTCTTCTGCAGCTCGGCGTTCAAACCTGTGGGTTCTGACAGTTTGGTGTCCTTCAGCGCGGCCCGCTCCTTCAACAGAACAGAGCCCCCAGAGGCCAGCCGTGAGTACTGCACCCTCAAAAGATATTAAAGGTGTACTTTTTACTTCCATCTAGCGTTGAGATCATATATTGCAAGTTTCCTTCTACCACCAACACTACAGAAGCCTCCGAGAACCATACGTTGTGTTTGACAGTGGTCCCCAACACCCGGTAATTCACCAGACCACTAAGGAAAGAATAGCCTGGCCTTAGCCATCCGTACACTCCGTTCAATCATCATTTCACTGCATGTAACGTCTGGGTCTGGTCCCTGTGTTAGCGATTACAATCGGTTGAATTTCGACCGACAAATCAGCGACCGTGGGAGGCAGGTGTTGTAGTTAGATGTGGGTGATGTCAAGAGTTTGCGTCGAACAGGCAAGTTGTATTTTGGCATTGGCGAAAAATGCGATAGTAAAGTAATCCGGTCTGGTTCTATCAAGAAATTTAAGCCGGAGCAAGGGTAATGTTTATCAAATGTAATCACTGGAAAATATTGTGGCGCTACTCCCCACCAAGCCCCGGCGATTCAAGATGGCGCCCTATTCAAATGAATGGTTGTGCTCAGTGGCGCTTTGTGACGGCATGGGGGCTGAAAAGATTAGCGGAAGTTGCCTGAAACTCGCAAAGATCTATGGGAAACTCGCCTGTATTTGGGCATCGTCTGGTCCTCCCGGTTCTGCGCAGTGGATAATCTCCCATAATGCGTTGCGTCAAACACGCGTGTGTGGGTCTCACACCGGGTCTCACGCACGTGCACAGAGGGGCTCGGCCGCGCTCTGACCAATCAGAGCAGTTCATCAGAGCGGGAGTTAGAGCGAGAGCCAGACGAGCAGAGTTTGTGGCACTAAAGTGTGGATTTAAACAAAACCGAAGGATTTAAGAAGAAAAAAAGTTCAGGATGACAAGGGACACTAAAAGCCCCACAAAATCCTATCTTTATTAAAGCTGTAGGTTCTCTGTCAGCTGAGGTCGAGCTGTTTTAATATGCATTGAGTCCTATGGGGAAAATTTCCGGGTAGCCCACGTGAATTTAGTCTGGTTCAGTCTGCAGTACCGCGAGAATCCCCTGAGCACATGAGTTATTCAGCTACAAGCTAGTAATACCCTATCCAGTTAATATAATACATCCATGCTCCCCACGGGCTCCGTTAGCGGCAAAGGAGATGGCTAAGCTAAATGCTAAATGCTAACAACTTCTTCTTCTTCTTGTTAGGCTTTTCCGGCGCTTGGCGACCTATTTTTGCGCATTACCGCCACCTTCTGTTCCGTGGATGGGTCAGTAGGCTCACACTCTAACCCCACAGACTATCAGTCTGTGGTCCCACCAAGGGAATTGTAAAAGAAAAGAAAAGAAAAAAAACCAAACAAAACAAAAACAAAAACAAATAAATGCTAACAACAGACTCGGGCGCACTACATACGTCACTCAGATCCAATCGTTTCAATCTGTAAAAGGAGTTAACCCCTCCCACCTGTAAACGGAGCTCAATGGAGCACCTCCAGACCTTAGTACGAAATGTCATTTGTACTATGGTGGGGTACAACCAGGCTAAGGAAAGAATTCTTTATATTGATAAATGGCTGGATCTCTCCATCCACAACCGTGTCACAAATGTGCCTCACACACGTGTGCGAAGGTGACATGTAAACAAAGTGTACGTTGTAAAGCGGCATGCGCTGCACAGAGGTGTTTTACCGTGGATCTATGATAATAAATTGTTTTACAAACGCCTGGAGGAATGGGAAGTCTGTGGGAGCTTAAAACCACAATGGACCGAGAAGCAGGACATTGCCTTGGACACAGCCGCGGCAAAACAGTGGCTAAAAGCTCAGATTATTAGCTTCCACCAGGCGCTGCATACCATACGGTAAGAAAACCCAACATTCACTCACGCTGGTGAGAAAGTGTTCTTCAGATTTTTTTGTGGGGATTCTGTGTTTTGCATATTTCAGACTTGTCCCTGAAATAAGTTTTGTTGAAACTTGTCACATAGTTGGATTCATAGCGAGTCAGAACATCCTGAGACTGTGTTGCAGATTCTGCCTCGTTCTCATCACTTTTGGTGTGTGAAAGGAGTTACGTCTTGGTTATGTGTGCACATGTTGTGTACAAACTACACAATGTGCCTCCTGTTGTTTTAACTCTGCCTTTCGGTGAGTGTGGTTTGCGATGTTGACAGTTTGCTGCTATGATGCCGGTTTCTAAAATAATTTTTCTAAAAGATTGTTGCAGGGTCATTCTTCTACATAACCGTGGTTGTTCATGGTTCAAACTTGTTAGGCCACAGTGAAAGCAACGTTATTAGTAGCACTTTGGTTGATAAGCGACAAAAACACATATATTTCAAGATGGCGCAATGACATGGATAGTCCTCAGCTCTCGTGGACATTTATAATTAAATCTCTAACAACAATTCTAAAACAGGGTGGAGGTAAATATTCTTGGTTGGTTAACATGTTTTTTTCATTTGGAGCAACTGTGAAAATTACAGAGTGGCTTTAAGCATTATTTTTGTTCGTCATTTCATGATTTACAAATGTGAAATACTATCTTCAGTAGAAAATGAAGTGTACCCTTTGCTGCCACCAGAGAGAGGAGTATTTGTTTTTCTTTTTGAGTTAATGTTAGTAGCTGCCCATTGCAAAATAGTAATTATTGCAATGCTGAGTTTGTTCAAAAGGGCAAATTATATACTTGGTTTGTTTTTGGAGTTGGTGTCTGTACAAAGAGTTTCTGATAAGAAAAAACTTTTATTTCAGGTCTCGCAGTGGGAAATGCAAAATAAACGATTTTTCACTTCAGTTTTCTATTTATTTTAAGGTGTGGTTGTGTGTGTGTGTGTGTGTGTGTTTGTGTGTGTACTGAGTATAGGTAAAATGTATGTATATAGCATACAATAAACAATATAAATATACAAGACTCATATTGTGTGTTTTTTTTTTTTTTTAATCTTTATTTGAATTGGGACAGTGCACATTCATCAACATGTGTTTTTTAACATGTAAATGTGCCAGAGTTAGCCATGTAGGCTAATTTTCATCCGTAGTCCCATGGCAGGTTGGTATTAAGACAGATAAAGCATACAACAGACACACACATACATACCCACACAGAGACACACACCATCACAGAGACATAACATTTTGATGTGGGTTATATGATTCTACAGCCGCTAATATTACTACTTCTGCTGGTTTGTTCCTTGTAACAGAAGTAGAAGTTTCTCACTCCTTTTCTTCTCTAATGTTGAGAGTGTGGTGTCTCCCTCTAGTGGACAGTCTGGGCGTGAGCGCGGAGCTGAAGGCCAAACTCCAGGACGTGTTGATCCCAGAGCGGCAGCTGAGTCTTGGGCACGTTCTGGGGAAAGGTACCAATACTTTACTCAATACTGCTTTGAACCACCACCTCTGACACTGCTCAATAATGTGTGTTTAAAGCTCGTGTACCTGACTTTCAGACCATAAAAAATCCATTAAGATGAGGAGTTTGTGAGGGCGATATACAATGGGAAAAAGACAGAAGCTTCTGAGCAGGATAGGATACTAGGATACTTACAATTTAAAGCTTGGGTACCTTACTTTAAAACCACAAAGAATGGTCAGGGGTCAAAATATTTTTTTTCAGGAGCCAAGTTCAAAACATAAGAGTTGGTTGGGGCCCAAAGTATTTTCTAAGTAAAGTTATTTACTTTTATTATTTTATTATTAATATTTATTATTTTGTTTTACATATTTTTGTATTTTGACAAACTAACCATATTTGACATGAGTTTGAATGTTATTTTGTATTAGGTTTGGATTAAATCACAAATTGAACAAATATCAAAAATAGATGTATTGGTTAATTCTTAATTTAATATAAAAAATGAAATCTTGGGTCACATTTTAGAACAGATTCAATTATGTGGTTGTTTTCCCGAGAAAATAAGATTTTAAATGAAGTATAACACGCCCTAGAAGCTGATAATTACTTATTTCTTCCATTCATATATTTTTCTGTAAAGTGCAACGTTGACATTGACATTTCCCCATCGTGGGACGAATAAAGGTCTATCGTAAACTCATTTCAGAGGCCACTAACAATGGTCTCGCGGGCCGGGTTTGGCCCATGGGCCTGAGGGTGACCTGTCTGTACTGTGATAAATCCATGTCAGTAGTTTCTCTCAAACCAGCTTTGTTCCGTACTCATGTGTTTTTGTCATATATTGTTTAGATAAGCTTTTTCAAACAGAAAGATCCTAAAGAGAGGACCACCTACACTCAGCCAAACAGCTCTCAGCCCAAAGAGTCAAGTAGTGACTCGCAAGGCTTTGTCTAAGATGAAGACGGAATGTTGTAATGGTGATGACGAAAGCAAGACGCTGAACACACTGGCGCATCAAAGCCTCTGACCAATACCATCCATTCACTCACTCACTCATCACATTCATACCTATTGTACTTGTTTTTAGTGGTAAGGGGAACTGGAGCACCCGGAGTGCTATCCACTCAGCCCACCGTCACTCATTTACTTACTTACTACTCACTTACTACTTACTTATTTACTACTTGCTTACTTACTTACTTTTACAGTTTTCAGTGGCAACATACAGAAGTCGGGTACCTCAGCTTTAACTTAACCTTGCTCCTGTTTGACTGTGTGTGTTTTGCAGGAGAGTTTGGATCAGTGCGAGAAGCCGTTCTCAAAACTGAGGATTCTTCTCAGAAAGTGGCTGTAAAAGTCTTAAAAAGTCAGTGATCCTGGTCACTCTCCCTCTCTCTGGTCTCTTGCTCTGGTCCCCTCTCTCTGGTCTCTCCTGGTCTCTCCTTGGTCTCTCCTTGGTCTCTCTTTGATCTCTCTCTCGTCTGTCCTGGTTTCTCTTTGGTCTCTCCTGGTCTCTCTTTGGTCTCTCTCTGGTCTCTGTCTGGTCTCTCCTGTTATCTGTATTAAATTTGTTGCTGGTTTCTCCAGATGACATCACCACGTCCTGTGACATAGAGCAGTGTTTGAAGGAGGCGGCCTATATGAAGGACTTCAGCCACCGCAACGTCATCCAACTCATAGGTGTGTCTGTGTCATAGACTGTATGTCTGTGTCTGTGTGTGTGTGTCTCTGTTTCTGTGTTTCTGTGTGTGTGTGTCTCTGTTTCTGTCTGTGTTTGTGTGTGTGTGTGTGTTTATTATTAAAGTATTCATACATTAAAGCAATATCTAATGCCTTTATGATAAGTTAAATATATTGTTGCTGCTACCTCACTATAATTAAAGCTAATGTATCTAACTTTAAAACCACAACATATTGAACCATGTCCCTCGTTCCTGGCTCTAGAACATTTGCTTCTATCCCTTGTTTTCACATGTGTTACTGGCCTCTGTCACGTCTTTGATCTAAAGAGTCAAATAGTGTCTCACAGGGATCTGTCTCTCACAAAAGATGCTTGTTTTCTAATGAGATGCAAGTCGTGGTCTGACTTGTTGGGGCAAAGTATCAATCAATCAATCAATCAACGTTTATTTATAGAGCGCCTTTCCTACACAAGGCAACGCAAAGCGCCTCACAACCCATATAACATCATGCATAAATCATCAAACATTAGAATTTAAGTAAACATAAAAAGACAGATTAAGAGCACAAGATATATAAAATCACACAAGTAGTTAAAAACCGTAAAACATTAAAATCACACAAGGGATTACAATCATAAATAATCATAAATAATCATAGCGCATTAAAAAGATTAAAGATAAAAACAAATATAAAATCATTCACTTGTATGCACAGCTAAAAAGAACTGTTTTCAGTTCAGTTTTAAAAACTGCTAGAGTAGACGCCTGTCTCACACTCTCGGGAAGACGGTTCCAGACTCTAGCTGCATGAATCTGAAACGCAGCCTCCCCATGTCTAGTTCCGACTCTTGGCACTAACAGAAGTCCAGTCCCTGTGCTCCTCAGAGCCCGAGTTGGTTCATATGGCACCAACATGTCGCGGATGTACCCTGGTGCGAGGCCATGGAGAGACTTGTACACAAGTAAAGCTACTTTAAAATCTATTCTCTGAGCCACAGGAAGCCAGTGCAGAGACCTGAGGACCGGACTAATGTGGTCGTACTTCCTGGTTCTAGTCAGGACTCGAGCTGCAGCATTTTGGATGTACTGCAGCTGTTTTACCGCTTGTTTAGAGAGACCTGTGAACAAGCCATTGCAGTAGTCCAATCGACTGGAGACAAATGCGAGTACTAATTTATGTGACTGAAAAAATATCTTATTTTGGAACATTGTAAAGCACTTTTGGTGACCTTGATCTGTAAAATGCGCTATATAAATAAACATTACTTACTTTCTAAAGTTAGGTACCGCAGCTGTAAGGTCTGATTTGAGTATCACAAGAGTTTGATTGGTGCGCTCTCGTCCAATAGGAGTCAGTCTTCACCGTCGTCCCGGTCAGAGGTTACCGGTTCCCATGGTGATTCTCCCATTCATGAAACACGGAGATCTCCACACGTTCCTCCTGCTGTCCAGACTCGGAGAAAACCCTTTTGTAAGACCACCTGTCGTCTCATGGTCTCTCTCTGTCTGGTCTCTCTGGTCTCTCTGGTCTCTCTTTGGGACATCATCTTGCATATGTTTGTTAATATTGTCACCTTTTCTGGACACAGTTTAATGAGACCATAGTTTGTGCTGACACAGATTCTGATGTCATTGGTGTAATGGTCTCTGTTTCTCTGCCCAGAACCTGGAGCTGCAGACGCTCGTTTGCTTCATGCTGGATGTGGCTCGAGGAATGGAATATCTGAGCAACAAAAACATTATTCACAGAGACCTGGCTGCACGGAACTGCATGTGAGACTTAGACTGACACCTGGTCCAGGTTTAAGACTGGCTCATACTTCACTGCAACCAGTTCAATTCAATTCAATTTATTGGTAAAGCCTTAAATCACAACAGCAGTCATCTCAGAGGCCTTTACAAAGCTGTCGATTCACCAACATCGATCAGAGACAAGAGTGTTCAATGGGCCGTAGCTCCAGGACTGAGGCCGTAGATCCAGGACTGAGGCCGACGATCCAGGACTGAGGCCGTAGATCCAGGACTGAGGCCGTAGATCCAGGACTGAGGCCGTAGATCCAGGACTGAGGCCGTAGATCCAGGACTGAGGCCGTAGATCCAGGACTGGGGCCGTAGATCCAGGACTGGGGCCGTAGATCCAGGACTGGGGCCGTAGATCCAGGACTGGGGCCGTGGACTGGGGCCGTAGATCCAGGGCTGAGGCCGCACATGCAGGACGGAGGCTGTAGATTCCTGTGTGTTTTAAGCTGGAGCTAGAGAGCCTCTCCCTTGTCCTCTGCTCCAGTTTCTGCTTCAGTCTCTGCCTCTGTCCTGGTCCTCACCTGGTCTCTCTCCCTCAGGCTGGATGAGGATCTGAGGGTGTGTGTGGCAGACTTTGGTTTGTCCAAGAGGATCTACAGTGGAGACTATTATCGTCAGGGCTCTGTGTCCAAGCTACCGGTGAAGTGGATCGCTCTGGAGAGTCTCAGCGATAACCTCTACACCAGTCAGAGCGACGTGGTGAGGCTAACATGGTCCAGGAGTGACAGCTGGTGTAGTCTGACTCCTTCTGACTCTAGTGCCTCTCTGGTCCCCCTCTTTGGTCTCTCTCTCTGGTCTCTCTGGTCCCCCTGGTCTCTCTCTGGTCACTCTCTGGTCTCTCTCTGGTCTCTCTCTGGTCCCTCTCTGGTCCCTCGCTGGTCTCTCTCTGGTCCCTCGCTGGTCTCTCTCTGGTCCCTCGCTGGTCTCTCTGATCACTCTCTGATCTGTCTCTGGTCCCTCCCTGGTCTCTTTCTGGTCCCTCTCTGGTGTTTCCACAGTGGGCTTTTGGAGTGACCATGTGGGAGGTAATGACCAGAGGACAGACTCCGTATCCCGGTGTAGAAAACTCTGAGATCTACGAGTATCTGATCAAAGGAGAAAGACTCAAGCGGCCTCCAGACTGTAGACCAGACATGTGAGTACTGCTACTATTACTGATTCTCCTATTGCTACTGCAAGTACTACTGAAGTACTGTGGTGACTACTACTACTTTACTACATATGCTGGTTTTTTTAACTACTATTACAACTACTACCTAATATCTTTCTTTCTGTTGTGGGAAGTAACTCGTTCTGAACATTCTTTCTGTCAAACCCATTCGTTCCAAAAGCCTCCAGTAGGTGGCAGCACTGAGACAGTGACGCGATTCTTCAGATTAAATATTTCACACAAAGGTAAATTAAGTTTTATACCATTTTGTATTGGAAAATAACTACTCAAGGTTTCAAAATCAATTGTTTTTTTGTTGGTCTGATCACCTCAAATCGAGAAACCACCACAGCAACGGCCTTAGTAACGAGAAAAAATCAAAGCAGCTCTTTTTGCTCGGTGGTGTCACATTGGGATCCCGTGTCAGCTGGAATTAAATCTCCTCCATACTGAACAGGCTTGTTTACATTCTGTTTGTCTGTTTTTGCGGTGGAAGAGGAAGAGGAGACACGCGTTGAGGAAGACGAGGAGGATGGACTTACACTGAACTCTGGTTCACTCATATGTATTATGGAAACGTCAGTGGAAACACTACAGCGAGCAGCACCAGGTCTAACCATGGATCTCTTAACTAGACCGCTTGCTTTTTTGGTTCTTTTGAAAGACAATTTTAGATTACCTTGTTTACATGTTTCGGCTGCAGCGCTGTGAGCTATCCTCAGGTAATACATCTAAATTTGTCTTTCAAAGAACCAAAAAAGCATTTTACCTCAAGACAAAAGGAATTATTACTACTATTAGGACGTTCTTATGTGTTCAACCTCATAGATTGATCATTAAATGGAGACATATATTTATGAAAAAATATTTATATTTTACAAATGTTTGAATCTGAAAACAGCTTTTGATCTTTGGTTTAATTTTATGATATTGTACCTTTTGTGGTAAAAGTGAAATAAGAGAAACTATGAATGGTCTAGTCTGTCATGAGTTGTCTAGTCCACTACATTGACTCGGATTAAAACGAAGGTTACGTGTGTTGCGGTTACGGTTCTATGAATCTCGGATGACCGGCAGAGGGCGGTGCATAGCACTGAATGTTCCCTCCGGCGGTAAAGAGGGACAAAATAGAACTGTTGATTTGATTAACTCATTGGCCGCCCAAGACGTCGTAAGGCGTTCTATTTTTTTGTAACGCTGACATTTTCGTGTTTTGACACGGGGCATTGTAATGATGTCTGGTGTTAGCTCTTGGTTTAATGTTCACTTTCCATGCCTTACAGCTAGGGGGCTCTAGCGCTCTTTGTATAGCGCACATGTTTTTTTTCTATGCAGACCGTGAGAGGCGGGTTGTATGTTGAACCTGCGTATGGTTGACTGAAATAAATATAACAATACACAATACAAGACAATTTATTCTTGTATAGCCCTAGGTCACAACAGAAGTCATCTCAGAGGACTTAACAAAACCATTGAAATCACCAACACAGGTCAGAGAATCAACAGTTAAAACACATGAAGAATATAAAGCACACACAGAAGAAAATGTCCATACATGTTGTAGAATGCTAAAGTGTCCTGATCATCACCAATCCTTTCTGTTGGACACTAACTGTCCAACAAGACCCTCCTGCATCGACAAGGAAAAACTCTTAAAAAACCCAGTGGGAAAAAGTGAGAAACCTTGGGGAGAACTAGGGAAACCCACAGGGAGGGAGACCCATATGAGAAAGGGATCCGCTCCTCCGGACGGACAGGCTAATGATCTAGGACCTAAGCTAGTTACAGAACGTGGACCAGTGGCCGCTGAACGTGGACAGGTCCGGTGCAGGACCGAAGCACTCCCAGGCGGGTCGGGCGGGGCAGTCCGCAGGTGTAGATGGCAGAGGTGGGACAAAGTCATTGTTTAGCAAGTCACAAGTCAGTCTCAATTCATTGCCCTCAAGTCCCGAGTCAAGTCACGAGTCAAGACAAGCAAGTCCCGAGTCGAGTCCAAGTCAAAGGCCAACAAATCTCAAGTCAGTCCCAAGTCCTACGGTTTGACTTTCGAGTCCTCTCGAGTCTTTTTGACCGCGATTTGTTTCTTGTTGGTCTCCACGTACTTTTGTAGGCAAACAAAATAATGTTAGGAATCATTTTGCTGGTGCATTCTCGTTGGTCTCTGACCCATGGACTAACAGTTTGTTCCATGTCGTTGGCTGCTGATAAATCAAAACTATCTACGTGATCTAATTGGATGTTGTGCCAGATGCAGGCTCAGTTACACATGCACAGACCACACATAAAATCAGAGCAGTCCGTGTCAACATACTTTTTATCTTTGGGGTTTTTAATGGGAAGTAGCAAGTGCAGCATATATGAATATGAGTATTGGGCTAGGACCTGTATCTATATATGACAGTTTAATGTCCGTAGTGGTTATTGTTCCAAATGTCCTACTGTAGAATAGGGGTAGTATGAGGGGTCTAGGCTTTGGACCTGGGGCAGCTCGCCATCAACTGGACCAGCATTAGCAATATCTCATAATTACCAATATCCATCTATCCATCTTCTACCCTTTAATCCATTTCTGGGTCAGGGGGGTGGCAATCAGAGATGCCACCCAAGTCTCATAGCACCAGCCCCTCACTGACCCTCTACCGCGGTAAAGTGGGCCGCATCTTTCACCTCCGAAGTAAAACGGCCCGCATCGAGAGAAAAGCAGTGCGCGTTTTGTTGACTGCTTACGGTAATAGCAGAACAGCCTTTCGCTGTCAGCTTTTCTCCTCGAACAGAAAGCGCGCTTAGGAGACTCGTTTTGTGAATAAACCCTTATTTGGAAAAGCATGTAAAAACTTAAAATGTTCGACATTTAATTTGGTCAAAAAGTGAAATTTTCAGCTGCTCTCCATTTTTACAGTAAAGACTTGAGTATCTTATTCCACTGGGTGTATGACCTCACCACTGCCTTCACCGCTGTGCCTACAACCACAAACCTTTACTTTGGAAATTGTGGGTAAAATTGAGACAAATTACACGTTTTAGTCCAAAATACACAAAACTAAGAAAATTCCCACCTTTGATCTACTGTAACTTTTTTACTGTAAAAAGGTGTGAGACTAATTTCACTGGATTCATGACCTCAACATTGCCCTCTACCACTGTACCAAAGACAAGAAACATTTACTGTAGAAATATTGAGAAATATTGATTTAAAGAAGCCATTTTGGTCAAATACCTCAAATAGTCAAAACATGTCACTTTTGATCTACTGTAACTTTTTACTGTAAAAAGGTGTGCGACTAATTTCACTGGATTCATGACCTCAACATTGCCCTCTACCACTGTACCAAAGACCCGGAACTTTTACTGTAGAAATTTGGAGAAATATGGAGTTAAAGTAGCCATTTGGGTCCAAAATAGCCTAAAAATGGTCAAAACATGTCACTTTTGATCTACTGTAACTTTTCACTGTAAAAAGGTGTGCGACTAATTTCACTGGATTCATGACCTCATGATTGCCCTCTACCACTGTACCAAAGACCAGACACTTTTACTGTAGGAATATTGAGAAATATTGATTTAAAGTAGTCATTTTGGTCCAAAATAGCCTAAAAATGGTCAAAACATGTCACTTTTGATCTACTGTATCTTCTTACTGTAAAAAGGTGTGCGACTAATTTCACTGGATTCATGACCTCAACATTGCCCTCTACCACTGTACCAAAGACAAGAAACATTTACTGTAGAAATATTGAGAAATATTGATTTAAAGAAGCCATTTTGGTCCAAAATACCTCCAAAATAGTCAAAACATGTCACTTTTGATCTACTGTACCTTTTTACTGTAAAAAGGTGTGCGACTACTTTCACTGGATTCATGACCTCATGATTGCCCTCTACCACTGTACCAAAGACCAGAAACTTTTACTGTAGAAATTTGGAGAAATATGGAGTTAAAGTAGCCATTTTGGTCCAAAATAGCCTAAAAATGGTCAAAACATGTCACTTTTGATCTACTGTAACTTTTTACTGTAAAAAGGTGTGCGACTAATTTCACTGGATTCATGACCTCAACATTGCCCTCTACCACTGTACCAAAGAACAGGAACTTTTACTGTAGAAATATTGATTTAAAGTAGTCATTTTGGTCCAAAATACCTCCAAAATAGTCAAAACATGTCACTTTTGATCTACTGTAACTTTTTACTGTAAAAAGGTGTGCGACTAATTTCACTGGATTCATGACCTCAACATTGCCCTCTACCACTGTACCAAAGACCAGGAACTTTTACTGTAGAAATTTGGAGAAATATGGAGTTAAAGTAGCCATTTTGGTCCAAAATAGCCTAAAAATGGTCAAAACATGTCACTTTTGATCTACTTTAACTTTTTACTGTAAAAAGGTGTGCGACTAATTTCACTGGATTCATGACCTCATGATTGCCCTCTACCACTGTACCAAAGACCAGGAACTTTTACTGTAGAAATCTGGAGAAATATGGAGTTATAAGTAGCCATTTTGGACCAAAATGGCTACTTTACCTCAATATTTCTCAATATTTATACAGTAAAAGTGTGGTAGAGGGCAATGTTGAGGTCATGAATCCAGTGAAATTAGTCGCACACCTTTTTACAGTAAGAAGATACAGTAGATCAAAAGTGACATGTTTTGACCATTTTTAGGCTATTTTGGACCCAAATGGCAACTTTAACTCCATATTTCTCCAAATTTCTACAGTAAAAGTTTCTGGTCTTTGGTACAGTGGTAGAGGGCAATCATGAGGTCATGAATCCAGTGAAATTAGTCGCACACCTTTTTACAGTAAAAAGTTACAGTAGATCAAAAGTGACATGTTTTGACTATTTTGGGGGTATTTTGGACCAAAATGGCTACTTTAAATCAATATTTCTCCATATTTCTACAGTAAAAGTTTCTGGTCTTTGGTACAGTGGTAGAGGGCAATCATGAGGTCATGAATCCAGTAAAATTAGTCGCACACCTTTTTA